GTTCGATTATAGAACTATTTGAAATTCAATAAACACTTTTAATATAAATAAAGTGTTTGTTCTATTAGTTAAAATTGTTTTATATATAATTTTTTTTAACTTAAGTGCTATATAAGTTAACTTTGATTTCTAATTAGATAATATTTTAAAAATAATTATATATAATATTGTTCAAAAGTAACAATCATATGGTGTGCGACGTATATACATGATATATAAAATAAGAGTAATTTAAAAAAAAATTGTGAAATTAATCATGAGTTTAAAAAATAAATATGTTTTAAAACAAAAATTTTATATGTAAATATTGTTTTAAAACAATTTATCTATAAATATACATATTAATTAAATAATTAATAGATTAATATATTTTAATTGAATAATCAATATATTAATATTTAGTATGTAGCATGTTGATATCTAATAATTAATCAATAAAATAATATTCATAAATTAAACAACTTATACATTAATATTTATTAATTAAATAATCATTAAACTATGTATTGATTTTTCCATTAATTTTTTATTTATTTACATTGAATAAATCTGTTGATAATAAATATAGATCTTCGTGCATAATACGAATTTGTCTACTTAATTTGAATTTAATAGGAAAATATTCAGGAGATAAATCTTCGTCAACAATAAATAATTTTATTGTTTTTAAAATTATCCTTGCATAAAAAATAAATTGCAAAAAAATGAAATTTTTAAAAATATATGAATTGTTCTTCTGAAATGAAGATTAAAATACATTGATGCATTTAGAGGATTAAATTATTCTTTAATACGAGTTCTTCTAGTAAAAATAGCCTAAAAATAAATATAATAATAGGTCTATTACACGGATTTAAGAGATAATTATATTACAAACTAAAGAATTTTATTAAAATAACTTTATTTTTTACTGTTTTTTTTCTTTTGTTACATTTTTTTCATTTTTAATAATATAATGTTGATATATTTTTTTAAATGAAAATTATAACAATTTTGTTTAGCTTATCTCATTAACATCTGTCACAAGATATTAAAAAATAAAGAGAAATATATTTTTAATTCTTATGTTTCTTTAAACTAAATTGATCAATTATTTAAATTGTAAAGATAAAAATAAAGTTTAATCTTAAAAAATACATTATCAAAGTGAACAATAATAATAATAATAATCATAATATTATTATTATTATTATTATTATGAGTATGATATGAAACAAGTATTGTAATTAGATGAAATATATAAGAGCTACCCACAATATAGCATAATTCTCTTGTCTGCCACAAAAGCAGTGATAATTAAGTATTATATGTTAGACTCATTATCACTAATTTTTTTGATTTTAAAGTTAAGATAACTGGGTCAAAGAAATAAAGTTAACATTGAGAGCACTTTAGACTTTAGTTATTAGATTAGCAAAAAAAGAGACTTTAGAGTGTTTTGAGTTGCGGCAGTGAGTGGGGGTATCTTATCATCAGGATTCCCCTCTGTGAATTGGGAGCGGGTGAGAATCTCGAGAGATGGTGGAGTATTAATTAATACCCATTTTTATCGAAGAAGTAGCCAGTTATAACACATGACACGTGTCAGTAAAAACCCTCGTTGGGTGTGGCATCCTTAGCCGTACAGTCACGTGCATATTAGAATCCCCACACCCTTCACAGGATTCATCTACCACCTACGATAGGCCCATATGTTCGCTTTTATTCCGTGGTGGCTCACTTTTCCCTCTCATTCTTTCACCTTTCCAAGTTTTCATTATTTAACATCTCCATATCCTCTATCGACCAAATAAATATAAATATCCTGAATTTCTCCTCTCACCCCTTGCTTTTTTCAATTTTAATAATTTCTCTATGAAAAAATATTTTTAAAATTTGATAGTATTACTGAATCGATAAAGATGAATTTAAAATTTAATAAAATAATATTTTTATAATATAATAAATTTATTAATAATAATTTTTTAATTAATAAAAATTATTATTATAATTATCATAAATTATAATTAAAATATAAAATAGATAATTATTAAAATAATATATAATAGAATTTTTTAAAATTGACATAATTAAATAAGATAAAAAAAATCTTTATAAAAAAAATATATATTAAAAATTTTAATTTAATCTTTTTATGAAAATAAAATCGATCACAAATTTAATCATTTTTTTATTCTATTATTTTTATTTAATTAAAATTTGATATCTAAATTAACATGATAAATTATATATATATATATATATATAAATATATATATATATATATATATATAGAGAGAGAGAGAGAGAGAGACAACTTTAATTATTAATAGTAATTTTAAAAACGGTGTTTTTCAGCTAAAACCGTGTATAATATATTAACTAACTTGGAGTTGAAACAAAAATATAATTAAGGAGAAGTAAAAGGTGTAACTTTTTTTAAGGTTATGGTGAAAAGAAAGAATGAAGTAACAATAATTTGTTTGAGTAATTAATCTTACAAATCATGTTTTTAGTTTCTGCATTTATCTTCCTATAATTATTCATAACTGCCTTATATTTTTCATTAACCTCTTCAGTTGAATTGAATCGTGACATTTAATTCAACAATAAGGTAAACTTTCAATCATTTTATTTCCATAAACACGTAAATGTAAAAGCAAAGAAACATACATGCCATTGTTTAGAAAAGTTAATAAAAGAGTTTTTAAAAAGTATATAATATAATTTGAAGAAATGAAATAAGTTTTATCTATATTGGATGTTTGTTGAGAAGTATATTTCAACTAAACCTAATATTAAAAATATTTAAAGGAAAAGTCACGGTTGGATGGGATGTTCAGTCGGAGAAAGATTCCTTTCGATGATAACCTGAGCACAAATTATATGTTTTTTTTTTTTTTTTCAGAAAACACAAATATCTTGTCTTAGATTCGAAGACATTCGTAAAAAAAAAAAAAAAAAAAAGTTTATGCATAAAAAATTCTATTAGAATAGGATCATATTAGTAAAATTAGCATCTAAATGTTGGCAATACATTAATCCAATTACTAAACCTCGTACTAGAATGTCAATCTGTCTGATCATTATACAATCTGGCAACGTAAAATTATAAAATAATGTATGTTATTTTATATTCTATATTAGTGGTTCAAAGCTCACAATTTATAAAGATACAACACAAATGTATAATTTTTTTTATAAATAAAAATAAAATGATTTTGATCTCATTTAAAATAAATTTATATATACCAAAATTTAAAAATTAAACAAATCTACCGTTAATTGATTTGAATTTTTTAATCGCTGTATGAAAGTTTGCTCAAATCCAATTAATTTTATTTCAAAAACGTTCAGGTAATAAAACAATATAAATTGAATTAATTATTGTTATATTATAAGTATATTATAAGAATGATTTTGAAAATTCATAGTTTTTAAGCTAGTGCTTTGGGGTGTATATGATTTTGCTTTTTACTTTCAAATTGTGTATAAAAAATAAAAGTTTACAAGTCAGAATCTCTTTCAATTATTTTTTTTATATTTTATTTAATTTTAAGGTGCATTTACTTTTGTAATTAGTTAAGTTTTTTTTATTAAACATTTTAAATTATAATACTTTTATTTTATTTATATATTTACTTATCTTAACTGTATTTATTTACCATTAATAGTTACAAATATTAAATTTTAATTTGTTCTTTGATATCTAAAAATTAATTTATAGACAATAAATATTTATAATTTGTTAGTTATATGAAAAAACATTTATCAACTTAAATGCATCAAACTAAAATATTATATACTTACTTGATCCCAACATTATCTTAAAGAAAGATTTTTAATTTTATAAATATTTTAATATTTGTTATCGTGTGTCTGGATTTTACTAAAAGAGGTTATAATGTTGATAGTGTTTGCTATGAAACTTCGTATTTATCCTTATATTGGTGGAAGAAACAATGATAAATTTGTTGGGGAGTTTTATTTTTATTATATATATATATATATATATATATATATATATATGATTTTAAATTAATTTTTCTTGTTAGTTATTTAACATAATTTCATAGTATTAATAGTTAGTAGATATGTTTACTTGATTTTGTAGTAACCACGTAATAACTAATTGAAACATTTTTATTATTTAATTTTTTATGAAACTGCTGTCTTATAATTATAAAAATGAAATAAATTTGCAAATTATTTAATCCATTGACATTTTATCTAATAGTTTTTATTTTTTACAAATTATGTAGTTTCAATTGCATTTATAATTTTTAAATATAAATTTATTAAATATCATGGAAAAAAATATATTTTTTTGGAAAAAATACCTTAAATATTTATAAAACTATTTAATATACACTGCATCAATCAATAATTAATTAAATAAATAAAACGGAAACCAGAAGAGTAGGTACGGGGTGAAGGAGTACTGGTGGACCCCAGCTATTTAGATTCTTCTGCCAACCACATTTTTGAAACTACCATGCCAATTGGACGACTTATTATCATTTAACAATAGTTTAACAATTTCACCTAATATCATCTTGGTTATATTTGTCCTTTAATATTTATATTCATAATAAAAACAAAACATTAAATATTTCTACATCCTTCATCTTAAAATCTGCATGTTACATATTCAAAATCCATTATTTTAATGAGTATCTTGATTATCTAATTTGATTTTTTTTTTTACCAAGTGAAGAATCATTTTTTTTTCAATGATATGAAAGAAGTAGGCATTAAATGAATCAAGTTTAGCGCAGAAATGTATTGATTATAAAAAAAAAAAATACATTTGTGGAGTGAATTACATATTGAATCTGAGGAAGTACAATGTTGTAGGGGAAGAAGAACAACCCTCTATAAAACCCCACACACCCAATTCTTTCTTGCTCACGTAGGTGTTGAATCTCAGGATTCAGAGAAAGGAAGCGATAAGGAGAAAGAGAGATTTTTTTTTTTCTGTGAAGAAGGGTCTTTCCTTGATTCTTCTCTTCATTTCTACCATGTCGTTGCTCTCAGATCTCATTAACCTTAACCTCTCCGACACCACCGAGAAGGTCATCGCAGAGTACATATGGTTAGTCTCTTATCTCACTCTCTCTCTTTCTATCTCTCGCATAGAGAGTAACAGAGTTTTTCCTTCTGGTTGGTTGTTCTGTACGTACCGACTAGAACAAGCATGACAACATGGGAGATGTTTGTTTCTGTTGGTGTCTGCATGATTTTACGTGCGCTGGAACATTTTTCTGGGATGAATGTTTCGCATGATGGGTGTGATTTATTTTTACTTATCATTTATACGATCAGCGGTGATAATTGGTTCCAGCTGAATGAACTAGTCTCGTATGACATGATCAACTGATGTTTGAATTTCTTCTGTTGAAGTACTCATATTTAGTCTTCATCTGTGTCTAGAAGAGTATTGTTATATCTTCCATGTGAGAAAGAAAAAATATTTTATTTGATCCTTCACTCTGTCTACTTGCACTACCCTGCTTTCGTTCAATCCCCTTTTACAAATGACCCTGAGAATTTTTTATCTGAATTCATGATATCTCAAGAGCTTAAGTATTGCAAGAAGGACATAACCCCAATCTCTGTTGTTGGAGTTCCTTATGTATTGTTTATGTGATGTTTGTACTCTCTCGATTTTCCAGCCCCCTTTTCAATATCTTTTTTGGGGTAGTTTTGCTTTTTTTTTGGGGGTGGGGGGTGGGGGTGGGGGGTGTTGTTTTGACTGAATCAAAGATGTTTACTTTACTCTGTCTTCTGTTGGCTATGCAGTTTTGTTTTATTCAGTACATGATCGCTTCAAAGATGAGTTTACTAGTTTGTTTGGAATTAAATTGAAAGGAGGAAGAGTCTTTTACTTTTTTTTTTTTTTTGTAGACTTGGTTCTGTGCAAATTTTCCCTTTTGATGAATTCTAACATTTTATTTTCATTATGGTAGGATCGGTGGATCGGGAATGGATATGAGGAGCAAAGCAAGGGTAATTGACTTAATGTAGCAAGATGAAAAAAATTAAAGTTTTTCTTTGTATGTTTTCTGTTTTACTAACGCAAATATATTTTGGATTTGGGATATAGACTCTCCCAGGACCAGTTAGCGACCCATCAGAGCTACCTAAGTGGAACTATGATGGTTCCAGCACAGGTCAAGCTCCTGGAGAAGACAGTGAAGTGATCATATAGTATGGATTTTTAATCATGTAGCTTAATCACTTTTTCCCTATCCAATATTCAATTTGAAGAAAATTGTTTTCCATTTTTTTTATATTCTATTATTTACTTATTTGGGTTGGATTCAATACAGCCCGCAAGCCATTTTCAAGGATCCATTCAGAAGGGGTAACCATATCTTGGTGAGTTTCTTTTTACACATACAACTTGGACTTTTAGTAAGTTTAATTTTTAAAGTAGTTAATAACCAAAAATCAATAATTTTACTGTACATAACTTACAATTGGGTGGCAGTATAAAAAACCTTTATATAGTCACTGTATTCTAACTTGAATTCTCTTTGTTTTCGAACTTAAATTCACCATAGGTAATGTGTGATGCTTATACCCCTGCTGGAGAACCCATTCCCACTAACAAGAGGCACAATGCTGCCAAGATTTTCAGCCATCCTGATGTTGTTGCTGAAGAACCCTGGTATATATTGTTGTTCCATTGCTGTTTCTAATAATCATTTCTAGTTTTCTTGTTTTGACTGATTGTCGTTGAATGGTTTTATGTTAGGTATGGTATTGAGCAGGAATACACCTTGTTGCAGAAAGAGGTCAGCTGGCCTCTTGGGTGGCCTGTTGGTGGTTTCCCTGGACCTCAGGTGACTACTGACTTTCATTGCTGTTTTTATTTTTATGATAATTACTTTACCCACACACACATTAACTCAAATGGTTAATGTTCACACAAATTGGGGCTCTATGTGAATAATGAATCTAATCACTTTACACTATCAAAATATGTCCTTAACCCGAGTATGTTTAAATTTGTTGGAACCGTAATTTTTTTTTATGAAGTTGAATTTAACCCAATTTAAGCTCGTCTTTTGGGTGTTTTGTAAGACACTTGTTATATCTTGATTTTGGGGAATAACATTGTTGTTTTAAATGTTCAACAGGGTCCTTACTATTGTGGTGTTGGTGCTGAAAAGGCTTTTGGCCGTGACATTGTTGACGCACATTACAAAGCCTGTCTATACGCTGGCATCAACATCAGCGGAATTAATGGAGAAGTGATGCCTGGTCAGGTAAGTTGAAAATAGAGAAAATTATGCACCATTTTTCGTACTGAATTTTGATTACCCTTGATACTTTCAGCATCTGATTGGTATTTTTATTAAATCTCCCCATGGTTTTGCTTTCTCTAATTTGATTTCTTATCAATCTTGTGTCTGTAGTGGGAATTCCAAGTTGGTCCTGCAGTTGGAATCTCAGCTGGTGACGAGGTGTGGGTAGCTCGTTACATCTTGGAGGTAGGTAGCATGTGACTAGTGACTAGACCTGTGTTACTACTCTACCTATCTCATCAATGCAGCTAACTTTCTTTGTTATGACCACTGACAGAGGATCACTGAGATTGCTGGTGTGGTGCTTTCCTTTGATCCCAAGCCAATTAAGGTTAACATTTTCTCCCATTTAGGATCAAGTATTTTCCCATAAACATTTGTTCCAATACCATGAAAAAACTTGGGCCGTATAATTGTTATGGATTTTAAGGGGCATGCATGGTCAGAGTAAACCATCATGCTTTGCATTGGGATGAAATTGTAAAAGACATATGTACTATTTTCTATTATTTATTTACTTTTGTCGAAATGATAGAGTTATTGACTATTGTCTTTTGGGTTACTGAAAAACCAGGGTGATTGGAATGGTGCTGGTGCTCACACCAACTACAGGTAACCTTAATTACTTGAACAACAGGACATTAAAATTAAATTCTCTTTGATTCCTTTTAACTTATTAAAAATAATAATACTAATATTGATGATGATAGATAAAGTAATAATGGTAATAATATAATTTTGCAGCACCAAGACCATGAGAGATGATGGTGGCTATGAAGAGATCAAATCAGCTATTGAGAAGTTGGGGAAGAGGCACAAGGAGCACATTGCTGCTTACGGGGAAGGCAATGAACGTCGTTTGACAGGACGACACGAAACTGCTGACATCAACACCTTCTTATGGGTAAGCAACAAAATATGACCATACTATGTTCCTCTGTTGTTTTTTTTATTTGACACATTTTTCAATGTGAGACCAAACATTTTGGATCCTCTGTAATAAAAAAATAACACTAGGTACCCTTCTAGAAGATACTTTTTTTTATGTTTTCATTTTAATCACAAAATGTCATTTTCTTTTAACTTTTGATATTTTGTAATTATAAGTAAAAATAATAAAAATGTTTTTTAGTCAACATGACCTTAATAAAAAAACCTATTCACTAGTTTTGTATTTGTAATGAAACCTGCTCGGTCATTTTTTACAAAAATCCTTTCAATAATTTTGTTTACTATAAATTAGTTATTGGAAGTTCTATGGTATGTTTAGCCATGAGAGGAAGTTATAACAAGGTTTGTATTATATTTGATGATGATTGATGATTGTTCAGGGAGTTGCAAACCGTGGTGCTTCTATTAGAGTTGGAAGGGACACGGAGAAAGCAGGGAAGGGATACTTTGAGGACAGAAGGCCTGCTTCTAACATGGACCCCTATATTGTTACTTCCATGATTGCCGACACAACCATTCTGTGGAAGCCATGAGCAACACCTGCTGTTGTGTCTCCCTTTTGGGTGGAACAGGGAACAGTTATGTCTTTCTAAGTAGGATTTGGTCCCTTATTATTCACCTCTTACCTTCTAGGATATTTAGGATTTGAATTTGTGGTAATTGTTGTGGTTCGCACTGTGCTTGGGACCTTGTTGGTTGGTACTACTAACTGCCAAGGATTCTTCATTGCTTCCATTTCTTTCCCTTGTTTTCCTATTGTTATAAGAGTATTAATAAAAATAATAATAAAATATGGAAGTGTATTTCTCTCAAATCTGCACTTACGAGATTAAACTCCGCGTACCTTTTTTGTCAAGATGTATTCTTAATGAATGTTTTAACTTCATTAGGTTATATGTGTAATCAGAAAAAAATAGTATACACTGTAAGGAACAAATATATTGATCATCATGAATAATTTATAAATAAATTCAAATTTAGAGTAAATATTTGACCAAGTGTTTTGGGGAAATTTGAGTTAGGCTCCGAAAGAAATTCTTGACATATAAATTTTATTTTTTGTTATTCACGTTTCTTAAAGCCAAATATTTAAATCATATTATTAATTTACAAAACTTATACAATTTGTTTATAATTTAGAGAAGTAACTAGGTAAATAAAATTAATTTATTATTTTATATGATAACATTATCCGAATTTGTAAGTTAACTTATTATCTTTTATGTTTTTATATTTATAGTTATTGGGACACGTAACTTTAAATTACATTATTAATTAAAATATTCAAACTAAATAATTATTGTTTAAATATTTGTATAACAATCTTTTCGTATGTAACTTTTTAAAATAAAATTGGTTGTATTTCCCTTGTCGCCTGGTTGTTTTTATTAAGCGTTGTTGGGTATCTAGTTTTGGGTTTCTCACTTTATATATAAAAATGTTGCTTGGGCTGTAGGCCCATTTTAGAGCTGCCCTATTTTATCTTTGATTATAATTAAGAAAAAGGATGACAGATTCGCATAAAAATAAAATAAAATTACAATCAATGTTATATAAAAAAAAATCAACAAATGAAACTTTTAAATATATAAATATATATATATATATATATATATATATATATATGAACATAAATATCTATAGAAATTATTGATTTATCTTCACATGTTTAATAGATAAATAAATTTAAAATATAATTAAAAGGGATACGGAACCTTAAAAGAAAAATAGGAAGATGTTTCAATAAGTGTGGTAAAATGTGCAATAATTCTTACTGGAGAGAACAATAGAGAAAGGGAATCTGAACTCTTGTGTATTGCATGGTTAAGCTGTGAAAAAATAAAATAAAAATACATTTTATACAGCTTAAATAGATCTCATAACCACAAATTATATATATTTTTAAAACTACTATCTTTAACTGAACACTTTTTTTTTACTAAATTATTCCCCCAAATAAATTCACGTCCTTATTATTCTAAAAAAAAAAAAAACACACCCATAATTTTTCTATCGATATTAATTATAATGAGCTTATAAGAATAAATCTTAATTGTTACAAATCTTCAGAAGCTAAAGGAAAGACAAGCATGATGAAGATGCCTTTATGATATTAATTTATTTTCAAATTCAGTAACTTTGTAAATTTAGTTAAATATTTCATAGTTAAATATTTCAACGTAAAAATAAAATCCTATCATATAATTTTCAAAGATCAAAACTTAGATAGAAAATTTTTTCGTGAAATTTTAACATTCCAAATATCTATCTAATAATCATACAACTTTAATCACTTTTTTTTTAATATTAACAAACTTTTCCTAATATTATGTGATATAAAAAAATAAATATCCAAACACATAGCAAATTTATATATTGTTTAAAATGTATGCGATGTGAATTTTTGTAAAACAATATTGTTTTAAATATATTGCAATTATGAGAATCAAAAGAACAATTAAATCCTGTCGAGATGTGTTTCAAATAAGAAGTGATTGGTTATTGAAGATATTATCGTCTAGTGTTAATAATGTTTAGTAAAAGTTCAAGAATGTTCTAAAATGTCTTATTATAAATAAGTAAAGAATTATCCTTTTTTATTTATTTAAAGTAACATTTAAATTTTTTATTGATAAATTATGAGCAGGTAAAATTCCGAACAATTTTAGTTTTGAATATAACATACCAACAATAAAATTAATTTCATTTAGTTTCAAAAGTATATATATTTAATTAACTAAAAAAATGAAAAACATTAAAATGAAAATCATGAGGAGAATAAAGGATGGAAGCATAAACCTTTCGAACTCTGCAGCATCAACCAATCTGTTGTCAATCTTCTCTAGAAAACATGTCTCTGCGGGTGGCTGCAGCAAATTTGCTGAGAGAACTTCGCTTTCCTGCTTCCCATGCCTTCCCTGCCTCCACAGTAACCACAGATGCATTTTCCGGTACGCAAAACCATGCTTACTCTTTCATCTCAAATCTCGACATATCACTTTTTGTTGCAATTTAATGACACCCATTACATTCTCTTATTAATAGTCTCCTTCTGGGTTTGCTTGTTTTTCATGTGTATTCAACTCTTGTGGTGATTAAGATCATGTCTCTTTATATTTTAAAATTTAGATGGAGGGTTTTGTGTAAATGAGTGACATTTTACATATAAGAAATGGTTGTGAAGGTTGCACTCTTATAGCATGATGATGTTAATTTCCAGGGCAAGTTTATGGTAAATCAAAATGGCAACTTGCATTGCATCTTTTCTAGTTGTGCTATTTTTACAAAAAGACGTTAACTTCTTTAGTGTCAATTTTGAGTTTGGTGTTTATTGGAATTGAATATAGACAGAAAATTGTTAATTCAGATTTTCCACAAACCCTTACACCCACTTCCTAATTTTGAGGATTTTTTTTTCTGTCTCTTTAGCGTTGAAATTTTACATATTTTGGCATCTGTTATTGCTGACTTTGCTGCATAGGACTTGGGTAGGTTCATGGTTAATAAATTATGCATGAAAATGATTCTATTATCCTTCATGGAATATGATATTTGCCTATTCTTACTTTCTTATGTTTTTGTTATTCCAGTTCAACTCAAACTTTCGCGTTGGTACCAAACTGGTGCACATGGTTGGAGGATAAATCTTAGGGATACCTGTCTGTGGATTTTTATATCTGCACATATAGGTATGTTTTTTTAACTAAAAGGTACTCTTGTTTTGTTATTTGACCATTTTCAAATTGTAATGATGCTAGTTCTATAATTCTGTTATAATTATCCTATGCCTATCAATTTTTTTGCTTTTACTGGCTTCTATTTCACATGCTTATAGAACAATGCTGCAAAAGTCTCAATAAGCTTCCTTTCCTATATTGTTAAAGAAAACTGGTTCACCCTTATGGCTAGGTGTCTAGTTGAACTCCCAAAGATAGGTTTCATCTCCAAGATTCTCCTCATAGCATTATATCTCAAAGATAGCTTGAAGCAAGGATAAAGCTTGCACCGGCTTCTATCATAGCATTAAATTTAATCAAGATAGTAAGGATTGTGGGGATTGAAGTCCTCTGCCAACTATGATAGCACTAACTCAGATGTTAAAGCTTGGAGTGTGATTTTTTATGTTTGACTACACTGTCACCTAATACATTCCCTATTTATTAAATATACCCTTGGATAACTTTTAATAAAATTTAATTTTTGATTGAACTGTCTATTTGATTGTATAATTGGATAGTGTTAAGTTGATCACTCCTACACATTTAAGATGAATTGAAAACTTGAAAGTACAAAAACAGATTTTTAAAGGAAAAATATAAATTCAAATAGTTTGTGTTTCCTTTTCTTTTGGAAATCATATTGTACATTAAGCTTATGATATTATGTTGGAATGAAATTAATGTGAAATATCTTGAGCCAATTATCTCAACTCAACTCAAGAGCCTAAACTATTAGGTGAAAACACTGATGATTTGCACTAACATGTGTATTGCACACTGGGTTTCTAATGCTTACACCCCACCTTGTATTGAAGTTCAACTTATTATTTGAAGAATGGGTACAACAAGGATTTAGGTCTAGATCACTTGGTCAGAGGTTTTCTGATACCTTGTTTTCAGCCAATTATCCCAGAAGCATAAGCAGTTAAGTTGTTAAGTCAAGACACATGAATGACTTTATTTTGATTTCTCTAAAACTCTACCAACAAATTTTAAGGGCATGATCTACTTGATGAGCTTGATATCATTTAACTCAATGAATTATTTGTTGAAAACTTCATCCCATGGAAAAATATTTAATATTGTACCATTGGATATCAACATTGAAAATTGATTAAACAATATTCTCATATAATTGAAATTGACTAATCTGATTTTTTTGGAGCAATGACTTTAGGAATTAGTGCCAGCACTGCATTTGCAGAAAATGTGATAACTGAAGCATCTTCTAACAATGACCCGGGGGATGATTTAGTTGGCTTGAGAAAAATTGAGGATGGCTCTGTAGTATCAAACATACATACAGCAAAATGGAGAGTCTTTACTGATAAAGCAAGAGAATTTTTTCTACAGGCATGGTGTTTGTTATGAAGTTCTATTATGCATCCCATGTAGTGGAAAAAGATTGTTGTTGACTATCTATTATTTTCCAGGGAAAACTAGATGAAGCTGAAAAACTCTTCCTTTCTGCTATACAAGAAGCTAAAGAAGGTTTTGGCGAACAAGATCCACACGTTGCTTCTGCATGCAACAATCTGGTCATTTACTTGCAGTTGATATTGTTACTTTCTTAATTTATTTTATTTTTTATAAATGATTTTTATAGAATAGATTAAGGTATGAATTCAATATGGCTGGCAAGGTTACCTCCAGCTTGAGAAAACTAAAAGAAAAGAGTTCTAAGCAGCTTATTACTTTTGCATGCAATAGAGCAAGCTCCTCCAGAAAGATTAGCACTTCCTTGCCATAGCAGAATTCCAGTGTCTTCCATATCCCCCCTTCTCCTCCTTATGTTTCTACTACTTCTCTCACTCCTTAACTAATTCTGTTACACCTTTTGCCACCTCAACATTTTTCTCTTCGCACCCATATTTCTCCTCTGATACACTCTCCAAATCTTGAGCCTACTTTCAAAGTCTAAACCACATTCCCAGTCCTAACAATGTATACATTTCAATACATTTCATAAAGGCTGAAAACACAATCTTCTAATTTTTAAATCATTTCTTTAGTCTGTGCCTTTTTTTCCTTTTTGAAAATGCATTTCTAATCATGTAGAGTTCCTTGATGCCTATAGAGCATTTCTTATCCGCAGTCAGTTAGCAGGAAATATCTTGTATTTTCATATTTTTTGAATTTTTTCCCAATATTTGTTGAACTATTTCTGAAGCTTTTAGATTTCTGGTAAGGTTGAAACATCCACTGTAAATATGTTTTACATGGGAAAATAGCTCATGGTATTTATATTTGATGCACAATTTGCAATGGTCAACTCTTAATGGTATACATGTGATCAACACTTTCAGCTTCTTTATTTATTTTTTTTTTTCTTTTTTTTTGGTAAAGCAGTTTGGTTGGTTTATTATCCAGGAATATGATCCTTTGGTATTTAGCTAGTTGAGAAAGTAAGTGGCTCTGATGAGATGCACTTCATTTTGATTATTATTTTTTCAGGCAGAATTATACAGGGTTAAAAAGGCATTTGACAAAGCAGAGCCATTGTATTTGGAAGCCATCAATATATTAGAGGAATCTTTTGGTCCTGATGATGTACGGTAGGGTGCAATAATTGTGTTACCATCAAAATAATGCTTCATCTACTTTTAATTTTATAAGTTGAGCAACATTACTAGGAAGCAGAAATGTTTTATACAATAAATGAATAGAAATTATGATTATGTAGAGCTTATCAATCAGGTTTAATGCTCATTATGGGATATAAAGGATGATCTGAGCTTGCAGACCTGGGCCTTGGGAACATAAAATTGTGAAGGAGGAACAATTATAGATAAGAAAAATGCTAGAAAGTTTCATCTTAATCTCAGTGTATGAAGTAAAAGAAAAAGGCCGCATCAAGATTTCTGGAACAGGTCTTCAAATTTGTTGCTTCTGATTTCCTTGTTCCCGTGGGCTTGGTATGATATAGGAGTCAACTTTGAATCTGTTGTAATTCAGTGTTTCATGAGAGGACATAACATTTAGAGGTCAAGTATCCTCGGTCTTCTCTGCAGATCAATTAGTTGACATTTTTATAAAACCTTTGTATGGACCAAGAAAAATTTATGCATGTGATAAGTTGGATGCTTATGATATATATGCTCTAGCTTGAGAGTGTGTGTTTAGATATTTTGTATAATTAGGGAATATTAGGGAATTCCTACTTCTTTCCACTATTTCCCTTAATGGATTGTTTCTATTCCCTAAAATTATGTGATCGATTCTCTCAACCTTGTATGTAAATATGTATTGTTGTAATAATGGAATAAACACAATTTTTTTTATTATGGACTAAAGTAAGGACCAAAGTTGAGTTAAGTTATAGGTATAAAACCCCTTTAAACTATATGTGTGTATGGAAATGGACGTGAATATGTACATTGATATGGACATGAATATATGTCGTATATCCGTAACCATGTGGATATCCATATCCGTGTAGATATTTATATTCACATATCCATATCCATATCCTTTCGTGGCTTTAATTTGAATATTTGATCATTTAGGGTTGGGGTTGCTGTTCACAACCTTGGGCAGTTCTACCTTGGACAGCGGAAATTGGAAGAAGCTCGTGTTAACTATGAGGTAATTAGTTGAATTCAACAATCTTGGTCATGATGTCGTGCTTTGATGGTATTGTTGTAGTTAGTCTTCCTTCTTTATATTCTTTCAGTTATAGTGACCACCTTTTCTCCCGTTTTTTTGACAGCGTGCTTTGAAGGTATGGACCTATTATTCTCTGGGAGAGACAGTTTATTTTCTTCTGTATATCACCTTGTATTTCATTCTTATATCTTGACATCCTTTCTTTGGTTAACGATTGAGGCTGTATGTTGTCTTCATTTGAGTATGTGATAATGACTATTTATTCAGATAAAAAGGCGTGTTCTGGGGTATGGCCATTCAGAATGTTCAGATACAATGTATCATCTAGGAGTGGTAATTATTTGTCCTTTTACACTACTTTATTATTCTTTTTGTTCTGTTTGTTTATGTAGCCTAATACTATCTTTAGAAACAAGAAATCTAGATTTTGGAAGATTGATCTTGGGGTCAAAATAAAACACAAAGGTAGTGTTTGGTTATTTTTCAGTTGATATGCTTCTACACTAATAATTACAAAAATTCCACCTTTTTTTATGTTTACTATTTTTAGTAATTTGGAAGGGAAAATGTTCACCGTTTCCTTTACAACATCTTAGAAACAGGAAATGTTATAAAAACTGGCATTTTAATCTCCACTAGATTGAAAAACTAGTTTTTTGTAGGTGGAGCATGATACATGAGTCACACAGTACTATTTTCACATAACTTAGACACGCTACCACAACTGTGTACCCGAAAAAATGAGTTAAAATGTGGATGGGAGACGATTTATTTGTTTTAGAATGTAGGGGGAGAAGCAAGATACTAATCTGTCCTATATATTCTTAGTACCTGCTCTTTCATAAAGCTGTGGGGGAACATTTGTGCCTTAAGATCTACTTGTATTTTCGGGTTTGTTTTTCTTTATTTTGGCCTAACAGAGTATTTCTATTCTATCCTCTGATTTACACTTTGTGTTCTTAAATAAACTTCTTTTACAAGAAAGAAAACAATTGTGAATTAATGTGATGCCTGAAGGAGCAGAGTGACATAGCACAGTTTGGTTTAGATATATCTCTTCAGTCTGTGCTGGGAAGCAATCCTCCATAAAATCGTGGCAGTTATTAAAAAATATGGGATTTAAAAAGATTACCTATGTAATTTCTCAGGGATAAAATAATTTTCTTGCTTCTTTAAGGTCTTATGCTTACTAGGGGGGTTGGAATGTAATTGCTTCATTGGTGACTTTTTTTCTTTTTGATGCTTCTTGGAAGTTGGAATTCTTGCTCGACTGAGGATCTTATTCAACAATAATTGTGTGCAGGTGCTGTATCTTCAAGGAAATCAAAGGGATGCTGAGGCCCTTATTAAGGACTCTATAAGAATGCTAGAGGTTTGTGGAACATCTTTATGTGGCTTAAATTTCTTCTCACATTAATAGTTGGTAATTATTATTGTTGTTGTTGTGCTTAAGCTAATTTGTTTACGAATGTAGGAAGGTGGTGAAGGGGAGTCATTTGTATGCATTAGAAGACTACGCCACCTCTCACAGGTGACCTTTTAAGCCTTTTTCCTCCCAAATCATCTTCGATAAATATTGATGTCCATACCAAAAAATATAAATATTAGTTGGCAAGGATGAAAATTTAATATTTATCTTTAATCTCTTTCAAGTTCCTATGGGGTAGAAGCACATAGCATACATAATGTTAATATAAACTTGTGCTATCTCATGGGAATCAATTTACGGTAGGGTCAGTTATAATCGTTATTGGCAGAAAGTTGAAACAATAATTTATTATCAGAATATGTGTAATAATAATAGCTGTCATTAGCAGTTTTGTGTTATTAGAATATGTTCATTAGTTACTATTGTGCTGACATTCAAGGGCAGAAATTTAGGAGCTGTTTGCACTTTATTTTATGATGCTGTTGCATATTACTAAAATGTGTGTAATAGTGTAAATAGAATGATACATCATGTGTTTGTCTTGTAAGATAGAGAACTAGTCTATTTATGAGTCTGTGACTTGGGGAGACGGCTGATACTGTTCTGTTCTAAGTATTTTATCTGATTACGGGATGCTATTCAACTAGTGTTCTATCACTATCTATAAGTGGAGAAAGGGCACCAAAAACTAATTTCACATAATCCAAGTTGATTTGAGTGGTAAAATATTGTTATATTTAAGTGCTCTTAGACACAACTAGATATTAGATAAAAAACTATTCTTGTCTCTCCGCCAAACAACTTTTGAGAAGAGTTGGTTCTTGGCTCTATATAGGATTTTTTTTACCAGTTGGCAATGAATTTGATATTCTTCTTTCTTCATAATTTAGTTATGAATTCTAACTTAAGCCAAAATGAGTTTGTGCGTTTGTTTGATCCCTCAAAGTGGGTCTGTTCCTACTCTTCTGTTTATTAATTTTTCATGCTAACTTTCTTAATTATATCTACTTATTGCTATATTCTTTTAGATATATATGAAGACACATCAAGTTGCTGAAGCTGAGATGGTCCAGAGAAAGATCCTGCATGTCATGGAATTGTCAAAGGTTCTCTTATTAACTTTTTTCATTTGCTTTGAATTGACTTTCTTTTTAATGGTGATGCATGTATATTTTATAAAATATGTAAGTACTGGGTAAGAGTTTTTTTTTTTTTTTTTCTTTTTGAGAATAGTGGTTGTTAAGTGAAAGAAACTTCTGGTTAATGAAATCATCCTCACTAGTCAAATACAATTTCTCTAAGGTGGTTGAGTTTTTTTATCTGAGTGAATTGGTGGTTGCGCCTTATTTGCTAATGTTTTTCTGCCACTTTTACTGTCATGCCATTGTCATGGTTTAGGGATACAGGGAAGGCCTAGGCTAGTTGGTTTCTTTCCCTATTCTTTTTTTTTTTCACTGCATTGAGCAGACCCATAGATAGGGTGGTTGACTTCTTTTATTTTCTGATCTTAAGTTAAGTTCTGATAGAAATGCTGTTTCTATTCTTGCTGAATAACAATTAAAGATTCAAATTATTCTTATGTAGATTGACATTTTATTATTAGCATATTTAATTTATTTGATCAAATAACAGTACGGTGGTAATAGATAACGCACTCCAATCTTTAAATTAGTTAGGAGTTGGATTTCTTACAAAACAATCATGATTTGATCATTCATAAAACTATTATTATTACTTGACAATTGTGAAAAGAAATTAGCAGGAGTGGCACTAATGGCAGATTGATATTTTATGATGTTTCTTGGCAGGATTTTTGTGATCTTCTTTTTCCATTTTCTACTTTCTGTTTTCATTTAGAATTAGTTGTCTTGATCTTAGAAAATGTTGCATGAATGGTTATATCACAAATATGTTTTGTCATTGTCAATCACGATATATTTGATGTAATACAGGGATGGAATTCCTTGGACACAGTTATTGCAGCTGAATCTTTGGCTTTGACCCTGCAAGCATCTGGCAATACAAAAGAGTCAAAAGATCTTCTTGAAAGGTTATTAATACTTAAACCTGGGAAATTAATTTTGGTTTTACATAAATGAAATCCTCACTTCTTTCCTTTTCAGATGTCTAAATGTCCGGAAGGACTTACTTTCCAGTGACCATATTCAGGTATGTGGTTCTTTGACAGGTATTTTGGCTGTTCCAATTCTATTTAGATTTCAAATTCCCTAAAATTGATTGCAAAGCTGATGTTTTCTTACTCAAAGATACGTTCTTATCTTATCCATGCCCGTGATGAATGTGGTGGCTATGCTTTATTTACTAGAAATGACGACTCTTTCTCTATCCATGCTCAGATTGGTGCAAACCTACTCCATCTAGCGAGAGTGGCAATGCTTGACTGCAATCAACATAAAAAATTGGATGTTTCTAGAGCTAAAGCTGAGCTTGATATGGCAAAGAATCATTTGCATGATTCCATAAGGTTCATATTAGTTTGACATGATCTTTCATGAAACCCAATTAATTCATCCTACGTTTTGTATCTCTTTTCTAGTGGCAATTATTCTTTCTTTTTACAGTGCGGTTTTTTCTTAGTTATTTCTGTGTCCATGCCTTGTGGACTGGTGGATTTGATGTATACACATACAAACGTTCAATCTTATCATGTACAACATTTAGATTGGATTGATTCACTTAAAAAAGGACTAAACATATTTAATTGGTTCTGAAGTAGATTTATTTTATTTATTCCTTTTCTTAACATGATTTATTTTATTGAATGTGAAGGAGCTCAACTGATAGAACATTATATTGTGCTGTAACCTGATGGGCTTTGTTTGAATTATATTTGCAGAAGAAAACATTTGTGTTTTAATTTCCTCCCAGTATTATTGGATTAAACAAGGGATTTCTTGATTAAGAATTAGATTGTCTAATATAGTTTTTAATTGTGAACATTAATATAATTTGAACTATCATATTTTGAAGGATAATGTTTAGTTTAAGGAGTATGCATTTGCTTGGTTTGCCCAGCAATTACTAGCCATCTCCTAAAATTTCAAGAATTTGTCAAGTCTCTAGAATGAAGCACATTTATAATAGGCCATTTCTTGTTCAATCTCAGGATTGCACGTCAATGTTTAGCGAAGGTATCAAAACAAAAGGACAAGTTAAAGAAATACACTAAATCTGGAGAGTCTAGAAAGGAAGGCCAAGTAGCACTGGTCATATTGGTTAGTTTTATGGGATTACTCTGATTTGCTCTCTTTTGTGATAAAAAATTATTTGTTTATTAAATATAGCTGAAATTTTTTCAGTTGCAATCACTCAATACTTTGTCATCAGTGGAGTTAGATAAGCAAGAATTGCAGGAGATTCAGGTTAGATACAAGCCTTGATGGCAGTGCAACTAGGTTCTTGTCCCAAAGAAATGAGAAAAATTGCAAATATCATATTTCTACTTGGTTAAGTGTTAATGTTCTATTGCTAAGCAGGAAGGGGCTATTAACCTCGAGGCTCAGGAGGCACTTCTTCAATGCATTTCTGCTTACAAGGAGGTAAACGTTTTTATGTGATATCTTTTCTTGGGAACCTTGCATACTCTAATTTTTTTAGTGAATTAGTCTCAGATAATTAATATAGTATTATGGAATATTACTGAGTAGTATAACATTATTTCAAGTTAAAAAGGTTGATTTTTTTCTTTTCTGAGGAGAGCATTTATATAAGTTTTGTTGATGGATCCATTTCTGCTCAAAAAATAAAAGTGGTTACTTCTGGCTCATCAGAGTAATCAAATATGAAGTGAAGTTTGATTACTAAGTTCTTGCTATTCCAGTAATTCTGCATAGAAATTCTGGTGATGAAATATATTACGAAGGTGCATACATGGACTGTGCAGTTTGGAGATGAAACATTGTTATTGGATACGGTAGCTTCTACAATGGTCCAAGATACAAGAGTCATCGATGGTCCATAGATCAAAGTCGTTCATTTTATATTACAATATTTGTCTCTTAATCAATAAAACGAATGATTTGGATTGATAAACTATCCATGGTCCCTGATATTTGTGACTATTGAAGTTGTTAGTAACACGTTTACAACTTCATTCTTTCTTTGCAGTTTGTATCTGAGAGGTCAATTGATGATACCCCAGAAATAAAGAATGAGTATATTTCATGTTTAAAGCGCGCTCAAAATTTGCTCGGACAAAAACTTGATTAGAAGCCAAGCAATCAAACACCTAGACAGGATTTTTTTTCTCTTTTTAATTTTTTTTTTTTTGTATGTGTAGGTGTTTACTTCAATTCAAAGGGAATTGTTTTTGTTGATAAAGAAAATAATTTAAAAGGAAAATGATGCTACTGAACATAGAAATATTGTTATTAATTACAGTACCTTGATATTGGACTGTTCTGTGCTCAGTGATAGTATTATGCTTTGATGTCACTTCCATTGTTACTATCCCCATCCACCCAGATTTGGTTCAAGAAACAATATTTATAAGTTCTGGGAAAATTGCAGTGGTAAAATTTCTAGTGATTAAGCCTTTATAATTTTTCACTGAAAAACAATACTCTTGTATATTTTTGTTATTTTGTTTCCAAACATGCATATCTAAAGGTCTAGTCTAAAAGAAGTTTCAGTATGAAAAGAAGAAACGATAAGTGGGAGGAAGAAGTGGTTTACGGAAATCCAAACATATAAGTGCCACTTTGTCACTAAAGTTGCATGGATATCGTCATTGAGCTTGTGGATATGAGTTGTTTCAACTTAATTGGAGGTTTGAGTACATCTTTTGCATATGCAGTTGCATCAAATACTTAAAAGAGAGAAAATTTAGTCATGTATAGTGAATACTAGTCTAGACAAAGAATGTTGCAACAGATTCTTACAATGAGATTACTTTGAACACATTTACCTATTCAAAATTAATTTTATGAATTTCTATTTAAAAAAAATTAAACTAAGAGAGACAGTAAGATTGAGCAGGATGCAGTTTACGAGCTCTGAACAATTGCCAAAAGAAAGATTATGATGGGAGCATAAAGGAAGTTCTGATTGTGAACTTTTTATTTTGGTAAACCCCACGCTACAGTTTGGAGTGGTTTCTGACTGAACCTAAAAGCCTCTAAAATATTTTGGAGAATAAACCTCTCTTGGTGCAGACAAGTCAGAAAAATACATTGCTAAAAGCCGAACCAGTTTCTCACAGGAGCCAAACTACCACACAACTTTAAACTTCTTGTAGGTCCGAATACCCATATTTCATTAATGATGTTATTAAAATTCTGACAACATCATTGTGATTTGTGAACACCTAAAAGAAGTCACACACCATTCCTGACACGTGAATTTCTCAACCACAACACATTGCACTGCACGATGGAACATAAATTTTCCAAACACATTCACATTTTTCAAAAAAAGTGGTCTCAAGTGATCATGTCCTCCATGCTCTTCTCTCTGACCTCTCTGGTTGAGAGAAAGAAGCCTCAAGAAACCACAGATGAATTGGCCATTGTGAAAGCAGCTGCATGGGCATGGTATCAACATGGTTCAGGGTCTAAACCAAAGGCCAAGAGTGAGTTTCATGTCACAAGATCTCAAAGTGTAGCAAGGCCTTCACGTTACAAGTTAGAAGCTATGAGAATGGCTAAGGAAGCACCATCAATTCTCACCATTAAACCTCTTCTTGACTCTTATGAAGTTCAGTGCATTTCAAAGCAATTGGATAGGCTGATAAAAGGGTCTGACCACAACAACATTGGCAATGGCTACAACAATGCAGATAACAGTGGTGGTAAGGATACTGGTAACAGAAGGATGAAGAATAAGAAGAGGATCACTAAAGGGGGTAATGTGGTGGGTGGCACTGCTTTATCAGTGAAATGTGTACCTGTTGTTGATCTGGCTAAGTGTTTGCCAAAGGCAAATCATGCTTTGTGATCATCTTCTGTTTTCCATCACTAGGCTACTTTGGTGATTGGTAGGTATATCTCAAGGGAATGTACTCAATGTTGCTATAGAATAAATTTGTTAATGAACACAAAAAAAAATAAAAATAAACTAAGGTGTTTATATATTATTTTATCTGGAATAAGGCTTTTTATATAAAGTCTTATTCAGGTATTGTAGATGGAAAAAACCATAATTGAATAGTCGCATAGATTTTTCAAATAAAAAGTTAAATATTATTAAAGACGGTAATTTGTAAATTTCCTAGTGAAAATTAAGCATCGTTAAAGTAGGGAATATATATATATATCAATTGTATGTACTCAATGTTATAAAATAAACTTGTTACTCACCCCTAAGAAACTTAAACTAAGGCTAACTTTGTCTATATGTTATTTTTACTAAACTTATATCGTTAAATAAAGTCTCATGTTTAACTATTGTGAAGAGACCCTATTAAAAATAGTCGGACATGCTTTTCTAACAAAGATTAATTATTATTATTATTATTATTATTAAAGTCCGTAATCATTTAGATTTCTTCATAGAAATTAATCATAATTAAATCTGATGATACGCGGTCCAATAATATATGATTATCCAAAAAATAGTTGTTTTCAAGACTTAGCTTCTGTTAATGGGTAGTATGTTTTTGTGGAAAATGAAGATGAAAATGTTTATAGAAGAAAAGTAAATAGAAAAGCTTTAATTTCTGGAATGAGGGATAAGAATCACATGAGTGGGTGTAATTAAAAAAAGTGTTGGTGAAGGTAAAAGGCCTTTTAGGACCCAGTCATGTGATTCCCGCGACTCTAACGTAGCCTCCAACGAAGGGCATATACCACCAACATATTTCATAATCCTTACCTCAGTTTGAAGGCTACTCATTCATTTCAAGTTTTCACTTCTATTTGGAAGTTTTCATAATTAAAAAAAAAAAAAAAAAAACTAATTCCTGGAACTAGTGTTTAATTAACAAGTTTCCAATACTTGACATTATTATTTTTTGTTTGCTAGTAATAGTAATGATTAGGGATCAAAAGTACTAGTAATAACATTATTCTTTTTTATCTGCTAGTAAGGGAGAAAAAAGTAGCAACTAGCACCCTAGAACATATTTACTTCTATAAGAGTGGTTTATAAATAAAAATATTATTTTAGTATAAATTTTATAAATATGATTTATTTAAAATTGAAGAGAATTATTTATAGTGAACTCGATCAAGCTTCAACGTAGCTTTATTTAATTTTGACAATAAAACAAAAAGAAAATGACAAATAAAACCAGAAAAGTGTATACTGTTGTGGGCCCAAATTAATGCTATTTTTGGCCCTATTACCAGGCTGATGATGATTTGGGCTGGGGCCATGTTTGTCATTTCAGATTTAAAAGAGACCAATTCACGACCCAGATCAACAACAACAATTTTTTTTTTATGTAAAAAGGATAGTTATTATTATTAAATTATTTAATGAATTTTTATCATGACATATTTTTAATTAAGTTTAATATAAAACTTAAAATATCTTTAATGGTTAATTTTAAATATAAGGATGGAGGAAAAACTGTAAAAAGGTAAAATATATAAATAAATAAACTTCAAAGTGTATAGTTATAGTAATAAAAGAAAAGAATAAAAATATTATAATTACACGTTAAAGGAGTTGTTCGATCTAAGTTTTTTTTTTCAATTTTTAGTTTGAATTAAAATTTTATTTTTTACTTTATTTCTTGTTTTTAAAAATTTATAATTAATATATATATATATATATATATATATATATATATAATATTTTCGCTAAGTTTGGTACAGATAAAATTATAGTTTTGAAATCAAATATTATACAATTCTTGCCACTTAAGATAAAATTTATCAAAAAAATATAAAATTATATTGGTTTCACTTCTTTGTAATAAATCTCACTAATTATATTTATAATTTGTGCTAAAAGATAATTAATAAAATAATATTATATATTATGTCAAGTGGATACTGGATGAACTAATTCGCGATGAAATTAGTATATTTTTAAGGTAGAAAGAATTGCATATTGATTATTCCTTATAAATTTTTAACGTGACTGTAAATATTCAATTAAACTATTAATAACAACACTAAGAGTACAAATTTGATTTATAATTAAATAATTACTATTAATCCAATTTGTTGAATATGGATGAATGAGAAAACAAATTAGAATAAATAAATAAGAGAAAAAACATGGGACGTTGTGTTGGTGTATCCCATGAGTTGTAGTACCGACTAAAGCAAAGTTTTTGCTTATCTCTTTCCCTTGTCTTGTCTGGCTCTGTCCCAACCAAGCACCAACTAAAGGCTAAAGCAACCAACCATCACATAATACAAACCCAAAATCATCATAAAAAAAAAAAAAAACCCTAAAATTTCTGAAACAAAAGCACCACCATCACATTAATGACAAAAGTAAGACACCCTATGTTCAACATTTACATTTTAAACATTGTTCCTGTTATTTGATATAATTAATATAATTTATACACTGATTGAGTTTTCTAATTTTACTTAAAATTTTATATATGATAGATTTTAATGAATGATTTGTTGTATTCAATTTTTATATTTAATAACTTAAAAAATAATAAAAAATTATTAAAGTAAATTATTGAAAAATAAATCTGAAATTAAATAATATAAAAATAAATTTAACTTATTACTACAAATAAAATAAAAATTAATAAAGAAAATCAACTAAATTGTAAAGATCTTTAAATGATTATATTTAATTCACAACATTTTTTCAGAATATAAATTATAAAATTTAATCATTACTCTTAATTATCTTTATTTTATTTTTTATATATTATTTTTTATAACTGCTAAGACAATCATAAAATTAATAAAATAGAAATTATAAATTAAAATATTTCAAATAATTATTTTTTTATAATTATTTTTTTATGATGGATTCTCGTTGCTTCACATCAACCACTCAAATTATCTTCTACTTAGACGTGATTTTTTAAAACAAAGATCTACTAATGTTTGATTTATGAAGCGTTAAGATTTAAAAGAGATTTTAATTTTAAATGAAAGAATCATATGTTGACTTTCTATATATGAAAGAAAAAAGTATGAGAAGCCCGAGGAGGGAAAGGGTTGGATTGGGACCATTCCCACAGACGTGCCACCCCAAACACACCTACTCCCATGCCCATAACATAACCTAATTCACACTTCCTTTCCCTTTCCATCTCCACTTTATCCATTCATTTCACCCTTCAATCCCTTCTTTTTCAATGAATTCGGCAGTGTTTTTTGTACCTAAGTGGAATACTATATCACAACTTTCCACATCTTCTGTTTCTTTTCAGCCCAAAATCAGAGATTCCATTGGCGTGCCCCAACTCCAACTTAGCCATAGCTGTAAAATATATAACAAACAAATGAACTGTTTGTGTAATTATTATTACTAGAATCTTGGGTCAGAAAATACCATAACATTTCTTTGGGATTGCACTCTTTTTTTTTTTTTTTCTCGAGGCAAGGTGAGGTCTGCTCCACGATTTTATATGGCCAGCTGGTTCCTACAAATAATGTTCTGACTGTGACGTAACTTGCTTTCCAACTATTCTCTCTCCTTCCCTTTTCACTCTTCACTTCTTCATTCTCTGCAACACCTGATTCAACTTCTATTTCCTTATAGTCACTAATACTGAAATAAAATCACACCTAAATAACTTCCAATTGCATCTTCTATGATGAAAGTATTGGAATTTTTGAAAGTAAAACACGGTTTCTTAAAACTTGAAGATAGTTTCAAAATCTAGGGACTATTGTGTGTAAGGTCGTAACTCATTTATTGCTTCTTTTGAACCACTCTGGAATTGTTGTCACCCTTATCTCTAAGATGTCCCACTCGCTTCTTCTGCCGTTTATTCACGAAGGTGTTCCTTCTCACAATTTTCAATTTAACGGAAATACACAGTTATGGCTGCATAAATCTTACCAAAGAAATATCATAATTATCATCAAAATAATTGAATTATTTATAACTGGACAATATAATATTGTATTCAAATTCTTAATATTTGCTACGAAATCATTTCAAGCCACGAGCTTATTTGCTTACATGCAGCCCCTTTTGTTAGTTAAATCATCTAAATTATAGTTTGAAGCTCAATTTAATAATTAATACACGAACTAAAATTTGATTAAAAATCAAGCATATTAAGTAAATATACAAATTTCAGTTATATACAAATCAACTTGTTTTGGTTCATAAATCAATTTAGTGTAATAAATTATTTATATATAAATTAATCTTATAAAATTCATATAAATACTTTTTAAATAAGTTTTATATTGTTGTGTAAATAAATAAACGTAAATATATAAAATAATTGTAATTTTAAATAAGTCAAACTAAATTTTCTGTAAGCTTAAATCGAATTGAGTTTAAATTAAAAAACCAAAATCATATGAAATTAACTCTAAATTTTAATCGAGTCAATTCTTAAGTCAAGTCTTACTTTCATCTATACTAATAATTATTAGTCCCAAGTCCTGACTAATAAGTCGTTACTATCTAATGCAAGTCCATAGCATGATAACGTGAAGAATAATGTCCTTCATAATCTCTCTGTACACTATCTTTACAAGTTAGTGTATTAGGTATAAACGACAAAATGATCAAAGCTATGAAATTATTAAACGGGACATAAAACCACCTTCTTCAATAATTTATATAAAAGACATGTCAATTAAGTATTAATCAAATGTAACTAATTCCAAATTATTGAAATTCATTTATATAGTATTTAATTATCTTTCCAACAAATTACTTTGAACAATTTGTGTGATTGCAATTCATATAATGTTTACTCTTTCTTGACTTTACTTAGTAGGGTTTCAACTACATCTAGGATTTCGATATCAGAATAAAAGAATAATTAAGCAACTTAATAAGAATTAAAATAATTTTACTACCGTACAAAAATATTTTCATGACGACATTCCACACGGGTTATTTGATAATAAAGTATATAGCAGATAATATATTTATATATTTTTGTAATAAATGTCCATATAAGATATATAGTAATGTTGTATATAATTAAGATTTAGTTTTCAGAAACTCTTTCAATTAAACTAGATAATTATATTTATGATAAATGATCTCAAGAATTACTATAAAAGAATGTAAAACTGTTAAAAAAAGGGGTAAAAAGACCGGGTATTTAATATTTTTACTCACTTTTATTCTCTTACTTATTTCTATGCAATAAATAATTTATTTTTTCTTTTTCACCCATTTTTGTCTCATTCATTCCTAATTTTCAACAATTTTGTTTGCTATAATGAGTAGGAAGAAAAGGGGAGGGTTTGGTAGGGCTCAATTACAGACCTAGATCAAAACTTAAATTGATGTACCCATGTAATATAAATAAAGGAAGTAAATATTTATCAGAGATTTTGATAAATTAAAATATATTTAAAAAATAATTAAATAAAATATTAAAAAAAAATTAAAATACCCAGAAGGCAAGTTATAAGCCGGGCCAATGGGGAAAATTATTTGGGTGTTCCTTCAGGTTATTTGTGTGAGAAAATATTTTATCATTAAATAGTAGGGACACTGGACAGTTGGAAAGTGTCTTTCGTTTATTAGCTGGTACCATGCAAATTAAGTCTATTATAGTAGTTACATAGTACAGAAACTTATCGCCCTTGCAAATAATTAATTATAATTTAATAAACAAATTTACATATTGAATAAATATTTCTTTAAAAATACTCACCAATATTTGCAAAAAATACTGGTTAACTTACCTTACCAGGTTTTCTTCCTTGTTTGTTTCTACTTTACAAAAGTTCAAATTAATTGACCGACAATGCTGTTTATATATGATAAGAAAAAAAAACTTGAAAAAAAAAAAACAAGCTAGTTGAATGCTTAGACGATTAATTGTTGTACAGAGGCAAAATCAATAAAATTTATTTGATGACAAAAAACAAGCTAGTTGTGCATATGGAATAGGGTAACATAAGAACTAAACCATCATTCTACATTTTGTGGGACATGTGTGAAGAGATTTTTATGCGTGTGGGCAACATAACTGTATTTCCCTTATAATTTATATTTTGATTTTATTGTTGCTGTCAATAATTACAGGCTGTGCATAAGTATTGTTAAAGCCTAACTATTGGGTGACTTAAAAGAGAATAAAGGGAAGAGAGAAAATGAATGATAACTTATTTGTTTGGTTATATAAAAAACAAAGAAAAGTTGAGCTTTATAAGGAAATAATCTTTTCTCTTCAATTCAGATCACTCTCTTCTTCTTCTTTTTCCTATACCAAAGACTTGTTAATACATTCTAAAACCCAATGATGAGACAAAATTCTAACAAAAAATAATCACGTTTATGCTGTAATGAAACAAACAAGAAAAAAAAAAAAAAAAGTAAATTGACTCACTGCCATTTCAACACTTTGTCCAGCATTTGTTGAAGTGTTTGATAAAAACAAGTGGTATACGTATTATGACTGAAACATCATACGTGTTTCATAAATACCCTCTACCTTTTTTATTCGATGCTGAGTTGAATGGGGTTTTAATGATTTGATATTTGCACAAGATCATGAGAGGAACAAAGGCACTGTTACGTTGTAGAATTAAAAAACATGTTGGAAGATCAATAATAATGTTGAATGCGACGGTCTTGTTCTTTCCATGCATGTTTATGTATAGTTAATATATATTGGATGATTTTTTTGGTTAGTGCATATAACTACAAGAAATTCACAAATAATGTACATAATGCAAAAATAATTTAATAATATATTAACTTTGCTTAATTTGATTAAAATGAGGTTCACTTTATTCCCATAAGGGTGTAACATTATTTTGTAAACGACTTTAATCATACGAAAGATATTGTCGGGAATTAGAAGTGTCTTGGGCGGCGAACTAGTCCAAAGTAGCTGGTCTTGTCCCATCCCACCTTATTTTTTCTTCGTAATCGTAAAATCTTGTTCCTTCGCTTTCCTCCTTCTACTACGAATGCTTTTGTCCTCTTCTTATCAAACCAATACCTTTTTACCTTTTTGCTAAATCTTATTTTAAACTATATTATCGTATTGCTTAAAACCACTTTTTGTGGCGGCATGGCCATTACTCAATTTTTTAGGGTTCGAGAATTTTTATACATCAAATATGTTTCTAAAAAATTACCAGCTACATTTTAGTCTATTTTCCCTCACACATTCGTCTCCCTCACAGTTTTACAATCTGCAAAAAGAAAATATCACGTTAACCGGCCGACACCTAAATTATGTACTTCCTCCATTTAGTAGGATAGTTGTTGTTTTTTTTTGGGAAATAGTTACATTGCCAGCTCATTCCCTCTTTCTGAAGATTCATCAAAAATGAAAAAAAGGAAAAGAAAATAAAAGAACTTTCGCTCTGCTCACAAATTAGCCAGTGTTGGCAACGTGAGATTGAAGACTAAAGATGGAGGTGAGAGAGACATGCACGTTCCAAATAGACAGAGAGAATCAATAAAATCAATTTTTTTTTTGTAAATATTGAAAAAGATAAGTTACAGTTCTTTTAACAAATGAAAAAGAAAGTTTCTTTAAAGTTTTTTGTCTAAAACAAAATATAAAAATATCAACTAACCAAAAAAAATTAAAATAGAAGTTAATACATTATATTATAGCATTAAACTATAAATATGATTTTAACTCTTTATATGAACTTTGCTTACAATTTTTAAATTTTCAACAAATTTTAACTGAGAGTGAAAAAAAAAATGGATAGAAATATATCAATATCAATCTCCTTACACACGTGTTCAAAGTGAAGAAAACTTCTGTACTCATTAACTAGAGTGGTCATAATCAGCCAATACGGATTTAAAACAAGTAGTTAAAGATATTGTATGAATTCGTGCTTTCTTGTGACGTAGATTTTGTATGAATACTCAGCTTTATCGTGATGTAGATTTGAATTCTTGCAATGCTACTTTTCCAAGCTGGTAGACAACTCTTTTCAAGTAGATAACTTTTTGACATGAGAAACTAGTTAGTAATTGCAACCTGCAACTTGCAACTTGCAACATTATGTGTGATGCATGCCACGAGGTGTCACATTCAAACCTTAAGACCGCCACTCTATTACTTGCTCATGGTAGTATAGTAGCTGTCTTCACAAAGATGGTCCTCCCAACTTAATTCCAAGAATCCATCGCCATTGTTCAGAAACAAAACTTTGAATGAAACAGACCAAAACTAATTGTAATATCAAATACTACGCATACCATTACTTCTTTCATTAATTACAAATAATACACAAACTCACTTGCTTTCACTGTAAAGGCCCCGACATTAACTTCTTTTTATGAGCCTTCAAAAAACTCCTGCATTACAATTACTAAACGTTATTCTAGCTCAAGGCTTGCCAAACAAATTATTACTAAAACGCGTTTGAGGGTTGTTAGCATGACATTCATAACTACAAGCTTCAGATGGTAATAATTTTTAGGTTAAAGTGCCACCGAATGTGGATTGGTACTTTTTTGGTATTTGTAAATGCATGCAAGCAATGAACATCAAATTTTAAAATAAATATCGTTACTTAAAACCACTAAAAAATAGAAAAACAAAAACAAAGCAATGGTTCATATATGTTAATATTAAATATATATAATACACATCATCTAATAAATCCTCGTATATACAGTGTGGCATGGTCTCGTTCATAGTTTATGTGGCTTCTTCACGCATCTTCCAAAAGCAGCCCCACACGTCGATCTACAACGATCCACGTTTTCGTGTCATCATGGCAACAGTTGTAGAACTTTCTTTTTCTTCCTCGCTCTTGGACCGTGTGATTAATTTCAACTTCATCCTCCTCTCACCAATATCACACTCATCACACACGTGACACGTTGATATTTCTTCGTACAAAAATCCCTAATCACCTACAGCTGACTCAATGCACCACCATGTATCTAAGCGTCACCTCTCTATTGCGCCACTTTGCTACAATCAGCCGCACCGAAACCCACTCTGCGATTGGCGAGATCAAACTCCACCCACAAATTCTGCTGGTGGAAATTCCCAATGATGTTACTGGCCGCACCCAATTTATCAGAGTTCCCAATTCCAATGCAGTGGACCCCACCCCCCACACCAGCGAGAACCCTCTCCTTGGGAATCACTATTTCCACGCCCTTCTCGAACTCGAACACCATGCCCCCTATCAACCGTTCGATCTCAACCGCATTCCCATCAAAACACATGTCCGCAGATCCATCGTACACGTAGTCCTTCTTCATTCTGGGCCCCACAGCCCTCACTATTTCCGCCCGCACCTTATTATAAGCCTCGTTAACAAGGTAAGTAAAGTCCGTTCCGGAGTCAACCATGGTTTGACCCGATCCGCCTGCGTCAGCACGAAACACCGCCGGCGAGATATTTAGTTTTCTCCCCCCAATTCTTATCCCCTGCAAGGCAACGGTGTAAGCCAAGGGATCAAGATTCGGCATGCGTTGACTAGGAGAAAAAGTCAACATTTCGATAAACCGAAACCGGAGAGAATTCGGGTTCTCGCCTAGGTAAAACGACCCGGTGGGAGTGAACCCGGGTCGGGTATCGCGGGTGGGGACGCAGTAAGAGAACTTGGTAATTTTGGATTGTGAAGCGAAGGAGAGGCGTCCACGGTTCATTCCCAAAATGCCCCTAGGGTCGGTGGACTCCGTGGCGCAGCCGAGGATCAAAGGAGGGGTAAAAAGGGAACGGGAGAAAGTGAATTTTTCTCTGACGAGATTGCCCTCGGCGTAGGTGCCGTCGGCGTAGAAGTAGGAGTAGTGGCAGAGGCGGTTCTGGTCGCAGGAAGTGGGGAGGGTAAAATCGGGAATTCGGGGTTTGCACAGAGGGTGAGTGCAGGGAAGAATAGAGAAAGTGGAAGAGAGAGAAGGGTCAAAGGACACCGTTGGGGGAGGCCTCTTGGGTGCTTTTTTGTGACACTGAATCCACGATAGTTGGCTTCCGGTGTCCAACAGCATAGGCTGAACCTGTGGCGGGGTCCCAATGGGAAGGTTCACGACTAAACCTAGGGAGTATTTGATTGCTAGCTTGTAGTTATACGGAGAAGAAGGCCTCGTGACTCGCGTGTTGTTTCTGTTGCGGTTGGAGTTTGCAATGAGAGAGTCGTGTAGCATCTTGGAGGTGGTGTTGGTGGAGAGAGGGAGTGTCGTGAGAGGGAAGGAGAGTGAGAATGCGGTGCTGTTGAGTTGCAGAGAGGGGTGTCCAGAGGATAAAAGAGAGAAGGAGAAGAAAAAGAAGAAGAGATGCATGTTTGAGAAGAACATAATGTTAGTATTGTGTGAGAGGATGGCATCGCAGGTTGTGGTGTAGGGTGTAATGTGTGTGTGTGTGTGTGTATATATATATATATATATATAGTGGGGGAAGGGAAGAAAAGAGGGGAAGAAAGAAAGGCAAAAAGAAGACGCGTTTTGTTGGGTTGAGTGTGGTGGATCTTGTTATTCTATTTATCTTTGATTTGGCAATTTCAGATCTATCTATCAATGTATTTCTTGATCTTTTTATGTTATGATCCCACCCAATTAAATATGGGTTGGGATATTTAAAGTTGGAAGGTGTGTCTCGGTTAGATGGTTTTATAATTTCATTTAAGTGAAGGGGGTATCTGTCCTATGATCTCTGTCCACTTCCTTACGTCCCTTCTTTATTACGCTCCAATACTTGTCACACTTCCGGATACTTCTCTACCTAAATTACTTTTTTTTTTTTTTTCTTTTAACTAAAACTTAATTCTATTTCAATGATGTGCAACTTTTATTGCTACAATTTGAACAACTAAATTACTCCAACATAGGAAAAGAGAGAGTTAGTGAGATATTGTTGTAAAGAGGAGGGTGACGTATGATTTGGGGGAAGAGAAGGTGGGAGATTGATGATGGTCAACTACAGCTGGTAACTCAACACTATACTTCTAGTGTTGTAGTAGGACACTATGTCAGTAGGTGATGTATAGGTGGTCAATGGGTCACTAAAAAAGAAACACCACTCCAAACATATTTTTTTATCATTATATTACTTATCCAAAAATAATAAAATATTTAAATTACAATAAAGAAATTAATACGATGAATTTTAGAAATACCAAATCTTATTTAACTTTATTTCTTATAATTGAATTGGATCCCACTTTATAAAGCAACTACACTTTCCGTAGTTATTATGTTAGTGCTTCATTTTTTTAATTCCGTATTTGTTCACTCGCACAATGCAAAATTCAAAAACCTTTTATAAAAAAATTATACAGAAACGTATTATCAATGATAAAAATAATATTGTTCTACATTATTCAAATTAAAACATATATTCGTTATTTCTCATGTCTTATTCGTTATGCATATTCAACAACTTTAGTATTTATAGAATATCAACATTTTTAGTAAATATTTCTTTCACACTAAACAATATTTTTCCTGATTTAACATATATTTAACTCAACCTTTTCTTAATAAAATACAAGTAATGTATTTACTTTGTCTTAGTTCTAAAATAAGATACACTATTTTTTAGATATATTTTACGCAAATAAATATATCTATTGACCTATTGATATATACAAGGTTCACGACGGATATGGGAATAATGGTTGTTACAATAGAAATTAACGAATTTTAACTTTTTTTTTCCCATTATTATTAACTCTTCATTGCATTCTTTTGTGTATATTGTGCAATCAAATGTGTTGAGTTCGATTAGGTTAAAACCAAAAAAACACAAAGTTAGCAAATTATATTTTAATAAGGAATATATATATTGTTATAATCCTCGTTAGTTTGTATGAAATTTCCGTATTATCGTAATCGTTCTCTGGGAAGTGGGAACGAATATATACATGTATATAATTAAATATTTATAAACCATGCGGATATTATGATAATATCTAAAGTGTATTTGAAATGAAGTAATTGACTTCTGAAAAAAAAAACACAGTCAATCGATTGTTGTCTAAAATTATTGAGCCGCAAAATTGTTTGTCCCATTGAAAATCCTATAGTTTTTGCATATTTTGTTATACTATACAGCTCGCACATTATGTCTCCCAACTTTAATGCATGAGTTTGAAAATTTGTCCGACAAAACTTGCAATTTATCTAATATTTTGTCACTACGTAAAACAACCATCGATTTGATAGCTATCTAATTCATTTCCGCAAATATCTTCTAGCATGTATATCATTGTTTTTTTTTTAACCTTTTAGTGACGCTTTATACCCTTTTTAGATATTATTATCAACAAAAAATATGAGTAATTGTGAATTATCCTCCTCGTTAAAAAAATAATACTAAATAAAAAAAGATTGCTCATTTTTCTGTCGAACTTATTTTACTAACAAAAGAAAAAACCATTTTAATAAATCTAGTTTGTTTAAAATGAAGTTTACAAGAGAATAACTCAAATCACGCATGTCAGTCCAATGGAGAGATTGCTCAAAGGGCCATGCACGTAGATAAAGAAACAAAATACAACGTCCACGTACACAATTAAATAATTAATCGGATTCAATATGTTCTACGTTTGAGAATAATAAAAATGTTTTTTTTATTAAGTTTTATCAAATGAACTGAATATTCACTGAACATCAAACAAGTAATGTTGGATATGTCAAATTCCAAACACATGCAAATGAATAAAGAACAAATTCACGGGTCACACAAAAACATTTTTTACTATGAATTATAAATTAGAGCTGAATCATCACCTTGTTGGTATTCATACTAACATTTCACTATGAAAATGGAATAAACAAAACGAACAAGAATGTAACCGACGGTGCGCCCGCACTACAGAACAAATGAAAAAAAAAATTGTTATGTAGAATCATGTAAGGTAACATGAATTATAATGCAACATTTTGAGTCTCTATATTAAAAACGACAAATACATTATTAATGCTATATGATTGCATTTATATTAAAAATTACGTGATATAAAATATATGTACAAAAGTTATATACTATTGATGCGATTAACGGGCATATATTGGGCAAATATTTACTCAATTAATATTTTCATTTCTCACCTAATATATGGAGTCAAACATTTAACATTTACATATATAAAAAAATATTATTTTAATTATTTAACACACTACAAAATGTTTCATACTACTAAATCCTTTTAGGCATTGTAATACATTTATTTATAGAATTTTATTCCGTGTTTAGGTATCTCTTTGTAATTATTATTCCCTGGACCAAACAAGTTTCATACAGAAAAGTTCAACACTGTAAAAAAGAACTTGTTCACTCAGAATTCACCTATATATGTCATTTATTGTCCAGTTCTTATTCCAGAGAAAGAATTAGAGGTACATAGTTAGTGGTAAAGATAAAATGTGCATGACACGACCCACTCAATAATTGATGAAGAAGCAGACTGTTTAATTTTGTACACATGTCAGGAAAGAGCAGAAGCAACAGTATTGGGCATATAGGTTGGAATTGGACCCTTCTCTTTTGAAAAATTATACACATCAACGTATATTCTTTTTTTTTTTCTTACTAGTTTTAATGTAATACATATTAAAAAAAAAAACTCTTACTTACATATTATATGGAGATTAATTATTAAGACCGGGTGATCTGAAACAAATGGTAATCTTTCTTATTTTTCATCTAATAATGGATAAGAGACAAGATAAATATTGATAATATATATGTAGGTTCATGAGAGCCATGTAGTCAAATTGGATTTATATATATGTAATTATTGAATAAGTCAATGAAGAGTAGTTTTGCGTCTTTGGATGAATTTGAAAAGAGACCCACCCGATTTAGGTAAGTGGGACTAAGTACTTGATTTTAGGGATAGACATGGAAAAGAAAGAAGGTGAATCAATTATGTATGGTCACAATCATGGACCAGGGTCAACCAGGATCGTAGCACAGTATTTTTCTTGTCCTTTGCATCTTAATGTTTTCTTTTGCAAGTTCCGAGTACAAGCACACATGACATGAGCTACCCCGTTTTTATTGATTCATTCACGTTACGAAGTGAAGTTGGGGGCAAAAATGAAGAACATGGCACAAGATGGATGCAAGTTAAGAGGGTCATTTGAATCCAACTAAAGCTTGAATAATTGTGAGGCTTTGTATTGTACTATAGTAGCATAGATAAATGTGAATATTGAATATTGAAGAGTGGTGAGTGATTGAGCTAGTGGAAGCTAAAAATGGCATACATAGGACCCGAGTGCATGAGTTTGTGGTCCCGAGGAAGTGTTTGGGTTGGCATGTGCTTTGTTTCACAACCTCCTAAAGAACACTACAACTTGACCAAACGGGTATCAACTTGTTCCGCACCAACCCTAGATATAATTGCTTAAAATCGCTTCAGAGTGGTTTATATAATTTTTTTTATTTTTAAATTATTTTAAAGTGAGATTTATAATAAAATATTTATTTTTATTTTTAAATAATTTTTATTGATAATTTATTTTAGAAATACTCTTACTAACAAACTCTAACTAAATTGCTACATTTTTTTTAAGGACATCAATGGAAGTATTGAAATAGTAATTTACATTTCTTTTAACAATATTTTCTCATAAACAGTTTTAAAAAAGAAACACTAAAAATATATAAAACAATTTTTTTCACAAATTAAAATTAATTCACACATGTTATAAATAGGAATTTAAAAATACTCTATCGAAAATGATTTATAAATGAACTTATTTTTACCTAAAGTAAACTGGTAGTATTTTATATTAGAAAAAGGTGGAAATTTTCTCTTCAGTATAGATATTTAGATATGGTAACGAACCCTAATTGATATTGGGTATTATTTAGATATAATCATTGTGAAAATTGTTGAATACAAATTTATTACTTTGTTATATTATCAATCTCTGTTGAGTTGAGGGTTTGAATGCGTTTAAGATGTCAACTCATATTTTTTTCAAGTCAAGAAGAAAATTATCATAAATTTTATTAAAACTAACCTTAAACACCTCAAACCACATTATTTATACTATCTTTCTTTTTTTTTTCTCAAAGTAAAGAATAATATAATTTTTGAATAATTTCTATAAGAAAAGTTCATATAATTTTCAGTTAGTTGAGTGTTGAATTAAATAGATATCTTATAATAGAAAATACACGGTTATTTTTTTTATCTTTTACATGGGTTATAGAATTTCTTTAAAATTTAATGTGAAATAAAATATTTTACATCAATTTAAATTAGTTCATCTACTAACTAATTATTCGATAAATCGATTTTTAAAGAAATCAACATAAAAAATGTGATACTTTTTAAATTAATTTTATAAAAAAAAAGTCGATTTCAAAACATAATTTTTAAATGGGTTATTATAAAACCGATTTAAAAGATATTACATTAGTTTTCTATACTGATTTTAAAAGCAAATTTGAATTTGCAAACTTCTAAAACCTGTAATATTAAACTAAGTCAAAACACTAAATTATCCAATCATTCAAGCAATGTTTACCAAAATGACAAACTATGAGACTGGTATATCAGGCGAAGATTAAGACTAACAATGAATCTATCTATATGCACTAATTAACTTAACAGAAACACTATTTTTCATTTGAAAATAATACATAACCTATTGAACTCATCATTTTTAAACTCATCATGACTTAAAAAAAAAATATTAAATTATAACATATTAAAACTTACAAAATAAATAATATTTGATTTAACGATATTATTATAATATATTTAAGGTCAAAACAATTTGGTTTCTAGACACATTTATTTTGACGGAGACCAGAGGGTTTAGGATAGAAAACGAAGGATCCGTGCGAACAACACTTTCATGTAATATTAAACCCTACCCTGTTCCTGCCATTATTGTTTTAATAAATATATTACATCAATCTTTTTATATAATCGATTTCAAAAGTTAATTAAAATCTACGCTTTTATTATTATTATTATTATTTTCATTTCTTTAAATAACGGCCCAGCATAAAGGTCCACGCAAGATTTTCTCTGTAAATATATAGCAGCTTAATACATTTGAAAATATACAAACATAAACTAACCATTTTAAATACAAAAATCTATTTTTTCTAAATATTGTTGTTTTTATTTTAACCACACATAAAAGAAAAATAAACAACAACAAAAAATGTGACTTTTTTTAATCCACCTTCAGAAAAAAATCTTAAAAAAAATAATCATAATTAACCTAATTTTTAAGTTATTTCTGGATACGGATTTTTTTTCTTATCGATGTTAGCTGTTAATATATTAATTTTTTTAGGCAGAGATTCAAAGCACGATTATCCCAGGTTGGGTTTCAAGTGTTTTAGACATGGACATGAAAATTGCGGGATTAAAGATAATTAAAATGGTAGCATTGGTGTTGAGAAAAATACATGGATATGTGAATGCCAAAGCTTGCAGAATGTATAGGATGGTTAATTGGACGAGGACAACAAATCTTAAACTTTACGCCATCCACATATATTTAAGGATTAATTCACAATAATAATGTATGTGTTTAAATTAATGCATGGACACGTGCATGGGGACATGAACGACAAGAACAGGTGAAGCGAATGGATCCATTCTATTTTGATTTTGATGATATAATAGATATTCATTAACTCTGGATTCGGTGACCAATTATGTGAGTATTAATTATTACTATAAACCAGGCTTCGTTTCATGCACTTCAAACACATAGAACTTGCTTATTTTAAATATATTTTTAATTACCTTTGTCCATGCATTTGTTTATATTAGAAAGAAGTGGGAGGAATGAAAATAAAAGAATGTGTTATTTCGAAATTGGATGGATGAAAGTAAAATAAACAATTCTGTTTGTCAGATGATGAAAAAGAGTAATTTATTAAATATAAAATGAATTTAACTCACAAAATTGAATTTCTCAATTCATCATTTATTCTTCACATTTTTTTTTTACTTTCATTCTGTGTGAGTACTTATAACCCGAATTACAGGGGATTTTCTAGCTTTGACTAGCTAGGAAAGTGAAATGTAACAATTTTTACTCTACCTCTTCATGTGAGATTTATATAGAAATCTATTACCACAATAGACAAGAAAAAAATCTTCAGATAAAAAACCTATGTCCATTCATAACAGCCCAAAGGCCCAATTACAAAATGGGCTACATAGTCAGATCTGGCTTATATTTATTCTACATTCCCATATTTATTTATAAAGATAAGTTGTCTTTCCTATAAAATAGGTTTCAGATTTATTATTCTGAAAATTTTTCAGAATGAGATTGTTATAAATATTATGGATTGGTTTAAATTTTCTAAAAAGTTTCGCAACATAAATTATATATATAAAAAATATTTTTGGATTTAAATTTCTAAATTTTTTTTGGATTATTTTTTTTCAAAATGATAAAATTATATTATGAATTTCATAATTCGAGACTTAAAAAAGTTTACATATTTCCGGAATCGTTTATCTAATTTTTTTCTGAATTTTTCAAATTTCTGGAATATATTTTAGCATTATTAGTTCTAGAAACTAATAAAGGTGTTATTATGTTTTTAAATAAATGGGATGTGGGGAGAAAGTATGGTTGCTGAAAGAATGTGTGGGCAGCCATTCGTTAATACATTTTATTATGGGCTTTTTCTTGATGCACCACGCTTTGTTCTTTCTGCACCCTATAATTAATAAAAAGACCGTTATACCCTTAACTTATATTCGTATCCACTGTTGTGCTAACAAGGTTATTAATATAAATTTTGTTTCTTTAATGAAATTTTGTACCGAGTTTCTCACGTCTTAAGTTAATAAAAACTTAATTATTTAAATTTATTTAACTATAATCCTTGATTTGTAATTAACCATAAGTAATTTAGTCATGAAAAACTCAGTAACAAAAACTATTTGTGGTGTAATTAGTCTCGAAAAATGTAGCGGATTAATTAATAAGTTATTTTCTCGGACAGATAATAAACACAGTAATCTACAAAAGCGGTCAAAGAATGAATCATAAATAATGTATTCACATCATATTGTGAAAGCGCCCCCGCAACTGTGGAAGCCACCCTGCATCCGGTGAGCATCTGATGCAATCGGGAAAAGGGTTTAAGAATTTTTTATTTAATTTTGTTTCTTGCAAAGGTTTTTGCTGTAATTCTTATTAGTTTTCCCTTTTGTTGGGTAATCACTTTGCCTTTGCGAACTTGGCTGCTTTGTATGCACTTCGATCAATGTTTCCTTATTTGTTCGAATTTTAGAGCAAAAACCCTTTTTCCACGGTTATTTATTTCCTAAGGTTAGTGGGTAATTGGAAATTTGAGTGTAAATTCGATATTAAGAGATGTTGTCAGGGGAGGGGTGGCTAAGGCTTGAAACAATTTCGAGATGGTTAAGGAAAGTTCTTCATGTAGTGGTGTCAAAATATGGTGCCACCACTGTGATTGATTAATTTATGATAATATGTTTACTCACGATTAGATAGATGGCATTGATGTTTATGTCTATGCAAAATTTGGAAGTGAGAAGAGCAAAGGGGGAGCATCCTGAGTTATTGTAGTTTTAGGTAAAACTATTGCTGCCTCAGTGCAAGATAGTTGTCTCAGTGGAAACACATTCACAGTCTATGACCATTTTGGTATGCTGCAAGCCTGCACCCAAGATTTATGTCTTTTAATTATGTCTTGAAGCCATTTTGTTAAATCAAAGATTTATTCATCTCAAAATTAAAAGCCCATGTTTAATGTTTGTGAGCCTCACCCGTTGCCTTATGTTATCATCTATAAAATTCATGTTTGAGTAGAGTGTAACTAATTGTTACTGAACTTGTTACTTAATTTCAATTTCAGATACCAATTTCAGTCTTCTTTGACTTAGTCTTTGTGCTTGATAAACTATAATTGACAGAAGCTTGTGACTCTAGAAGCCAACATTTCATTCATGATCATCAGCTATTCAGAACTCCGAAATGAATGCTGAAAACGTGGTACATACTGGAGGTTGCCATTGTAAGAGTGTAAGGTGGAAAGTGGTTGCTCCTTCCAGTGTGGTGGCATGGGATTGCAACTGCTCAACCTGCAACATGAGAGCCAACACTCACTTCATTGTGCCTGCTGACAATTTTGAGCTTTTGGGAGATTCTGGGAAGTTTCTCACAACTTACACTTTTGGCACTCAGACTGCCAAGCACACATTCTGTAAAATCTGTGGCATAACCTCATTCTATTATCCACGCTCAAATCTAGATGGTGTTGCAGTTACATTTAGATGTGTTGACCCTGGAACATTGAACCATGTTGAAATCAAACATTTTGATGGGAAGAATTGGGACACCGCATATAATCAGACAGGCATCTCATCATACTCAAAGGTTCAGAAGTAACTCTATTAACATCCAGGAGCAAAAATTAGGATCACTAGCAGTTCTGCGTCAAGTTTTCATTCTGTATATGCATTGTGTTGCTACTGCAAATGCTCTGGAAAAGATAAATATGATATAAAACAATAATAAAAATGTAGAAGCCTTTGAAATTTATGCTTCTGCTCACGAGGTTCCATTTTGTATGTCCAACTTATCTTCATTAAATGTGAAGAGAGAACTCTCAAGTTTAATTTTCATGTTATTGAACTAAATATTTCTATACTATTACTCAATTAAATATTATCTGAAGTATAACTGTAGCACTCAACAAATTTTTTATAAATGACAATTAATTAAATGACTATTAACAAAACTATCAATATATTTTAATAAAATTCAGTGATATTTGATGGACGATGTTTTTGCTGTGTTTTATAAATGCAAATAATTGATGAATAAGAGAGACAAAATTTAATAAAACAGTGATATTGTGAGAAAATATAGAGCTTCACTTAATTGTCTACCACTAACAATATCCCTAATAATATGTTAGAGGAATCAAGTATTCCAAATTCATGAACTTAATATTTTACACAAAACGATAAAATAAAATAAAAACCACAAATCAGCATAAAGTGACATTTGTATCGTTTGAAGTCGGTCAATTTTTCTACCGAATCCCCAAATGTAACCTTGGACTAAGTGATTTGGAAGTTCCAACTCAATTTTCAATTTGTCACTTCTATCTTTCTGCTACCAACCTAGTACGTCGAATTTACTTTGGGCTTACACTGTTCAACTTTGCCTACAGAAAAGTAAATAATTTGCGATAAAATTTGACTCTGATTTTCCTGACTATGGAAAATTGATGACTCGAGGAAACCTTCACAATCGGTTAGATAACTCAGATTGTACATGGCAACAGAGTTCTAAATATGGTGCTTTCACACCGCATATTACAAATGGAACAGATAAAGTCCTAGTTTAATTTATTGGATACTATTTCAACATCCAATAAGTTTTTGGCAAGCAAAGTCTTGCATGGCCAGGATTGATAAACGTGAATCTTCATTATTGAAACCAAAAAATAAAACATCCATGTTTCACTTTTTCAACAGCATAGCACTACATTGTGCCATGATCTTTGATGCCCTGGTTATGGCGTCAGTCATATAGAAATTCTCAACTACAGCCCCGAATGGAGTTGTGTCAACCTTCTCAGTGAAGGTTGGTCTCAGGGAAGACGGCAATGTAGCTGGCTCTCTCTCATCCACATTCACAAGGTTTGGGGCTACATTCCTGATTCGGGCACGAACAGCACCAATTGTATCATAGGGCAAACGCACACCTGCCACCTCAGACAGAGCTCGAATTATTTTCCAATCATCTCTGGAGTCACCAACTGTTGGAACTGCAGGCAATGTTTGTTGCGTGCATCCTTCGGTATTTTCATAGGTCCCTTCCTTCTCACTGAATGCTGCCGTTGGCAAAATAACATTTGCACGATAAACACTCTTGTCACCATGGTGACCTTGATAAACAACAAAAGCATCATCTGGGATCTTGTCTAGGTTCACATCATCAGCACCCATCAAATATACAAATTTTGCAGACTCGAGGCTTTTCTCAGATTGCGGAACAAGTCCAAGGTCAAGTGCAGCAGCCTGGGCGGCATGGAGAAGCAGTACATTAAGGCCATTCCAGTCAGGTCTGACAACATTTGCTTTTTGTGCAATGGTTTCAACAGCGGCAAAAATTGCATCCTGGTCCTTCCTCTCAAAAACACCAGCACCAACAATGATAACAGGGTTTTTGGCCACAGAGAGTGTCTTGAAAAATGGGTGGCGACCCTCAGCAATTTCAACAAGTGTTTGAGGGTCAGTACCAAGATGTTTGTGGTCATAGTTAAAATCAGTAGCAGGCCCAACGTACCCAACTTTGGCTTGGTTTGATCTGACAGTCTTGCGTATTCTGGCATTAACCATAGCAGCTTCCACCCGTGGCTGCAATTTTGAGAATGAACACATAAGATAATCAAACACAATAGAAGTGACAAAAAATTATGCATGCATAGAAGATCTCAGCCCTTATATATAACACCAGCAGATGAGCCAAGTCAAAACAATACTTCAAAAAAGTTTAAATTGTTGAATAACTCAAGCTCCTCCATGCCATAAAAGGCCCAAAGTAACATTACAGTAAAAATTAAAACCAGTGCAGTAACAGGATATTTGCTAAAAAATTAATGGTAGGAAAAACTCATTTTCTACAGCTGCATGTCATTTTAGGATTTCAGACTGACCTCTCGTAGCTGTTGTCAGAGTATGAAGTAGCATTGAAGGTATCCAAGAGAAGTTACAACATAATAGAATACTCTAATTAGGCCAAAACATAGGATCTTTAATTTGTTGACTAGTTAAAAAAAATATGAAAAATCAAAACCATTAAATATAAAATAAAATTAAAAAACTGTAGAATACTTAGGATTTGCATTAGTGAATTGTGAAATCATTATGAGATGAAGTACTGAAAAAAATCTTAGTCTATACACAGGAACCATTTGACCATCTGTAACATTAAAAAACAGAGATATTATTAAAATAAATTAGAGATAATGAGATATACCTGTGTACCAACCAACAGGAACACATCCGCTTTTTCAAGACCAGCAATGCTAGTATTCATAATATATCCTGATCTGAAATCAGCATTAGTATTTACACCAATGCCTTCACCCCATACATCATTTGACCCCATCCTATTTAAGAAATCTTTTAGCGCAATCATGGACTCAGCATCAGAAAGTTTTCCAGCTATTCCAACAATTTCTTCTGGTTTAACTTGATGGGCAATCTCTGCAACCACAGCAAGGGCATCACGCCAGTTAACAGCCTTAAATCGTCCATCAGGACCTCGAATCATGGGGTCATTTAACCTCTGCCTTTTCAAACCATCATAACAGAAGCGGGTTTTGTCTGAAATCCATTCTTCATTTATATCCTGCAATGGGAAGCAGAACAAGCTTTAAAAATAGAAACTACAAACTGAAACCACCCTCTACTTTCCCCAAGAAGGATTATTTGTTAACCAAAAAAGAAGAGTGATCTTCCCATTGGTAATAGAACTAAATTTTCCCAAAAGCATAAAAAAAACTGCCCAAATTAAGAATTATAATTTCAACCATGAATGATAATTGGATTCCTTGGTCCCAAAAGATCAATTCTTACAGGGGATCCTCATTAGTTGCTCATGTAATTACAACGAGGATTCACTCAAAATTAAACTCAGATTTGGATACTCTCATGTGAGCTTGTTTTTCACATGAAATGTTAATATGGAGAAAGGCACAAAAATATTTGAAGCACAATTTGTGAGGCCTAGTACAGTGGACACGGGACTCTGTACAGCTTTCTCTCTGGCCATATGGCCCTATCATAAAAATTAAAATAAGCGGATCTCAATTGCTGTGAAAATACATTAACATTGTATGAAATTTAGTCAAGACTTACTCAATGTGTAATGGTAAATGACTCAACTTATATATTATAATTTGACTATATCTCTAGTCAATTTGAGATTTCCAACATAAAAGACCGTGATAATAATTTTTTAGCCAACTTGGTCCTTGTTGAATTTTCTTTTTCTTTAATTTTCAATTCCACAACATTGTACTTATTTCTAGGTTTAATTACTCATTTAGTCCTTATAGTAATATAAACATTACCTCTTACTTTTTATACTTAAAATTTATCTATTTTAATCCCTACATATACCATCTTAATACATTTTAATCCCTACATATTATTTTTAATCTCATTTAGTTCCTACAATGTATAGGGACTAAAAGATATTAAAAATAGTAAGAACTAAAATAAATGACTTTTAAGTAAAGGGATAAGAGGACAAATTTTGTTCAACTACAAGAGCATAATGAGTAATTAAACTTTATTCTCAAGTAATAGAAAGTAATCAAATTGAAATTAAGATAAAAAAAACCATCACCAATTTTTTAGTACTACATACAGATCCTTTAACCATGTGCAATGTGTTTCGGAGGCTGTTAGTAAAGCATGTTTGAATCTTGCTTATGCCATAAAAGTAACTGCCATACAACAATATGATGTAAACATGACCTATGATAAGGGATAGAACAAATTTTTAGTACTACATACAGATCCTTTAACCATGTGCAATGTGTTTCGGAGGCTGTTAGTAAAGCATGTTTGAATCTTGCTTATGCCATAAAAGTAACTGCCATACAACAACATGATGTAAACATGACCTATGATAAGGGCTAGAACAAATGAAGCAAATGAAGCTCTTCAACAAGGATTGATGGTTGACCAAATTGTGTTTTGGATTAATCAATTAATGAACTTTAGTTTGGTTTTATTGTAAGTTGTAATAAGGGCTCAATTGAAAATTTAGTTACCAGTCTTTAGGAGACCAAGAGGGTGTATAGCTGATTGACTTTTCGATGTCACAATTTCAGTTACAATCAATCATTAAGTAGTTTTCAATTCCCAGGTTAATGGATCATTATTAGCCTTTATTTGTCTCCATTAAGTAGTTTTCAATTCCTAGGTTAATGAATCATTATTAGCATTTATTTTCCTTTATTAAATCTTTGTAATTCTGATGACAAAACTTCTATATAGGTTGAACAATTTTTATAAAAAATAACAAGTGGAATTTTATTCAGAACTATTAGAGTTTATCTCTTTTATCTTAGTGAGAGTGATTCTCCTAAATTCTTGAGTGATTCAAGAACCCTTGGCTGTGGACTTTCACATCCTTTGTGAGTTGCCTTCCTTAGAAAGAGTGATTCTTTCCTTCCACCTTATCGCTAAATTCCTAAATTTCTTACAAGGTTCTAACCCTAAAGATCCTAAATCACCCCTTGTGATTCATATCACAACAGCAACAAAAGCCATATCCCACTTGGTAAAAGAAGTAGTTACTGCATAATGAAAGGAGAAAAAAAAAAGTCTAAAGCCAAATAAATAGATCTTGGCCAAAATTCATCAGGATTTTGTTTTGGTAAGCATCAATTCCTATAATGTTAATCATCTTTACGAACTACAATTATTTTTCCAAACAAACTCATAAAACAATGGAGAAGTACTTCTCAAGCACCAGCAAACATGAGACAATGGTTTTTTCTTACAGAAGTTAAATATTGTTAAAGACAACAAAGAACAGCAATCACAAACAGTACAACAAAACCTTTCCATGAGAAAACCTAACCTCATTTAAACGAGGAACAATGCGCATCACTTCAGGTCCTCTGCTATCAATTCTAATATTGGAGCCAACAGCATCAGTAACATCAATGGTCTCTGTGCCCTTCAACTCCCAATTTCGGGCTTTAAATGCAAACGGTTTTGAAGTGAGAGCTCCCACAGGACAGATATCTATGACATTTCCAGAAAGCTCACTTGTCAAAAGTTTTTCAACATATGTCCCAATCTCTTCTCCACTACCACGACCTAACATGCCAAGATCCTGAACCCCAGCAACCTCAGTTGCAAATCTAACACACCTGTTTGAAGAAAGAAATAATCCACCAGAGTCCTTTCAGGCACTCAGATAACATTGTTTACCAAGGCAATTTAACTGACAGCAAAGAGAGCATGTTTCTCAAATATCAAAGGTTGGGATTCAAAAAATTACCAAAACATGCCAAATGTCAAAAGCAGAAATAAAAGAAATCAAAACAATCAGGCTAAATTATCACTAATGAAGGTAATTTTCATCATATGCAAGTTAAATAGACCTGTAAATTTTCTCATTAACTATCAATACGCCAAAACCACTACTTTATTTTTCAACAGAATTATGCAACACAAGGGGTCCTTAACTTTTACAAGAATAGTAAACAAATAAACATTATATAAATCAAAGTATTTCATGATTTTTTTAGAAGAAATAAATCATAAATATGACTTCCAATGCATGTTTTGTTTATTAAAATCTGCATTCACAATAACCAGACTTGCAGGGACAAATTGAATATTAAAATTTACATTAACAATAATCAGATTTGCAGGGGGGAAAAGTTATAAAGTTTAGTCCATATTGACCTTGTGCATTGAATGCACCGAGTCATCACAGTCTTCACCAGAGGTCCAAGATTTTTATCTACCACAGATCTCTTCACTTCAGTAAACCGCCCTCGATCAGAGCCAAATGCCATAGACTGATCCTGAAGATCACATTCCCCACCCTGATCACAAATTGGGCAATCTAATGGGTGATTCATCAATAAAAACTCCATCACCCCCTCTCGAGCCTTCTTTGCCACAGGTGTATCAGTCTTAATTTTCATCCCTAAAGATGAACATCTTATTAGTTTACATCTTTAACAAGAATCATAGAAAGAACTGGTTAAAAACCTCATTAAACAAAATCCAAGGATGCTTATCTCTTTCTGTGTGTATATGACTGTCTATGAATATTAAATGAATACAAAAGCAGTATCTGATAAAAAAATGAAGATACCACTAGCAACACCGACTGAGAAACAATGATTTTACCTTCAAATGTCTCCGACATTTAAAAAATAATAATGCACTATCGTGCAAATAAGAAAAAGGAGAGAAAAACTAAAAGTAATGAAATTATGAATAAACTACTTCATTTAGAAAATCTGCAACATGAGCAATAAATTGTCATGTAGGACAAGTTTGTTGAGTTTCACAAAACAACCTTGAAAGTCATCATCAAGATTTCTGACTGGTTAACTATTTATAAAATTTTAAAAAGGTAATGCATACGAATTAAACTCTATTACAGAAAGCATATATGTCACAGCTGGCGACTAAATGATGTATTAAATATAACTCAATCGAATTTCTCGAGCATCACCGTCATACACAAATTATAATGTGCAAATAACATCAACCGATAAAAGTTGACAACTATTCCAACAAATCGAGAATGTCCATCTAAAATTCTATGCTACGGAAATCAGACCCAAGTAATCAAATTAAAATAAATTAAGATTCACAGGATTACTCAAATCACCAACAATATCAAACTCTAAATATCTAAATCATCATCATACAAGATAATCATAAAACAGACACCAAAACCATCGTTCTAACATAAACGTTAGAAGCTAACCAGGAAGAGCGGGCATGGCGCAAGAGGCGACAGGTTTGGGCGATTTCTCAACCTCGACGAGGCACATGCGGCAATTGCCAGCGATGGAGAGTCTGCTGTGGTAGCAGAACCGCGGGATGTCGACGCCAGCGACCTCGCACGCCTGTAGAACGGTCATTCCCTTGGGGATTTTGACGGGGTAACCGTCCACGAAGACCTCGATGGCATCGTCGGGGTTCGCGAAATGGACGCGCGCACCGGCGAGCGGAGTCCGGGGAGGAAGATCGGCGGGTGGCGGCTGCTCCGGCTGCGCGGCGGAAGCCTCGGGATTGCAAAGCGGAGGCTTGGAGACGATGGTTCGGAGGAAGATGGTGGGGTTTTTGGAAGAGAGGAGGAGCCTCGAGGCGGGTCTGACTGCCTTCGAAGCTAACAAACCAAACCCCATTCTCTCTCTTTTATTTTCTGATTCACTTTCTCTTTTCTTCAATAAATGGTGGCTTTGTTTGGAGTCGAATTTGGAGATGCAACACACGAGGGTTGCAGATCGCTGAACGAATCTTCTGTGTTTGAAGCTGCGATGTGAGTGTGTGTTTGTTGGTGAAGAAGAAATGGTTTTTCAGATTTGGGTGGTGGAGTAGTCCGAAACTCGATTTGGGTTTTACCCGACCCGATGTCTTAATAAATGGTTGAAAATGACTGGAAATTGCTTGTGAGGCCTTCCGATTTCAATGTTGAAAAATGAAGTTACCAGGTTTCTTTGAGACGGCCCATTAACAGCCCACTCAATACAAACCAAAAACAAATAAAGGCGATCGTATTTATATTTGAATAAATAATACAGGCACTAATTTTACAATGTCATTTAATTATAAACCTAAATTTATTACTTTAATTGTATTAACGTTAAATTTATTATAGAAAAAAATAATCGACAGAGAATATAATTTGAATTAAGAGACAGTGTATACTTCTTTAATTCTACATTTCAAGTCCGCTCTCGAAAAGCAAATAATAAAATAAAACGCACTGCTAAACAATACACGAAAATTTGAGGGAAAAATATGTACCAATAGCCAACACGGGTACATATTATCTATAATTTTATTAAAAAAATTTATTACAAAATTTTATTTATACAAAAAATTATTCCATAAGAAAAAGAGCGAAATATATAATATCACTAGAGATGTAATAAAGTGAAAAAAATTCTTATTGATAATATGATTAAAATAAGTATAACATGGTTAAGAAATTCGAATCAGAGGTATAGGTAATTGAATAATTAATTTGTTAATTCAACGAGAATCGAACAACAATATGCGTTAACTATTGACTTGTGTATTCCATTGAAATTTTTTTATATATATTCAATTTTATTTTATGTACTGTAGAGTCAAAGGATCAATATCAAACAAAAATTATGACCATTAGAATAATATTCACTTTTAAAACTCATTTGCAAATGATATAACAATAATTATTGTTTCATTTTCCGAATGTGTGCCAATTATTAATCTCGAATTGCCAATGAGATAACAATTGATCATCTATCGCTGTCTTATATAACATATTAAAACATTAGAAATCAGTTCATCCTGGTTAAACAAAATATCCATGAGAATCAGGTGAATTCATGAATCAAGGCTACTCGTTTCAGATTTTGTGTGATCAATTATTTTTCGCGTTTCGCAACCAAAATCAAAATCATTTAACAAAATTTTGACAATTCAGATTTTTTCTCAATATATTACACCTAAAATATACATTTCAAATTGAACCAGTGCGTCTAATTCAACGTTAATATTAATTTTGAATGCAAATATTTTATAAAGATGGTTATCAAGTGAAATGATATTCATGTTTGAATGCTTTTATTTTGAAAAGTTTGCATTGCCGTAAAGCTTAATATAAATTTTCAACTCCGACGCATAAGCAACCTCAATAAAGCGATTATTTTCAGCCCCAACGTAGGAAAGGCATCGGTTATAATTGATTAACAATTTCAAAATTTTCAGTCAAACCTACGTGTGTGTGTGTATATATATATATATTTTGGAGGAATTGAGAAGGATGAGATCAAGCAAGAGACAATTGAAGACCACAATTAAGTATTCATTCAAACGCTATTGATTTCACTTTCCAAGACACAACCTCCACGATTCTAGTTTCTTCGAACTAACCTTCCATATCCGTTACAGAAAAGGTTGAAGCTACAGCCAGAGAATTAACATGACAAGGCATTATCTATATTCCTCTGGCAATCTGTAACCTTGCATGACTATTTTATCAGCAAACATTTTGCCAGTCTTAGGCATAACATGCCAATGCATGGTCAGGTTATATTCTTTGCCACGCAAATTGCTTCCCTGGACACGAAAAAATTGAAATATTAAGGCCTAAAGAAATATGAAGAAACCATACCAGTCATAACACATGCTTTTAGATTTGTGTACCTGGTCAATGAAGCGGTATTTATTTGATGTATGAATCCAGAACTTGGCATGCTCTTTAGAGGGAATGATACCATCCCATAGAGATATCTGTAAAATGGAATTTCAAGAACCTAAGCAACATACGTGACACAATATATACCAAAGATGGGAGATATGGAACAAGGCACAGCTGTCTGAGTGAAATGGATAGTATAAACAAAATCTGACACATTATTGTAGCCTTTTTTTTTTTCCTTTGTAAAAAGGAGCTAGGAAGCTTACAATAGAAATAATTATATTTCAAATGTGGATACAAACAAATGAATCAGTTCATACCTGAATCAAAGAATGCTTAGGAGTTTCATACTCAGCAGCAAGAAAAACGAAAACCTGCAACCACGCAAAATGAAACAAAACTAAGTCCTGGAGAGCCCTGATATTGTAGCTTCCAATCTATTTAGAACTGATCAGAAATAAGAATCTCATGGGTAAGGAAAATTAAGCAGATCCAACATTTACATAGAAATACAATTTTGTACACAAAATAATGAAAGGGCAAGAATAGAAATATATATTTCATGAAATGAAACATGATATAACAATAGACAAGATAGTTTAAAATTAAGAAACATGATGCAGGGAGGCCTAGAAAAAAAATAAGCACAGGTTTAATAAGGATTTTGTTCAAGAAAAAATATTCTGTTTTCTCCGAGAAGGTTACCTTTCAAAATAAATGTAACCAAACATGCACAAAGTTATATGGCAAGACGTGAAAACCATATCAAATTTTCATTCTTCCCCATCCTACCAATAACATCCTTCTCACTTTTGCACGGCAAAGGGAGAAAAGACAAAAGAAAAATGAAAGATCAAAATTAAAGAGAAAAACCTGCTTTGTGTTCCATGTAAAAAGGGACTGCAAATCAGCCGATATATTCAATGTCATGCTGACCTGAAAGAATAGAAAGGCATCCAAATGGGAGTAAATAACAAATAAAGATGACATTTGTATATCAGAGAAAGGGATTACATGCACGTTGTTTCACTTTGAGCTCTCCAATTCTACATACCTAATTAATTCCTAATTGAAGCAACTTTAGGTAGTTGCATTGATAAGTAAATTATACTAAGCTTTACTACAAACTTTTTTTTATAATAAAAATATCCAAACATAAATCACATAACTTCAAAGTCAATTTGAAGCAAAATCAATTTTACTGATCTCATTCGCAATCAATTTTGTCAGCACTCATCCAAACACACTACAATAACTTCATTTACAGCATATATCCAGGTCATAATATAAAAAATGTTCAACTCAAAACATGATCAGCATCAAACTCATTAGGTAAATGTTTATATTTGGTCCCTTGTCGTTTAGTTTTAGTCTTTAAATTTATGCAATTCAAAATATGAGCAGCATCGAACTCATTAGGTAAATGCTACGTTTGGTCCCTGACCTTTACACGTTTTTAGTTCATAAGTATACACTCCTAACTCGCTCTAGTCTCTAAACCATACACTTTTTGAATCCATTCTAGTGCATAAAATTTGACGCAAAGACTAAGATGGATTAAGAAATGTATGTATAGGGACTACAAGGAGTAATTTTATGGCATAATTTTGGGAATAAGGACTAAAAGTTGAAGATTGTGAAGGTATAGATAAAAAAAAAGTAATTGAAGGTGTTGAAGATTCAGATTGAGCAGCGATACAGGCAAATTAAAGTATGCTCCGGCATTACAAACCTTGATTCTAAAAATGGTAGAGATTGATGGTAAAGAAAGAGGAATAAGTTACCTCGTCATTGGAGTTGGGCTGTTTCTGAAACCAGTTGATGTTCAAGACCTGCAGAGAGTGAGTGAGTAAATGGTATGGATCCGTAAAGGAGAAAGGAAAATAGAAAGAGAAGAGACCTGGACTTGGGCAGAGGGAGAGGGGGAGTTGAAGTTGTCGGAGAGAGAGGCCATGCCGCACATAAGGGCCAGAATGGTTACGGCGAAGGTCAGCAACGCGTTCGCTCTATACCCCAATGAATGCATTTTCACTTTCCACCCCGACTCAGAGAGAGACGAGAGTTGATTAAGATGATCGTGTCTCTCTGTGTCACTGTGTAGGCACGCAGAGCAGTCAAGGGATTGCGGGGGGAGGGGTGAGCATTGGGCTGAATGGGCTCAAAACCAAAACAGCATTTGCGAGGAGGATACATACATGTTTTGTTGGGGTGGAATTGGGGAATTGCAATACTCTTTACGCCATTTTTTTAGTTAACTAAGAAATTTGATCAAATTATTTCATTTCTTTAATCATATTTAGAAAATATTTTTATTCATGTAATTTAATATTAAGAATAAAAAATTTATTTTGAAATAGAATTTCAATTAATTGAAATATATATTTTTAATTATATATTAATTAGAATAAAAATAGTTAAAGTTGGATTATATTTTAGTTAGTAATTTAAAAAAAAATGTTACTTATAATATAGATTGGAGAAACTAAATAATCTGGTGTCTCTGAAAAAAAATATATAATAGTTTTCACTGAGAACAATTAATGTTCTTTTATTGGTATATCATTTTATTTTTATATATTTATTGTTTCTGAGAGAGGACCTAGTCCAATAAGAATAGATTAATATTAATCCAAATTTCTATAGTTCAAAATTCTTATTGATTATTAATGTTTAATATGTTAAATATAAATATAAATGTTAATCCTAAAAAAATGTTTTCTTCCCTTTTAATTCATGATAGCATGCGATTGTTAAAAGTTTCAATGTTTTTACACTTCACACAATTGCGCTAACGGAAGGATAAAATGAAACTTTAAACTCTCCATCTTCAATATACAAACTAACCAATGCTAGTGAGTTGATTTACCTTCTTTTATATAAGTTTTAGAATATTTTTCATACTTTTCTTTTTCTTCTAAAAAAAAGTCAAATATAGGTAAGCTATGTATTTGGACAACCTGATCCATTAAAAGTGAATGCTCTATCTTCAGCTTTGATATAAAAAATAGAAATGTTATATGGACAACCGAAAGATTCATCCAACAATCGAATATGACAATATAATAACAATGTTTATTAGTTTATTAATTATTTAAGATGTTAATTGGATGTACCGATCGGTGCTCTATAAAAAATATACTTTGCCTAGATTCAAATTCACGTTAAATCATTATATATTTTGTCTCTAACCGTCCTATCAAAGTCTTCGAAAATTTGGATTAAGTATAAAATCAGTCCAAATAAGTTTTCAAATCTACATTAATTTAGTAATTTATTGTTTCTCGTGGCAATAGTGAAACCATTTATTCCAGATATTTTGTACATGCAAAACTTAAGTTCTCAAAGGTCCATTCTTTATCAAATTATCTGAATGTTTTATCCCATTTTACATCAAATGCCAATGACCATGGCATGTTTGTGGGCTAACCTCAAGCACAGCTCCTGTCAAACGCCAACTTGCCTACTCATTAATGTGACATGTTGCTTAGTGCAATGGAGGTGTAGATGCAAAGTTATCAAGTTGGTCTTATCCAACACGTCAATTTTTATTTTTTTGGAATAATTACATCATTTAATTAAATATAGAAGAGATCCAACCATGTTTACGAACAGGAAATTATTTTTTATCATTCAGTTAAATAGACAAAAATTGGAAAAGATCCCAACCATGTCTGTTAACCAGAAATTACTATTTTATCATCATTCAATTAAATAGAATAAATCAAAAGAAATCCCAATGTTGTTTGTCAATAAGATATTAGTGGTTCACTATCCGTCAATTAAACATTCAAAACACTCTGATAACTCTAAATGCAACAAAGCAATTAAAACCATCCATCCGTCAATGATAATATATTAACAGAAGTGAAAATAGTTAACCAAATATAATCGTAGTCACTGGATTAGGCATTTACAGCACCAGCTAATTTTGACTATTTTCATTATATTTCCTTACACTTACCTACAATTGACAAAAATGATCGTGTTATAGAGAAATTTCTGAAATAGAATTCATGAGCACAAGAATGCGGCCCCAAATAATGCACATTCTTGGAAATTCTTCAGAAACGGATAATTTGCCTATCAAAGGATCCCCCTAATCCCTTATATAATATTTTTACCCTAGTTTCACAAAATTTACTAGTCAGATTCCGGAAGTAAAATGTCAATCCCTCTTCATTGCTTTGGATACAAAGGCTCTTGTGGTTGCTATTGCAAGGTATGAGACGATTGACAAAGTGATGCCCCCAAACAGAACAAGACGATCATAAGCAGCATTTTGGACTGTGTAGACCCGCATACCTATTGAATTCCAGTTGCTCTCTGTCCAGACAGGGTCCACAACCCCCATTTTGTCAGAGGAATTAGGGGGCAAAACATTCCACACTCCTGATTCAAATTTTAGTCGTGTTGAGTATGCTGGAACATACCTGTAAAGGATTAAACATTAACGTAAAATTACATCACATCCATTTACCCATTTATTTATGTCAAGCCAACAAGAGGCCGAATTACACGGACGGTGAAACCTCGAACATAGATTACCTGCCGTCTACCCAATTATGTACACCATATGTGCATGCTCACATAGTGCCAATTTGATTTAAAGCTTAAATATGATATAGATTTGGCGTTTGGGGTTTAAACATGGTGCCAAGTGAATGACACCACCCCTTTGGGGACAGTGATGAACGACTAGACTAATATATATAAATACCCAGTGTGGTGTGGTGATTATGTCTGTGCATGTGTTAACATGTTAGAGTACCTTGTTGTCGAGAGAACACAAACTCCCTTGCCATCAGTCTCTGCTTTGATGCAAACTTCATCTCTACCATTGCAACCATGTTGACAATCTGAGCTGTTCTCCCTCGGGATAGAAGTTCTGTCAGCCAGAAAATTCCAAACGAACCTGGGAACATCATTGATGTATCCTGTATTAGGTGTAGATGAAGGTTCCTCCAAGATAACGCCAACATAATGGCTTGGACAGGTTGACAAGGGAGAAATATATTTCTTCACCAATTCACAAGAAAGACCAGGATCACAATCCAACAAGCAACCCAAAAGTTGTTCAACAAGTGAGACATTAACATTTATAGCAGCCAAAGTTGAATCTTGAACATCTTCAATTCCACTAGCGAGTATGTAAAGGGTTCGGGCAATAAGAGAAGCAGCAGCAACTACAGCTGACGAATTTACATTTGCTGCATAATCATACAAAAATAAGAATGCATGTAACAGAGGAGGCAGCCATAAAAATGTAGGACAAGTGGAGCAAGTAAAAGAAAATAATGCCGAGTGCATTGACTAGCTCACATAAATCATCAAGATGACTATGGTAGAACTTGTTGACAAAGACAGAGTCAAAATCTTCAAGGACAACACCAGAGATTGCAGGATTCTGATCAAAAGAGGAGAAAAAGATTGATGACTGATGGAAAATTTTCGAATTATATGCCAATATACAAATGAAGTAATTCAACAAAATATATTCACAAAAGCAATCAAATGATACCAAAATGAATGATGTGATATTTGTTCCTCAAAAAATAAAAATGAAAGATGCTATACAAATATGGTACATTGGGTCCACTAAATCTTTCACCTAACTAATTGTAGTCAGTTTTCATAACTTTTTTAATTAGAGCGTGCTATTGCAATTTTTCCACAGTACCGATCCACTTTTTGAGCATGGGGTTAACACTTACTTATACTACTCAAAATGTGATTTTCACATGTCTAATATCGTGTAAACTTTATATTGAGTATCCATGTACCTAAATAAGGACAGTCCGTGAGCTTTTGATCAAATTAATTTTAAGAAATGTGCAGGCATCTTGGTATATGAATGTTATATATAGGTAAAGGTGACCTAATCTCACTTAATGATCTCTAATTTAAGAAAGCATAAATAAAATTCACGATATTAAGAAGGCAGCTTAGAACTTCTGAAACACTAAATTTAATAACTTCACTTAACTGACCATGCCCTTACCTTATGAGGATTTTACCAATTTACTTTACAAAGTCTGAACTTTTAAAACATTCATTTTTCTGAAACCACGACTAGTTTACAAAGGATTAATATTCTGATAACTATTGCTATGCTTTTTCATAATTTCATTATATGGGGGAGGGGGTGGAAAAAAAGTTCACTATCTATCCTGTACCTTTTCGAAAAAGGACATTAAAGATGATGGAGGTATCCCAGGATTTGAAGCACTTGCAGATGCTATCTTTATGTTTTCAGTTAACAGTGACTCCTTTGCACGTTTCAAGGCAACCAGTGTTTGATTTGTGGCAGAAGAATCCTACGTCGATGAAATGTTAGTCATAAGCAGGTTTGGCATATTTCTCTAATTCAGGTTGTGCATACACAGAAACTATGTAGCAATACACAATATCCAATTAATATTGCAAAATTTTCTGTAAAAGCCATAAATGAGCACATAGTTGAAAGATCAATCAAGATCTCTCACCCCATCTGTATGAGCAAAAAAGTTGTTTACACCTTCACTGAGACCCTTTCCAACAGAACCAATTTCAATGATCTGTGAAATACCAGTAAGGAAAGAATAAATTAGGTTATTAGCTGAAAAAACTAATCAAGCAGAAGCATTTGTGAACAGTCTAGCTTATAGATTTTAATGTGGCACACTAGATCCCCTCCAATACTACCCCGTGGTCATATTTACAAGGAAGTCTATAAATACCGTTTCAATTAATGTATGATTAAGGCCATGAACAGCATCTGAGTGCAAGTCAAGTTCTACCAAAAATCTTCTACTTCCAAGGTAACCCCATGCCTCTCCAGTGAAAACTGCAAAAACAAGCTGCATTGAGTTCAAAAAATTATCAGCAATAAAGTTTAGACTAGTGGAAATACGTCAGTGAAGTACTAGGTTCTTGAGCATTAACAGATTTTAGAAAGCAACTCTGGAATTCAGAGAGCATAAAGTACCAAACAATAATAACAAAAATGCATGTATGTATGATAAACCTTATACAATTACTCTTTTATCCCCACCCCCTGGGATGATAGCCACCATAGGTTTGTGGTCATTGTTGAACTAGTGCACTCCCTCCAACAATTTAAATCCAATCTCATCACAATGGGAAGGATAGTAGACAGTTATCTCGCATGCCCCAAGAAGATAGCTAGTAACTAAGATATTGACTAGTGTGTTTGGATGAAGGATTTTAAAATTTCATCGAATTTGAAATGCTAGAATGTTAAATTGCTTTGGTTTAAATTTCCATACATTTTTTAAATGATCGTTTGGATAAATCAATTTTAACTTCTTAAATTTCAAGTTTTCAGTTTGGATAGGGTAGTTAAATTTCTACTATATATATATATATATATATATAAAAATATATATATATATAGAAATTTCAATAAAAAAATTAGTTAATTTTAAATATTTAATGTAAGAGAAGATACATAAATATGAGAGAGAATATGATGAAATTCAAATTCATATTTTTTTGGTGAAATTTCAAAATTCTACAAATTTAAGTAATCAAATTAATCATAAATTCGAGAATTTTTATTTCATTTAAAATACACTATCCAAACAACATATTTTTACATAAAGCATTCTACATTATCTATAAAATGAATTACTTTCAAGAAGTTCTTCATCCAAACACAAGGTTAATGTAAGAGAAAAACCAAAGGCATACAAGTTAGATAAATTCACAGCTAAATGATAATGATCAAATTGAAGTTAGATTTACATAGACCAAAACTGAAATGAAAATAAAAAAGTTATAATCCATGGACGATCTTGAACACACCTGCTTACTAAGGACACCAAGACCATCCAAATGAGAAAGTGCATCAACAGCTGCTAGTAATGCAATTAAACCCTGTCCATAGGCAATAATTTGGTTAAGGGACAAACAAATATCATAAAGAAACACAAAATCTGGCCAGAAGTAATAGATAATTTGGTAGATGCACTTGCACTCACAGAAATAGGGGAGTCTGCCCCAAGGCTTTTGTCCCGAAAAAATGAAGCAGAGTCCATGGATGCCACTGTCAATAAAATGGGCTTAGACTGTTGTAAGGAAGAAATGTTGATTGGAGGAAGAGATGACCAGACACTGCCTTCCATATGAAACACAAAATTAACATCAAATCTAACAGTGAAGTTATGATTTTGTCAACAAAATGAGAAGGGAAGGATGTTAAGATATTCTTCATATAGATCCCGGACAGCCCATTTCCCCTGTGGGAAACATGGGATGCTAAATCTTTTTCGTTTTGAAGATAGTATCAATCCACCTAATCTAATAGTGGACACCATATTTACAAAGGCAATTCACTGGATGCTTTCTCCAGTACAGTACATAAACAAACCTTTCTTAAAACAATATAAGTCAAAGCTGATCATATTTTATAGATGGCAATGTTCTGTACAGATAAAAGGATTGTTTTCGAGGTTATCAGAGATTTTGGAAAAATCTGAAAATTTGGTGTCTTGACTGTGTTACATGATTAACCATGTATCTAGTTTAGCATCATCTGTAAAGTAGAGTCCAAGAAACTTCACCTGTATCCACCTAAAGGAAGGCAAGTTTCTTCTTTTAAACAAGACTCTGAATCGAGTGTGCCAGATTTCACTGTCTAATTGAAGATAACATAAAAAAAGTAAATAATGAAACATTTTTCTTCATAAGCTAGATAAAACAATTCTTTACAAGAATCTGAATAATACCTGCATGACCAGATCAAACTCAGCCACATTAGAAGTATAAGCTTTCTTTTTGTCCTCATTCTTTGTTACAAACTGTGCAAACAGTAAAGATAGTTAATCTACTTTATTTTTACATACCAAATAATAAAACTCATATCGGGGCACTACAAAATTAAACCCAATGGAATTAACAATATCACAACAAATTGTGAAGATTTGTGTAGGTTACTCTAGAGTCTGACAACCTTGATATGGATCAATTAACTGACTCACTACACCTCAAAGTATAATGAATTATACCAGTATTTTTGCCACTATAAGAACATGAATATACCGAGCAATACCTCTTGAAGAGTCTTTGACCCACTTTCTGTGAGTAAAAACACAGGAAAACTGTAGGATTTCCACATAATACCAGAACCCTGCACAAGTTGAGCCAAAAAATAAAAAAATAAACACACAAATATATTAATGATTCTAAACAACTGTATGTGTTGTCTCAAAACTCTAACAGCAATAGGATTTTCTAATATCCAACGAGTGATTGGTAATATCCCCACCGTAGAGCTTTGAATTCATCTAATATTACTATATGTTTCAGAACATATTCCAAGTCATTTTTGGTCTATTTATTTATTTACTTAATAATAACTCTGTCACTGGGTTCTAACAATGTACATCAATTAAGAACTTCATAAAACAGAATCTAATTTGAATTAGAACCTGTAAAAACTTGTCAAATCAAAGTTGGAAAATGATTATTGGTAACAAGCAAGGATAAAAGAAAGGACAAAAAATAGATAATGCCATGGCTATAAATATGCCAAGAAACATGATGAAAAAGAACAGCTCATTTCTTACAATTGTATTCCATTCATGGCTAGTATTATGGTAAGGCGCAAATTGAGCTTGTGGAAACTTTTGATCAGGAGAAAATCCTACAAATGACAAAATAACGTTATCAGTGACAGCTCTATACAGAATGATCACTCTAGCTTCGTTTGAACACAGGCGACCAGCAAATCAATGCTATGTACCATTTAACTTGTTCTGCAAATCAGTTCTTGGTTCCACAAGTACACCGCTGACTTTACTAGCAAATATGGAGTCATCTGATATTCTGAAAGGGAAGATACGTATTCACAAAACAAAAACAATTTGACTAATCAGAAATGACTATACAGGAATAACAACCAGCATAAATTAAAAATAACTAAGCAAGGAGAACATTTCTTCCTGAAGTTACAAAGATTCCACAACTAACAGTTAAACTTAAATGCAAAAAATTATAGCACCTCTTAAAACAGAAACATTGAAATATGATACCTAGTAAAGAGAGTTAGAAACTCATCCAGTGACACCAGTATAGCAGACGGCTCAGCTATTTTGTCAACATTTTCGAACCGTACAATAGGAGCCACAACCTTATCACGCCCAGGATCTAACAATTCGAAAATAATAAAGCACGGCACAGAAATCATCCTCATCGTTCATATTTAACTCGCAATTAATCCCTAAAATGGCAATTGATCGAAAAAACGCGAATGTGAGAGCGAGACTTACTAGAACAACCGATGTTTCCAGAGAGATTCAGCAGGCGCACGCAAGGATATCCGTCGATGGAAGCGTACATAGTGTTCTGAAGATCGGGAACTGATTCCATGGAGCTCGATTGTCCTGCGGAAAGAAAATGCGATCAGTGAGAAATGATAGTTGAAACGAGGTTTGGCGACGAAATCGTCAATCAAAGAGTGAAGTCAACGAGGTACCAGAGGAGCGGAAGGGAAGGTGGAGGGTGAAGAAGAGGAGGAAGAGAGACATAAATGTCAGAGCCATGGATGAAGAAACCCTAGTGAGAATGGTGCATGAGCAGGTGCAGAGAGTGTGGGTTTTCTTCTATGCTGTCTTCTAAGCTTCCTTCCTCTGATTCTGAATAGGTTGGATTCTCAGATTTCAGAGAGATCAAAATCAATTAAGCAACGTACGGTTTAGATTCAGCTTTCAACGTACTTGGCTCTACTGCTTCATCAAATCCAATAGAAAACTATAAATTTATTTTGTGATTTTTGTTCTAACTGGTTCCTGATCTATGGTTCATTCATACATTGATTTGATCGGTAGGTACATACTTAATTTTGATAAAAAGAAATATAATATTTATTTTCTTAGCTGTCTTCTTATTACAAATCGTTCTAATATCATCTAATCACAAAACATTATATGTAATATTTTTATTAATGTTAATAATAATAATTATCTTTAAAAACTATTAGGATTGACTCGTTCACCAGAGAAATTAGGTACATAGAATTAAGTTATAGGCAACAACAAATTAGATTATAACTTAATTATAGCAATAACAGTAATAATTAAACTAAAAAGTAATAGATTTCACTTTGTCGTTTAATAAAAAAATACTAACACTTCAACTCCATTTTTTATACTAATAATACATCTTAATTGCCTTTTATGCATAATCATTCCAGAATATAATTCATTAAAAAAAAAGGTTCCATTTTGTTGTTGCTTTTAATATATGATTTTGTTTTCTATTGCAATTTTAAATATTTCAAGCAGAGTTATATGTTAAATTTTGTAACGAATTTGACATCATTTTGTAAGTCCTGCATTGATCCTTCTTGTTTAGAAAGTGAATCTGATATAATAAAAATTGAGATGAGTTGATCTGATATATTGAATTTTTTATAATAAAAAAATAAAATATATTATATTTATATGATTAAATTTTAGAGTTTTATATTATTTAAAAGATATACATATTAAAGAGTATTGTAATTTAAATTTTAAATATTTATAGAAAAAGTATTAAGGGTAATTAATAATTTAATATATAAAAAGTTAATTTTATTTGTTAAAAACATTAATTATTTAATACAAAAAATTAAAAATATTTATATAATTAAGTGTATTTTAAAAAAAATACGGTTATATTTATTAATTAATTCGTTGGTTCGTTTCTTAGCAGAGTGGGCCAAAACTTTCAAGGAGTGACAATCACTTATTAATTGAGATAAAAAAATTAGAATGACTGTGAGTTGTAAGGGAATGAGATATATATATTTACAGATACTCATGATGATAAAAAATTTCTCTTTTATCAATTTTTTCCAAGTGTTTCTTTCACTTCTTAAGTCATATAAAGTGTTTTGAATTTTCATCTTTTTTTATCTTGTAGTTTTCGTTGCATATGTTATTTTTTAGAATCCATGATTCGCTCAAGGAATACAATAAATTAGTGTCTTATCATTTAGTTAATAATTTCCTAGCAAAGAGAGACTGATCCGTGATTCTTATGGTGATTTGTGTTTGATTCCTATTGATTCAATCAATAAATAGGTTCGGATTTAATCAATTTTCAGCCCAAAACAAAACAACTAATACCCTGGGAGGAAATGTACCATCTGTTTCTCAGCAAAAACAGGAAAACACAAGAGTTGATAGATGAACGTTTACATCAATCTATATTTTCTTTCAAAAAGAAAACCCCTAAAACTATATATTTTGTCTAATTAATATTTATATTAATAATTTTCCAATTAATATTTGTATTAAAATTATTCTTCTTTTGTCTGATTCAATGGACCCACGAATGAATGTTAGATTAAACAAATATTTTTTTACATAAATATATACAAGAATTATTAATACGAATTACACAGCTTAATTTACTCTATATTTATTTAATTACACAGCTTCAAAATTTCGTTGAATTTGATATGGGTATTTTTTGAGATATCTCAATATTAAAAAAGAAATAAAGAAATGTACTTTGAAAGCTTATAATATTAACAATAAGACCTTTATATAAGTTTTCATGTTGCCTTTATGCTTTATGTATAGATGGATCTGCATTCTATATTAAAATTTCTAAAGTTATGTAAATTACATTATTCTCAAATGCATCTCATGATTTAGGATATTTTCCCTTTCCAAGACATTACAATAATAATGATTAATTATAATTAATTCGTTAAAGATATTGTAATGGAAATATCAAAGGATATAGTGATTTAATGATATCATAAATTTGATTCTATAAACTACGACTTGGTATCTAAATTATATTACCTTAAAAAAATCACAATAAATTTAAGATTATTTTAGGAGTTTTTAATTATTAATTACATTACTATTGTATTCATTGAGAATATGTTTTTTCAATACATTTTGATTATAGTCATCAAATTGAAAACTTGTATTATTTATTATTCTCTTGGAATATCTTAATAATAAATATATTTTTGTATCCTCCATTGATGGAAAGACACTTAAACTTAAAATCTCTCACTTTATCAACATATATTTTGTATTGAATTGTTCCTGTTAGTGTTGCGGAGAGTGACTCAATGCAAAGTAAAATTGTTACTACAAAGTGATATTTATATATATAGAGGATGCTTGAACAAGAGAAACGCAACGACAAAGTTTCCAAATTTCATATTGTTCTAACTGCTTTTTCATCATCAGCATGACTAGAAAGAAAGTGAAGTTGGCATTCATAGTCAATGACTCAGCTAGGAAGGCAACGTTCAAGAAGAGGAAGAAGGGTCTAATGAAGAAGGTTAGTGAACTTAGCACCCTTTGTGGGATTGATGCATGTGCTATAGTTTATAGTCCCTATGACCCTCAACCTGAGGTTTGGCCATCCCCAATGGGGGTTCAAAGGGTGCTTGCCAAGTTCAGAAGAATGCCTGAGTTGGAACAAAGCAAGAAGATGGTGAACCAAGAGAGTTTTCTGAGGCAGAGAATCTTAAAGGCCAAAGACCAGTTGAAGAAACAAAGGAAGGACAATAGAGAAAAAGAGATGACTCAGCTCATGTTTCAGTACCTTAGTGCAGGTAAAATTATGCACAACATAAGCATGGTTGATTTGAATGATCTGGCATGGTTGATTGACCAGAACTTGAAGGACATCAACCGGAGGATTGAGGTGTTGACTAAGAATTCTCAAAGTCAAACCCAAGTTGTAGCACCAACTGTGACTGATGTTGTTGCCAAGACTGAAGACAAGGGGCAAGGGAGTCATAATGTCCAGGGGTTTGATATCAACATGGATCTCATGCAGAAGCAGAACTGGTTTATGAATTTGATGAACAGTGGTGGTGGTGGGAATGACGCTATGCCTTTTGGAGATGTTAATCACCAAAATGGCTTTTGGCCTAACCCCTTTTTCCATTGAAAGATGTCACATGTTTGATTTGATGTTTAGTTATCATTATCATTCTCCTTTTACGTGTCTGGGCACGAGAATAAGTGACCAAGGAATCACGGTCAAGGTGTTGCATTTTTGTGTTTTGGTTTCTGCACTTTGTATATACACATATTGTTAAGAATGTTTATTTTCAAAAATGGTTGTTAAATATAATAAATACTCTTCTGGTGTGGCTGTTTATTTGAAGATTTTGTATTCACTAAGATGATGATTTAGAAAAGGAAGCATGTTAACATTCTGTTGTGCAAACCTATACAAGAAAAGTTGTAAAATTACTTTATCCCATAAAATAATTTATAATTTTTCTTATCATCTTAAAAGATTTTATCACATTTCATAATATGGCTAGGCTTTACTTGTTTAGCAGAATAAAAAATTGAAATACAGAAATAGGTGTCTTGAAAGTAATGACTATGATTGTGGTGGGAGATCTTATTCATTATGACATTGTGACCACACCATGGTTGCTTCCACCCTTAATCATCACCTCCCACCGCTTTCACTATAATAAAAATAATGTCCCAAGTTAAGGTATTTTTAACTTCTAAAAATGTCCCAAGGACTTAGTAAGACAAATTTGTCTCATTTGTTTCTTTTCATCGTACCTATTCAGTATAAATATCTAGTATTTTCGATTATGACTAGCAAGGTGATAAATGATGATTTAATGTTACATTTATAAATTAAACTCAAGATTGGCAGGTTGGAGGAGAAGATCTTAATAAAGGGTAACTTTGGCTTCATTTTCATATTATATTGCAAAACTTTTGGCATCCCACGGGAGTTTGTGATGGTATAAACTCTTGTATCAGGAACTCTTGTGGCAGAGAACCTCTTAGTCTTCTACCAATTGGAGCCTTGTGAAGTGAGAAGCATTGCTCAACTAATAAAGAAATGGTAGTCTTGGTAACCATTTGCGGAATTTGATGTAAAGGAAGACAAGCTTCTGATACTTGGATATGATTTTCTCATGTTGTTCAAATTCATAGGCAAAGACTCTGTTTTCATGTAGGCAAGAGATGTGTAAGCTAGCACCACTCTCTCTACACCGTATCAATAATAACACACCAGTAAAAAATTATAATAGTAAAATGGAATGCACAGTTATGAACAAAAAATGCAGGGGAAGAATTTATTGCATGATATTTCTTAGGAATCTCCACCAACAGAAAGGAAAATAGAGAATGTGGAAAAAAGCAAAATCCCCGTAAGAGAATGATTCTAACAATTTTTCTCCCTCTCTCCTCTAACGACTTCCCTTGTATACCCTTGTTAGTTTGTCACGTAATCCTTCAGCCAAAAGCTTTTTTTTTTTCTTATCGTATAGCTTTGTTATTTTCATTGCTCTTTTAGCCTTAGATTGCCTTTAACCGTCTCTAGCTCACTATGCTCTTGCACCTTCATTACATTACTCCCTCCAATGAAATCAACCTTGCCCCCAAGGTTGATATGAGGGTAGACCCTTGCAATCACATTGTTATCTTCCCATGTGGCATCTTCTGTTGATCCATTTTCCCATTGGATTGCTGAAGTTGTTGATCACCTCTAATGATGGTTCTTGTATTCAATAGAGCGACTGGTTGAATAAGAGGGGAAATATCACTGTCACATATTGGTAGGGGAACATATGATTGATCATGATTGCCTCGACACAACTTCAGTTGTGAAATATGAGACACTGGATGAATCTTTGTTGAAGGAGGTAATTGTAATTTGTAGGCCACCTTTCCAATTCAATCTATCACAGCAAAAGGACCAAAATATCGCAGCCCCAACTTTTGATTTTTGTGTAATGCCAATTGTCGATAGGGCTGAAGTTTCACCAGAACCAAGTCACATATTTGTAGTTCCACATCTATGCGTTTCTTTTGAATTTGTTGAGCTCGCTGCAAATTTAACTTTAACTTTTGCAGTATTGCATCTCTTAAAATTAATTGCTCTTGTACTGATAGGGGATCAGTATGTTGTGGAACATATTTAAGTATTTTTGATGGATCCCTCCTATACACAACTTGAAAAGGTATTATACCAGCATTGGTGTGGTAGGATGTATTGTACCAATATTCTGCCCATGACAACATCTTAGAGCACTCCCTCAGTGTATCAAAAGTGAAGCAACGTAAATATAATTCCAGGCATTTATTGAGGATTTCAGATTGACCATCGGATTAATGATGACAAGCAGAGGACATCTTAAGTGTGGTGCCACTGAGTTGCCAAAGAAACTTCCAAAATTGGCTCGTAAAGACTTTGTCTCTATCAGACACTATAGATTTTGACAGACTATGTAATTTTATGACGTTCTTGAAAAATAGTTCTGCCACACATTTGCTATTAAAGTCATATTTCATTGGTATAAAGTGAGCTGTCTTTGATAGTCTATCACTGTGAAGCCATAAGAGATAGGGAGGCCCGTTATAAAGTCCATGGCTAGAACCTCCCAAATTTGATCTAGAATTGACAATGATTGTAGCAAGCCTGCAGGAAGTGTAGTGACCATCTTCGCTTGTTGACAAATCAAACACTGTTGGACGTACATTTTAATGTCATGGTACATCCTTTTTCAGTAGAATTGAGCAGCAATTCTAGCTAAGGTTCTAGAGAATCCTGCATGTCCCCCAATAACTGAACTATGAAACTCATGCAATATACTTTTAATTAATTCATGACCAGCTGGGACCACAATTCTGTGTTTTCATAGTAGCAATTTTTGATGTACTGAATAAGGACTATTACTGTCCTTTTTGTTGACATATGCATTAATCAAGGTCTGAATGTCCTGATCTTTAGTTTGTGCGTGCTGCAATTTAGTTAACAAAGTTGGCATCGCTTGAGACTAAGCTGCTTAGAAAGACCTAGAGAGCGCATCAACTGGTATATTTTTCTTCCCTGGCTTATATTTAATAGTAAACTCGTATCCAAGTAACTTATGTAGCCACTTTTATTACTCTGGAGTTTGTAAGTTTTGGTTCATTAAGGTCCGCAAGCTTTGCTGGTCTGTTCTAATTACAAAAGTGTGGCCAAGGAGATAATGTTGAAATTTGGCGACTGCTTCCGTCAAGGTATATAATTCCCGCACATAGGCTGATTGTTTTTGCATGGCAGGTGACATCTTCTTTGAAAAATATGCAATTGGGTGTTTGTTCTGTGTCAAGACAGCTCCAATACCCATTCTAGATGCATCAGTTTCTAGTTGAAACGGTAGAGAAAAATCAGGTAAGGCCAAGATAGGACGCTATGTTAAAGTTGTCTTCAATTTGGTAAATGTTGTGGCAGCAACCTCTGACCGTAGAAAGCAATCTTTTTTTTAGTAAGTCAGTGAGTGGACCAGCAAGGGTTGCATAATTCTTGATAAATCTTTGATAATAGTCTGTCAATCCAAGAAAGCCCTATAATTGCTTCAGATTTGTAGGTAAGGGCTAGGCCAACACAGCCTGAACATTGCTCTCCTCCATAGCAATGTCCACTCCGAAAATTGTGTGTCCCAAATACTCCACCTGCTGTTTGCCAAATAAACATTTCGAAAGTTTAGCATAAAGTTGATTATCCTGTAAGAGTTGTAGTACTTCCTGTAAATGTTCCAAATGTGTGTACCATGAGGGGCTGTAAATTCATATATCATAAAAAAAAAAAACATATTTCCTTGATATTTTCTGAAAAATGTTATTCATGAGAGCTTGAAAAGTTGCTGGTGCGTTAGTTAGCCCAAATGACATCACCCTCCACTCATATAGGCTTTGATGAATTCTAAAAGCACTCTTATACATGTCCTCCTCACTCACCATAATTTGGTGATAACTAGCCCGTTGATCCAATCTAGAGAAAAATTTAGCCCCATACAACTCATCAATCAGTTCGTCAACTGTAGGGATTGGGAAACTATTCTTGATTGTAATAGCATTCAAAGTCCTGTAATCCGTACAAAATCTCCATGTGTCATCATTCTTTTTCATGATTGGTGAGAAAAAAGGGCTACTACTTGACACTATGAGTCCTTCTTGAAACATTTCTTACACCATTTTCTCAGTCTGTTGCTTTTAACTAAATGGATAGCGATATGACCATACTTTAATAGTATCTGAACCCTATAATAAAGATATAGCATGTGTATGGGATCTTAGAGGAGGAAGACCAGTGGGCACATAAAAGACACGTTGATACGTATGCAACAACAGGTCTATCTTTGGGTCAATATCCATGGGCAAATCCAGCAGCTTATCTTGTGCTGTATTGGGATTCATAAACTGGAGGCAATACATCTCAACAATGACATTCGTGTTAACCATTCGCTTAAAGTGGTGAAATTGAGCCTGGTCTGGTGGTTTCATCTGTTCTCTTCAAAAGGTTACAAACTTATCATTGAACATGAATTTGAATGACAAGTTACTATAATCTGAAATATGAGCTCCTATTGTCGCTAACCATAAAGCTCTCACAACCAACTCTGCACCTGATATTGGAAGTGAGTAAGCTGGCAGCTGGATGGTATGATTTTGAATGTGAACTTCCAATTTTTTAATAAGTCCTTCCACTCTTCAAGTGCTGTCGTTACCAATCATAACATTAAAGTTGTCAATTGGTTCAACTGGAAGTTTAAGATAGGAAACAATCTGTGGTTGTATAAAATTATCGGAACTCACACTATCCAAAAGAATTTGTACTGGTAAGCCATGAATAACAGCTTTAAATCTCATCGTTGCAACTCCATCCGAACCTTTAAGAGCATTGAACGATAAATATTGTTCTGGTTGAAGTTGAGACTCTGTCGTGGTCTCCAATAAGCTGGCCTCCTAGTTTACCTCGTCTGGTAGACTGTCGTCCTCTAAGTGTAACCAAAGATACTGTTTGTTAAGGCACCTATGAGATGGTGAGTATTTTTCATCACAAGTGAAGCAGAGTCCTTTTTCTCTTCGTAATTGAACTTCCGTAGGAGATAATTTCTTGACCATCGCACCCTCGGTACTAAAGGAGTGGGGTATGGGTTTTTTAATAAGGGTGGTAATCCTGTGGTCTTAAGTGAGTGTGTCGTGGCATCTTGTTAGGGCACCTGTGAGATGGTGAGTATTTTTCATCACAAGTGAAGCAGAGTCCTTTTTCTCTTCGTAATTGAACTTCCGTAGGAGATAATTTCTTGACCATCGCGCCCTCGATACTAAAGGAGTGGGGTATGGGTTTTTTAATAATTGTGGTAATCCTGTGGTCTTAAGTGAGTGTGTCGTGGCATCTGGGGGCTGATTTTGTGTAAAAACCTTGGACCCAAAAAACTTGTTTTGTAGCATATTTTTCTTCAAATAGTTTTTCTAGTGATACATATCTCATCAACGTCGTAGGTGCTTGGACCAAGACATCTTTATGAATGTCTTGGCATAACCCTCCTACAAAATAGTCGAGTAGAGCCTCTGTGGTAACCCCTTGAGCACGATTGGCGAGGGTTGTGAATTTAGCATAATATTCTTGCATGATCCTTCTTGTGTGAGTTTGAATAAATCTGAGGGAGGACATTCATAAGGTGATGGTCCAAATTCCAATTCTAGTGCATGCTGAACGCAATCCAAGTTGGAAACGCATGATTTCGAGCTTGCATTTGAAACCATGGAATCACCTTTTTTTCCAAATGCACAGAGGCAATGAGCAAAAGTTATTCATCCGGTGTTTTATAAGAATAAGAAAACTGTTCCGCCCTGACAATCCATTGGAGCACGTCTGACCCATCAAACTTAGGAAAATCTAATTTGACATTTCAGACCTGGAATGACGGAGATGGAGAGGAAACCCGCGACCCAATATCAATAGCGTGAATCAATGTCAAAATCGAATTCATTGAGGTTTCTAGTGTCTCAAAACGAGTATAATCATCTCGTTGACGGTCATGAAGAGCGGCCAACAAGTTCTTCAAATTCCTATCTGTAACAGCCACTGTATTGACTAATTGCTTAATATCCCCCATCTATTCCTTCATGCGGACCATCTTCCCTTGGAGTTCTTTCAATCTTATATTCTCCACCATGGAAGAGAATGAAAACACCAATATAAGCTAGCACCATTCTCTCTACACTGATACCAGTAAAGATTATAATAGTAAAATGGAATGCACAATTATGAACGAAAACGCAGGAGAAGAATTTATTGCATGATATTTCTTAGGAATCTCCACCAACAGAAAGGAAAACAGAGAATGTGGAAAAAAACAAAATTTCTGTAAGAGAATGATTCTAAAAAATTTTCTCCCCTCTCTCCTCTAACAACTTCCCTTATGTACCCTTGATATTTTGTCACGTAACTCTTTTTTTTGTTGGATCGTATGACTCTGCTATTTTCATTGCTCTCCCCTTATTATCTGTCACATGTCCTTTTAACCTTTGATTGTCTTTAACGGTCTTCAGCTCATTCTGCTCTTGCACTTTTATTACAGGGTGTTTCTTTTTGGTACGATAATTGGATCAAGGAATGTGTTATTTGAACACATGGTTCACTGTGTAAATGTGCTAAGGATTTTTTTTAATTTGGACTTCTTCCACAACTAATGGTCATTTTAAAAAGGATGAATATAAGTAACATCTACAAACAAATGATGTTTTTAAATTACAATGTAATTTAATATAAAATAGTGAAAAGTTCGATTAAACTAATAATTTAAGTAATGAAATGCTTTTTGTTTTACCCTAAATATTATCAACATGTTTTGGCATAAAGATTACTTATTGACTTTAGCAGTGTCATTGAATGGTGTGATTTTTCTCAACATTGTGTCTTTTTGTATATTTGATTATTATTTTTTTCAAATGCTTGTTAGTTTTATTGAACTTGCTCCATAATTGATCCGCAACAAAAGCTATACACCATATGCAACGCAATGACATAGAGATGTTTTTCTGTATTTGCACAATCATGGTTATTGTATTCTAAATAATTACATGGAATCAATCTTTCAAAGAATGAATTGAAAGAATCAATTGAATGTTTAAGCCTACAATTTCTATTCTTTATTCGTGTGTGTCTTTTTACATCAAAGAATCATGTTTCAATAAAACGATCGATACAAAAAATTAAAGAATAAATGAATCACATTCTCATTCTTCATTAATCAGAATGACTTCTTAAGATATTTGAAATCCAATGATGAGTCAGTGCACTCCGCTTTGTTCCTATAACCGTTCAACAGTTTCAACAACTCTGTAGCATTCTCCTTTGTGCTCTCATCACAACCAACCTGTAGCAAAACCAAGAGCTTTTGAAAAGCCCCTACATGAACTGCATCAATCAGAACCCCTTCCTCATTCTTGTCACAATTCTTCCTAAGAATAGAGACAGCAAAACTTGAAGCCAATGGTGACACCCTCAAAAGCTTCTTAATGACAAGAGGCAGAGTAAGAGCATTATTATTAACAACCTCCTTCCCCTTTTGGGTATCACAAATGCAATCCAACACCCCAAGTGCCTTCTCACACACCCCTTTCTCTCCATCAACAATAGCCTCTAGCAAAAGTGAAACCAAACCCAACTCCACAAATCTTTGAGCAATTTCCCCTCTATTCTCAGTCGATGACACTAAGTTAAAAATTGTTGCCAAACAAGCCTTGGTGGAAGTACTCCCAATAGGTTCCCTAATCATGTTAACCAAAGCTTCAACAACTTTTCCAACTTTGGCCAATTCTTGAACACGCACTTGCCTGAGCAACAAAGCAGCACTTTGCCTTGATGCAAGGTCTTTTCCCTCTAGAAACCAAACCATGCAATTCAATGAGGCTTTTGAACTTAATTTAGGTACACTCTCTTCCTCAAGTGGGGTCATCCATGTCAACACCTCCAAAATCTCCTCCAAAACAGCCACATGCTTGTCAAAAGAGTCACCACTTGAGAAACAATCAAAGGCATTTGTAAGAACTGCACCAACACCAGGATTAGTACTAGCATGATTCCCAATTATGCACCTCTTGTTCCTCTCACTCTCTCTCCCCCAAACCTTAATCTTTCCAACCAACTCCTGGCACTTTTTATCATCCCCACGCTGACAAGCCGCCAAGATCCTCGTACATGTCTGAGAAATCTCGTAGTTGGAGAGAGGAATCCGAGGAGTGGGGATCCTTTCAATCCCATAAGAATTATTTTCAACACACCAATCCTGAATCATCCTACGAATGGCATGGTTGGGGATGCTATCAAAGGTTGTGAGCACCTGGTTGGTGACGGGGCAGGTCTTGTTACCTCCCTCAATCCACTTTTCAATGCTCACCCTGTCGTAGGTGATGCCAGTTGATAAAGCCACCGGGTCAGTCATCAACTCTAAACTCACCGGACACTGAAAGTGGTTGGGGATCACAACCTCCACCTCCAACTCACCACCAAAACCACCACCTTGAGTCTGTCTCTTCTCCTTCTTGACAAGACGAAAAATGTTTCTTCTAGTCCAAGACAACACCATTTTGATGATGATCGTACAACAAAGCAAGAACCTCTTTCTTTGTTTCTTTCTTTGGTTCTTTGGCTTGATGTGAATGAGAATATGATATGAAATAAAGAACATTGTGTGGTTGGTATATATAATGGAGGATGGCGTGAAACAAGGAAGGGTCATAAAGGTGGTACACGGGTCAAAGCTAGCTAGGTAAGATGAGTGGTTCAACTAGGAATGTTTCAAATCAATTGAACATAAATAATGTTTTTTATATGCTTGGTACGTGAGAGTTTTTGAACATTGACTGTTGAAAGTTTGAAAGTGTGTGGAGGGTAAAGTGGTTATTATGATTTAGGATTGAAGGAGAAGTGTGATCTGCAGAATAATAATGCTACCAAACACTTTTAAATTACTTAACAAAGTAGTAGTCGTAGGATATAGTATATATTATATCCTGCCACCTGAAGTAGATTTAAAACAAGGAAATTTTTTGGTGTAGCAGTGCGCGTTGTGCCAATGTTGTAGCTGTGTACGCGTCAACCCGCGTGAGCCTCTTTGCATTCGTGTTACAATAGCCGCGTAGGCACAGTATTAGCCGGTGACTTTTATAATACTATATGCAAAATTAAATAAAATATGACTATCTTTATAATTGTTTCATTTCAAAACTTTACAGATATAATTTTTTTAATCATGAAAACATAAAGTCATATACAAAATTATATTTTAGAAATAGATATGAATTGAAAGTTGTTCATGAATTTCAATAATAGAAAAAAACTATAAAAACAAAAACAAAAACTTACGTATTGAAATATAATGTTATTTAACCCCTTAGAATTTAAAACCACTGTTAAAGAATTTTAATCTAAAATCTTCTTAAGATTGTTAGGTAAACTGTGATTAATTATGATCTTTAATCTAACGATCAAATATAAAGTAATCACATACTGATAAATATATTATAAACTGAATGCGAAAGCGTATCTGAATTTGCCATAATGATGATGTCCCTTTTAGAACACTATTGATCTTATGGTCTTTCACCTGGAGAGCACCTGTATTTCCCTTTGGATTTTATCTCTTGATGGGGATATAAAGAAAGGAACGAGACTTATACTTACGTTCTGTGTGTGCTCCCAGAAGGGGACCATGACCCTTTAAATAACTAGAATTAGGTTAATTACTTAATTTTTAGTATTTTCAATTTGGCCCCTCATCAAATTAGAAATTACTCTATGGTCTCTACACAATTTTATTTTCATGACATATGCCTTTAGCCAAAACTTTAATTTATTCATATCACTTTATTATTTGGCTTAATAAATAATGACCCTAACACATTTAAATTATGTATCATATATATACATGACCCAAATTTTGCCAACAATCTCCCACTGGTCACAAATATATATGTCCTTACAACCTTACAAATGTGTTAGACTTTATGAGCTCAAAATTGTCATTATATTCTTGTAGCATACTCCAAAAGTCCTGTCCATTAATCATATCAAGATATAGAACCAAATCAGCTTTTCATTACATCATCGCAATTAAAACCAACAATGATTACTCATCCTAACATAATCAAATGACATGGATTCATCATAAAATGTGTAACATGAAAATTACGTGAAGGTGATCTGTACACGTCTATTTTCAACTGGTCCAAACTTTAACTTATCGAGATCGATATAATATCCTTAATGTACAAAGTGTAATGAATGAACGAAAAAACCGCATATCTATAGATAAACAAATATATCCAAAAATCAATGTATACATATATGAAATTAAACATAGAACATAAAATATATGAAAGTGACTAACTCCCACTAAACCACAAATTCCTCAAACTGTAAAACACCCATGTGAGCAGCATGCTCATGAAAGACCTTGGGTGGAAGTCCTTTAGTTAGAGGATATGCTATCATGGAGTTTGTCCTTAAGTGTTTTATGGAAATCTGTCCACTTTGTACTCTTTCCTTAAGAATATAGCTGATTTATTGTCACAATATAACTTAAGTGGTCTTTCAATGCCTTTCACATTTTGCAGCCCTATGACAAAATTTCTCAGCCATATTCCATGATTTGATGCCTCATAGCATGCTATAAATTCTTGACATCCTGCAAAATCTGAGTCAGAAAACCCAGCGATCTCCAACTGGTTTGACCTCCTGTATGTGAGCATATAATCTTTTGTTCTCTTTAAATATCTTATGACCCTTTTTGCTGCTTTCCAATGGTCTATTCCTGAATTGCTTAAATATCTGCCTAGAACCCCAACTATGTATGTTATGTCTGGACACGTACATATTTGGGAATACATCAAACTCCCGACAGCTGATACATAGAGAATCTTTTGCATTTCCTCAATTTCCAAATTCCCCTTTAGACACTAATTTAGACTAAATTTGTCTCCCTTAGTAACTGGAGTATCCTCGGCTCATGACGCACAGGTTCTTGAGTTTGGTCTTGACGAACAATCAAATCATCTTGAATATGGGGTTTATCATCAATGTCTTGTGGAGGTTCCGAACTTACTTTATCAAAAGTAACTGTTTGAATCGGTTCTTGATTTATTGTCGATTCTTCCTCCAATACAAAATTCTTAATCTTATTCTTCCCCCCAAACTCAATATCCTCAAAGAACATAACAGTTCTCATCTCAAAAATTTTCTTTAATGTGAGATCATAAAATTTATACCCCCTGGCTCTTTCAGAATAACCAATGAAGTAACTACTTACTGTTCGGGAGTCTAATTTTAGTTTAGTACCACGAGATTCTGTATTAAGAGTTTCATTATAGGTGACCACAATATTAAGTAATATATAGATTATCATGAGCCAAAAGTGAACAAATTCTAACAATATCTGAATTAAAAGACAAATTGAACTCATTGTTTCCAAATGAACACATATAACCTAATTTGTCCAAATAATAAACTGAAACCAAATTTCGTCTAAAAGACGGCACGACAAAAGTATCTTTTAAATCTAAAAATAAAAAATCAGTACACAATAATAATCTAAAATGTCCAATAGTCTCCATCTCCACCGATTTGTCATTTTCAACGTATATCCATCTTTCAGAATCAGTTGGCTTCCGGTAGTTTAGGCAACCCTTTCTTTTCACGCCAAGCATGATATTTAGCACATTGCTTCTTTACGTGTCCAGTCTTATTGCAAAAGAAACATTTGTTTTCTTGAGTTTGTTTCTTTTGTTCTGGACCTTTAGCAGCTTCCTTCTTAGGATCCTCCAATCTCTTTCTTTTGCCTTTAGCCTTAGAGGTGCTTGCAAAATGAGCACTTTCTGTCTTGTCTTGCTTTAGCCTTTCTTCTTCTTGTACACAATGTGAAATGAGTTCATTAAGAGATCATTTATCCTTCTGACAGTTGTAAGATACCTTAAACTGAATAAACGTTGCGGGGAGAGAAATCAACACCAAATGAATGAGAAAGTCTTCTGAGAGTTCAAGCTTTAGTGCCTTGAGTTTAAAAACAATATTAGACATGCTCATAATGTACTCCCTGATATTTCCTTTGCCCTGATATTTCATGGAGATCAAGTTCTGAAGAAGAGTGCTTGCCTTCGCCTTATCACTTTTTGCAAAGCGCTGCTCAATTTCAACAAGGAACTCTTTGGCACTTGTGATGTTTTCAGAAACAGTGCCCCTAAACACCTCCGGAATGCCGCGCTTAATGATCATTAGACTCATGCGATTTGAGCGATCTCACTTCTCATAATCTTTTTTCTGTTCATAGGTACTTGAATCCATAGGAACAAGGGGTTGCTCAGTCCTTAACGTAAGATCCATATCCATGCAGCCAAGAATAATATCAATGTTCTCTTTCCATTCCTTAAAATTTGTTCCATTGAGGACCGGAACAAAATTTAAATTGGCAGATACAGAAGCAATTGTAGCTAAATTAAGAACAAAAGAAATAAATTAATTATGCTCAATTATAAAATTAAATAATTATAAATAAAATATATATTCAAATAATGGTTTAACCCATCTCAAGACACCCAATGCACCATCAATATCAAGTCTTTGGACAGTAATATTAACTGCTAGAGGTATATTGTTGTAATAATCAAACATTGACAATAAAGCACGTCTAACAACAAATCAGTCTTTAGATTGATTTATCATCGACAAAGCAAATCCTTATAATTATCACATGTTTATCATTACAAGTGTATATGCAATTCAGCCAAATATTACTCTTCCTTTGGACCGACTAATACTCACATGAATATACACAAACACTAACATTTAATATTTTTCACTGAACTACCCAATTCAAGAGATGTTACTTTGGTAACTTCTTGATTCAATTTGCTCACAAAAATATTAAACTATCAAACAAATTGAATATATTAATAAGGGTAATCCTAAACCAAATTTATATAATTATTTATTTATTAAAATATATATATATATATATATATATATATATATATATATATATATATATAATGGCACGGAATCCACCATTGTCATTCATAAAACAAGTATTTTCCATTCCAGATTCTCCACCTTCCCAAGTAGCCCCTTATTCAATCGATGCAGACCCTAAATCCTAAACGACAGACTGCTTACCGAAAAAGGATGACACGGGATTGGACTGTAAATATTTTCTTTCCTTCTTTCTGGTATTTAACACATGCAATCAGAACAAAGGGAAGTGGTCTACTTAGATTTGCCGAGACAACTTTCTTCATTGCCTGAACTGCTTTCTCCATATCATTACCTGCGTGATAGCCAGATGCCATTCGGTCCCATGTTCTTCCATCTAATTGCTTGCCACCATCCAAAAGCCGTTTGATATAGGCCTCAGCCTTATCGAACTGACCCCGTTTACAATAAGCAGTGATCATCAAATTTGGAATTTTGGCATCAAAATTTACATATTTAGATTCCCATTCTTCCAAGATCTTCTCTGCCTCATCAATGTCATCCAACTTTATTAATGAGCTCAACATACTCATGTAACTTGAGTTGCAAGAAATTTTAAAATTTTTTGCAAATATTCCAAAGCCGATAAACCTCATCCTTGTTCCCAATCATAGCATACATGGTTTGAATAGATTCAAAAGCAAGTCTCTTAGTCTTGCCTCTGGCTAAATGCTCTGATTTCTTTAACATTGCCGTGACCTTTTTAAAATTATGTACTTTCCGATAACCATTTGCTGCAGTAGTGTATGTATACCAGTCAATGGTTGCCAAGGGATCAACTTCCATTTCCATAAGCAACTTCTCCATACCCTTTATGTTTAAGGTGGCCACATATGCATTTAACCGTATGATATATGTACTACCATTAAAGACATCCTTCTCTTTCATTTCTCGCATCAACCTATCCAATTTCTCATATTTACCCATCTGAGCATAGAGATTCAACACCATATTATAACACATAGTTATATTCGCAGGATGAGACTCCTTAATTTTCTTCATGACTGTCTCTGCTTTCTCCACAGATTTATTATGCTGCACATAGCATCTTAAAAGAGCAGCATATATCTTAAACTCAACTTTAGCATCAGGGAGGCCTCTAAAATATCTCTCTGCTTGTTCAAGCCTATGGACTCTTGATATCAGGTTGATCTGTTTTGCAATGCCTTCTGGAGACAAGTAATAGTTCCTTTCATTGCTCATCCATTCCATAATCTGAAGGGCATGTGTGAAGCGACCAGATTGAGAGAGGCGATGAACGAGATATTGGAGCTGAAATTGGGTGACTTCTTTGCCTTCTTCGACCCATTGGTTCAGAATAGGATTCACTGGACTGAAAGGGTCCCCAACCCTCAACACGCGATTTTCAAGACTTGCCACCATGCTTCCCGTCGAGTACATGCACATTCCAAGAGACCCAGAAACAGAAACGCCACAAATTTTTACAAGTTTGCATCTTGATCGTAATAACATCATTCTTTTTCTCGCTCACCGCTCTCAGCTTGAACTCTCGTAACCAGCACTCTCGAAACCCTCGTGGAAGATTCGAGGTTCTATTGTTTGGTGGTTGTGAAGCGAAGACACAACCAGGATATTTAACCCCAAATTTTAATTTAGGGTTTATGAAAATTTGAGATTAGGGTTCTGAATAAATTTAATTTACGAAATACAAACATGAATCATGTATGGGTGACTCTAATACCACTTGTTAGGTAAACTGTAATTAATTATGATATTTAATCTAACGATCAAATATAAAGTAATCTCATACTGATAAACATATTATAAACTGAATGCGAAAACATACCTGAATTTGCCATAATGATGATATCCCTTTTAGAACACTATTGATCTTATGGTCTTCCACCTGGAGAACACCTGTATTTCCCTTTGGATTTTCTCTCTTGATGGGGATAGATAGAAAGGAACGAGACTTATACTTACGTTCTGTGTGTGCTCCCAGAAGGGGACCATGACCCTTTAAATAACTAGAATTAGGTTAATTACTTAAGTTTTAGTATTTTCAATTTGGCCCCTCATCAAATTAGAAATTACTCTATGGTCTCTACACAATTTTATTTTCATGACATATGCCTTTAGCCAAAACTTTAATTTATTCAGATCACTTTATTATTTGGTTTAATAAATAATGACCCTAACACATTTAAATTATGTATCATATATATACATGACCCAAATTTTGCCAACATATATGTCAACACTTCGTTCGACATGTGTTTATGAAATAATAGCAGTTAAGAATGTATAAACCAAATGACAACTACTTTATAAGTTTTCATACGAAATTAATTTCAAAAAAATTAAAGAAGCAATAGCATGTAGATGTATCTAAATTTTTGTGAGAAAACATCTCATGTATCTATTATTTCAACAAGACTCCCATCTTCTCATGGTTAATTCATATCATATAGCTAATTATATATATATATATATATATATATATATATATATATATATATATATATATATATATATATATTCAACTAGTCTCTCATTTTTCAATTTTCAACATTCACTTCTTTATATAAACTGCTCAAAATAGTTTAACAAATTTTTTAAAACTTATCCATTTTAAAACATGTAATAACCTTTTTATTAAAATATTATTTTTTCTAAAAAAAATAAACGCACCCAATATAATCAAATATATTTCATTAAAATATAATAGTAGTGTGACTTTCTTATTTTATTATTTAATCATAAAATTTCATGTATGTTGGTTGACTTTTGTATTCATTAAAAAATATAATTTTTTTAATACACATTTAAAAAGAATAAGTTTTAGGATTATTCTTAATTAGTTGGTTATACAAAATGAATAAATTAACAATGTATGAAAACATTATTTATATAAAAGAATATTAGAATATTAAGCTTTAATAAAATATTAGAATATTATCTATATAAAAGATTTGTTATAATCATCAATTTATTTAAAAAATGTAAAATCCAAAAATATTATTTTATAACAATATTCCTATCTTCAATAATAATATTATGTTTGAAAGGTTACAGGTGCAGGGAAGATTGAGTTGCCCATATATAAGGAATAACTTGAGGTTTATCTTTAACATGTTGCATTGTCTTAACTGGGTCATAAACCAGAAATCTTGTTCATCATATATTTATTCCTAAGAAACAATAGAAATAGTCCTACATGAAGAAAGAAACAAACCAAAGAGAGGGAAATTAGAAAGAGAGTGAGTAATATATGATATGATAGTAGTTTTGGACTGTAAAACAATTTCTCTACCTTATATTATATACTATTTAAAACAAAATAAAAAGTTATTTTACGTTGCAAGTTTCAATACTTTTGATTGATTGTTTGCATAATATAAGATAGCAATAATAATAAAAATATGTAAAATCTCAATATGAATGTGGTTATTAAAATATTCTCATATGTGTATATAGATGATTTGGATACTCAAATAATTTTTAATCCAAAATTATCTAAAAATAATAATAATTTTTTATTTTTTATTTTTATATTCATAAACTTGTTTTGACTTCATCCACTTAAATTTTGTACTTTGTGTTAACTTTCGATGTATGGATGAATTAAGTATGAAACCCTTTGAAACGTGCAAGTAGTAAAATCTACCTTATTATTATCATGTTCATCACTAATTATATTAACCCTACGTTGTAATAAAAAACATATCATTTTATATAAAATGCTTTTTTTTCTCATTACTAGGTTCGATCCTATGTTTCAATCCAAGGTATAAAATACAAAAAAAAAATGTTAAAGTCCATATAAGTATAATGGAATTGTACCATTCTACGTGGAAATCATCAAATTTTTGGACTATTGCCGACAACAATTTTGAATACATAACCAAAGGTTCTTTCTTATCTATGTATGCATCTGAAATATATAATTAAACATATTTTTATTGTAAATTTTGTACGTATTGTTCATGTGTTATTAGTGAAAACAACACCGTGTCTATATTTTTTATATTTTTTATATTATTAATTTATTATATTTTTTTGTTAAAATATTTTTATTTATTTATTTTCTCTATTCGATAGATGTATCCACATTCTTTTTTATAATCCTGTATCACTTTTTTTTCTCATCTTTTTCCTAATTTTTCAAATGTATATATATCATAATAAATATTTTCCTATATTTTTTTTTGTAAATCATGATATATTATATGTATGAGATTTTTTCTCTCCAATTGACACCAAAAGAAGTTATATAAAAGAAAATCACCTTTTATATATAATATAGATAAAAATTCACTTTTATAAATAAAAAAAGTGTTTAGATTATATATGGATGACATATTCGTAATAAAATGTAAATACATTTTTGTTATGTATATTGTACATTAGTTAGAAAAATCATTACATTATGGACAATTTTTGGAAAAAGTTAACAAACAAAACTTTTGACCAGGGTAGCGAAAATGTGGTGTGGATAGCAAGCCTTTATTGTACTCCAAAAATAGCCCAAAACTCTTACCCATCTAATTACGAGCTTAAAATTTCATAATTGAGGTGGCATGAATGATGAATGGTACAGTTAAAGGAAGAAAGACAACTAATTAATATCATGCATGCTCTTTCTTTGTGATTTGACTAAAGGTAAAGGAAAAACATGAAAGGAAAAATAGACATGACATAGAATCAACTTTAAGATCAACATGGAATGAATGAAGCAAATAGACACAGCTTGACTTTAGATTGGAAGCATACTCTCAATTTTGTTTTATTTATTTACATAAGGGTTATAAAAAATTTGAACACCAATGGCATCTTATGATGCCATGATCTAAAAATTAGACAATTGGTTTGATTCGAGACCCATTTCATTACAGTTGCTATCCTTTTAAGGTATCTTACCAAGAATGTTTAAAGTATAATACTTGCACCAATTTTATGTTAAAGTTTAATTTGTTGACAGTGTGATGTTTTTATCAATGCTCTTAGCACACTCTAATAATAGTGTTTGCTAGCCAATAGTTTATCCTTTAATCTTGCTATGGAATCATTGGTGTCTGACCAGCATTGGTTTGGCATCTAAAGATCAAACCAAGTTTGTTAATCTATCCAATAGATTGGAATGATGAACATGTATGAGATAAAAGGAACAATTAATATAGAAAAAGACATGGCTATTGGCTATAAATTATGAGTAAGCCTAGCCTACTAATCAGCACTAACTAAATGTTTGTACTAAACAATTTTAAAGGAAGGAAGCAAGGAGAATATAATAATAGTCACCAAACCAAGTGGAAGAAACTGACTTAAAAAATAAATCAACAGGGACTGTAATTATCAGAAGAGGGAGTTAATATTTATATCCTCTGCACTAACGCAATAATGGTTACCCTAATGCATATGGTAATAATTTGTTAATATTATTTTATTTTTCAAAACTGAAACTGAGATATTTAATCAGAGAAAAATTTGAATATGCTTATATGGTTAGGGTTTTTAATGAAAGATAAGAGTTGGGATGGGTGTGGCCGTGGGACGAAGTTGGCAGTGGAGGGTGTGATGAGAGTGCTGCAAGCGGCGGAAACATGGACATGTCTCTAACTGCCATGACCAAAAGCTCCACTCTCACTTTCTCTTCAAACATGTTACCTTTCTCTATTTTTAAAGGGATGTTTGTTTAGCATCTTCTTCTTTGTTTTTTTCTTAGAAAATTATCTGTAAAAATAAAATATTTAATTTAAATTTTTAAAAATATTTAAACACTGCTTAAAAAAAAAACAAAAAACAGTAATAATGTTACCTTTACCACGTGCATTACAAGTTTCTTCGTGAAACAAAACAATATTGGCTTTGACAATGTTTTATAATTATGTTGGATTACCGAGATTTAAAAAAATAATATTCTCCAATTTTATTGTTTATTAGTACTTTGTTGTGAGATCTAATTTCGATCGGACTAAGATCATGCCGCACGTGGTTCAATGTTATGCCACATTTCATGTCGGGTTTATAGAAATATTTTTCTGGATCAAGTATGATATGATTAATAAAATCACTCCTAGTTTTTAAACACGTGCTTAGGCCTTAATGGACTAAATATTAATTATTGTTCAAGTTCAAGAGTTATTTTAGTACAAAACAGATAGAAAAATTGGTTTTATTTGAGTAACATGTGTATTCTTCAACACCCTCTTCTACTCCAATTTTATTTTTTATTTTTCATAAAAAGACTATTCCTTTTAAACACGTGCTTAACCATATTGTAATTTCCATTAAAGATATTGTTAATTTTTATGTGTTTGTGAACAAAAGTAACTGAACATGGAGGCAACTCTAATATTAATAGTGTGAGGTATTTATATATATATATATATATATATATATATATATATATTATATTTATATTATAGGTTAGTGTAAGATAAGTCTAACACTAATATTTATTTAACATTCCAAAACTTGATTTTAAATGAAAAATAGGATGATATTTAAATGTATTTATTAAAACATATTCAATAGTAAATTATAAAACTTATTTAATAATAAATTATAAAATTTTGGTTCAAAATTTTTATTTTTTATTATTTTGTTGAGTATTTTAATATTTTTGAAATATTTTATTTTATTTTCAATATTTTAACTTTTTTTATCATAATAATCAATGTAATTTTCATAAATAATAACATATAATATAAGAATTAGAAATATTTTTTTAATTTAATAATCTAAAATAATAATTTATTTTTAATTATTATATTACAAGAAAATAAATGATAAAAGTGAATAATAAATCTTTAATTTTTATTAAGAATACGTGAATCCTTATGTTAATATTAATACACTAAGAATATATTTAATAGATATAATTTTTAGATTGTCTAAATTATGTGATATGTATTTTTAAGTTAATGTATAAATATGTTGTAGAGCTTACATATATAATATATAAGAGACTTAGATTAAAATATTTAGTTTATTAAATATCCAATTTTTAGAAAAAAGCCATTACTTAAAACAAAATGGGTTTTGTATTAAATTCTCAAAATTGATTTAAGCATATAATTTTATTGTTCAACTGCAGACTGGTGAATCAGTGTGGATAAAGAAAAAAAATTGGCTGTGGAGAAGGAAAAAGTGGAGTGAGTAAGAAAGCAATTACCTGAGTAAGGGAAGAAGGACATGTGGTGTGTTGTTTATGGTGCAGTGTGGTTGTTCAAAAATAGGAGAAACAATAATTATATAGCCTATGAAATGTGATGGATGGAATATATGAAACTATGAAACAAAGCCAACCCGACCCCATGCATTATGGACTTATCTGAACCACTTTTGGAGTGGCCAAGAGAGAGAAGAAAAAGACAGACAGGAGAATCTTTGGTGGGAATAATGACTAGACTGTTACCTCGTTCTTACTTCTTCCTATACTATGTTCAATCAACCTATGTTCATGCTTTCAACCTTTTTACATAAATGTCATGGAAGCAAGCAGTTTCCTTTCTCTAAGACTTGGTACAATCATAAAAATATAACAAATTTGATCATTCTCTCTTTTAAAATTTTGTTTTTCCCAATACTTTTTCTTCTGATTTCTCTGCCACTCCAACGCACCACTCCCATCTTACCTTTGCTTTCCCATATAATTAAACACCCACAACCTCACTGTCTCTGTTTACTCTTTTTTTAATTTTTATTACTGTTCGGTTAAATTGTTGTTTAAATGTTAGAAAAATAAAACCTCTTAGCTCTCACTTTACCTTCCCTCTATTAGTGTTTAAGGAACATGAAAACCACATAGACTTGTTTTCTCTTTTCATAATCAACCACCCCAAGAGAAGCAGCAAGGGAGATACATCCTACATGTCTCCAGTTCGAAAGCAGTTGTTATAGGTGATCTCAGAAGCAAGCTACTTTCCCTTAATCTTGAAACTTGAGAGGTTATGTGACACTCTTTTTCTGTCATCCGTGTACCGAACTGCTACTTGTCTTCTTGCTTTGGTTTTCTGCTTGTATTCAGTCTCTTTCTTGGTTTCTGGACAAGTTTGAATCACTTGAAAGACTAGATGTTTTCTGGATCCTACCCTCAAACGTTCCATCACCCTTCTGTGCTCTAGTTTTTCCTTGTTTTCCCCATCACCAAATTCTAAAGTGAGTTTTCTCTCTACACTATTACAAGTAATTCTTCTTTCCCTCCAAGACTTGGCAATGAAGAAAATGAAACAAGTATCTACGTGCAATTCTGACTTGGTATATGCACTAGTTGTTATTCCTCAATATTTTATTTTTTGCTTTTTCTTTGTCCCGTTGGCTAACTATAACATGGTAGCTACTCGCTCATTCTATCTTTTGCTGTCTCTCAATGTTACTCGTCAGTCAGCAACTTGGTTCTTGAAAATCTGTAGTTAGAAAATCTTGAATATACATAAGTGTGTAGGTTTATTACTAATTAATTAGTAGGAATTTGTTTTCATGGATCCATGATAGTTCTCAGTCCAAGGTGGATGTAAAAACTCACTATTTATTGGTCAACTTATAGTTCATGACATGTCTCCTAGCAAACTTATTCCAGATTTTGACATACAAAATAGTGGGCCAGATAACAAACATATGTAGGTAAGATTCAATTAGGAACAGTTCCTTGCATGAAGAGTTCAGTGCGATTTCCAAGATGAATTGGTAATAGGTATCTAGTTCAACATTAAATTTCAATCATATATTTATGCTTCTTGTTTTATTGATTTTTTTCTTTCCTAGAAGAGCCACAAACAGCATAATAGGCTAGTGATAGTGCTATCTCAACAAACATGAGATAAGATCCAGAAGGCATCCTTAGGAAGAGTGTAATTAGTCATATTGTACTAGTCAATATTTGGTCTCTGGGTCAAATACTCAGAAATGAATTTTATTTTAAACAATAATTAAAGAAAATATCTGATTGCATTTGATTTCAGATCTAACCATAGGTAAAATCACAGATTCAATACAAATGGGGGAAAAACTGAGGGACGGTACAAAAAGAAAAAAGGAAAAAAGAATCTGGTTTTGTGGATTTTTATCATTATGGGGTTGTATTGTTGATGAGTCCCATTTGTTAGTAAGAAGATGAGGTACCAATGGCTTTTATCCTACATTATGGTTTCAATCAATACACCAAAAATTTCGAATCGTGTATTTGTGTAGATTAGTGCCTGCTTCTTTTACCATTTAGGTAGGCCAACATACGGCAAAACGAAGTGCGTAGTACAAATGCTTTTTCAGCAGAAAGTCCACTTATCAAGGCACTTGAATCACAACACATGCCATCATTTCCATGTCAATGGAAATGTGTATCTATGCCAGGCTGCCAGCACTAATCGTACGTCTTCCACGAAGGAAAAATATAGCATAGGATGTTTGTTTCTCTCCCCATACTGGATAACTAATAATCTTCCGTAGGATAAAAAATACCAACATACATGGAACCTCTTCTTTGGGGAGGATCAGCAGTTTTATATGCTTGTGGTCAAACTGACTCAAGAATTAAGAATTTCTGGTTATGATGCTTACTAACGGTTGGATTTTCATTGTAGGACCAATCAGTTCTTTCATTGTAAGCTCTTAAATGGATCTTATTGTGACTCTGGATTGTTTCACTTATTTGGTCAATTAGCTTGAAACTCAGCACATCTAAATCATGAAACAACACTTTGATCTTGAAGTGGTGGCCTCAGCAGAATATGAATCTGAAATTAGCAGCCAGGTTGCTTCCAACATATCTATTCAAGAAACCTATGCAGGTCCTTGCAGCAACAACCTTACCAACAACTCTTCCAATGTCACAAAACCAATAGAACCTCATCTCCAATCAGATGCTATCTCCCTCGACTTAACTCTCAACTTCAACAACAATGACTTGGTGGTTGGAGATTCGAGAGGACTCTCATTCTCAAGCACTACAAGTGAGAGCAGAAACGATCCTCCCTCTCAGAGTACTCACTCTCAAACCATGCCACGAGTCTTCTCTTGCAATTATTGTAAGCGCAAGTTTTTCAGCTCTCAGGCTCTTGGTGGCCACCAGAATGCACACAAGAGAGAAAGAACATTAGCAAAGAGAGCCTTGCGGATGGGTTTTTTCTCCGAGAGGTATGCAGGTCTAGCATCTCTCCCTCTTCATGGTTCTTTCAGGTCCTTAGGGATAAAGGCACACTCTTCTCTGCACCATGGCTTTTCACCTACAACGAGGCCTCCTGAGATGAAAAGCAGTGCAAGATTTGAGCAAGGATATATTGGTTTTCCAATATTCTTGGAGGAGGATGAGGCAGAACTCTTGTGGCAAGGTAGTTACCATCAGGTTCCCTCTAAGGGAAGCCATACTCATCAGAATTTCACACTGAGTGGAAGCTCAAATTTGAGTTTTATTGGGGTGAATCATCCAACTGTTGAGATAGAGAACTCAACACCTGAGTTGACATTGAAACTTTGAAGGGTTATTTGACACATTTTTCTGGCTTGTAGTGTTTATTTGTCATATTTCTGTACAGTAGAACATGCATGCAAGGCAATGGTGCCAGATTGATCACTTTCATTTCAGTATTAAACTTGCTGGATCTCATGTAATTTTTTTCGTAAGTTTTCGTTTACAAATCCTTGCTCTGGTGTTTTGCTCTGTATTTGTTGTTGTATAATTACTCTGGGAGGACAAGATTGGAGGTTGTGTTTGCCATATAAATCATGTTTATTTTCTACTGTAAATTATCGAGCTTCCACTGTTTTCTGTATCATTTTCCAAGTTGAATAATGAATTATTTAGCATCCGTTAATCTTGAAAAAAAAATTGAGAATATTTTGATCATATCTCTATGTATATAATAATGGGAATTTAACATTACAAATTGAGATAGATTTTCATATCATGTTAAAAAATAAATTTATCCTCACAGAATCGATTTATTTATTTTATTTTAGGCATATATTTAATCATATTAAAAAATACAGTTTGAATTAAATTCAATCTCATAAATCATTTTAGATATATATATATATATATATATATATTATACTAACGAAAATACATACACATGTTTGTCTTTATTTCTCCTACATTATGGTATTTTTACTGTATTGAAATACATATAAAATGAAGTAACTTATAAAATATAAAGTGTATATGCAAAAAATCTTTTAGGAAACTAGATATATGCTGACGAAAAAAATGAATAAAGTTATTATACTTATATAAGGTGATAGATAATCTATATTAATAAAATTAAACTTAATAGATTTATATTATAAATAGAAAAAATTAACTTAATAGACTAATAACTATTAAATTTCGATTTAGAAGTTAAATTATAGATTATTGTATGTTAAATGTTATACATACACTCTTTGCTTGTCTAACCACATATTTTATTTTCAGAAAATGTAAAATTTATTTTAACAAAGTTTAAATAGATAATTTGACACAAGTTTATAAATTAAATGAAAACTGAAAATAGGAGATGACGTTCCTTATAGTTTCTGACCGTTGTAACAGTTTAATAAGTGAGAAATCTTGAAAAGGATGGTAAGGGTTACGCGCCTTTTTGACTGAACGCAGCGTTTTATTGTATATGTTTTTCAAACAGGCAAGAGTTGTGTGCAATGGTTTCCTTTCTCCTATTTAAGAATTACCACTTCAATTTCATAATGTTGCAAACTCCAAACGCACGTTTCCACGCAACAGGTTTCTCTCCCTCTCTGCCAAACATCATACATACTGTTTTTATTTGGTGCTTACAAGTTATTATAATAACATTACTTTCGTGATTGCGTGTGCATGCCACTTTGTGATTGAATGAGACGTGCATTCATACACACAGGAAGTGAAAATTTTGTTTCATTTGTGTTACTTGTAATTTTATTTTCTTCTTTCGTATGTTTCGTCTCAAACTTAGTCAACGATCCTTTCTGTCTTCTTGGATTTCATTCTGACAGTTTCCGCTTGTCATTTCAGAGGCAACCCGGTGCGAAAGTTAAGCAATATTTTTAATTTACTTGTTTTAGACATAGACATCAAAATCCAGATTCTAACATCAAGTTAATCATAGCATAAAGAGATACTGCACATTTTTCCTTTTAACACTTACTTCTTTTGTTTTGCCTTTGTTTGGAAGATTGTTGATATTATTTTATGCAATTCATCAGTTGTAGTCATTATTTTAATTGAGAATAATTATGTAAGGTGTTTCTGATGTTGGATGCTTTCATATCATTTTTAAAATTTGCGTTCAATTTTTTTATCATTGCTTAGAAATACTGAATTTGGTCCTATATTTTGGTAGATAATGATATTTGATTGATATAACGATCCCTTTCATGATGTGAAGTTGTAAAATATTTCAATGGGTTATCTGAAATCCAAAATGATGACATATTATTTTTTTTGTGATCTATCGTTTGAAAAAAAGAGGAAAGTTTCCCGTTCAGTTTGCTTTGTGCCGACTTTATATTTCTTGGATCCCAAGTTTCTCTTTCCTTATATATCCCTTTCAAAACCTTAAATTATTGCCACCTCAACTTGTTGAAAATAGAGGATCTGCCCAGGTATACTTTCCTTATAAATTTTTATTCTCTCTCTGTCTCTCAGATTTAATTGAAAGTGCATATACTTCATATTACCCAACATATTGTGTATTTGTTTTCCGCGTTAAAAGGAAGGAAACAGAATAATGAGATAGCAAATATGATTAAAAGTTTTGCTGCACAATTAGAAAGCCACGATAAGATTTAATTAGTCATTCGCTGTTTAAGTTCGGACTCTCAACCAAAGGTCCAAGGTTTGGGTGGTTGTGACATGGAAAGCCGCAGTTAATTAAGAGTTTCGACAGTAACCAAACTGTGCTTCTCTTTGTCTTCACAAACAAATGGTTTTGCAGCAAACAAACATAAGACTGGGTGTTGTCCAGAAAAAGGAAAAGAAAGGAAAAATGCATATTTTGGCAAACTGAATGTAAATATTTAGGAGTAAATTATATTAAAAACCAACCGACATAATTTCTAGTGTACTGTTACATCCTTTATAGTATTCTTGTCTCAGAACAAAAATGTCGTAGTTCTCTGCACCAAAAACAACCTTTTGCATTGTTGGTCAAATTTATATATCTTAATTTTGACATTTAAGGCACGTCTCAGTTTATCAGTTTAGTCCAATATTCTGACTTTCGCTTCATTTTTTTAATGCATCATGAGGTAATTGTTTTTGGTAGCAAAAATTGAATATTTTGTGGTTTTGATGCAGGAGGGTTGCGGAACTTGAACATAAATTCTCTGATTAAATTCTCCTATGGGTCATGAGAGTCCTCTTCTAGTTATTATTTTATTTTCATTCTTGTTAAGAAGTGAGGCATGGGGATGGTTTTCATCATTCAAGGAGACTCCCTCCAGTGACAGGACTTTTTCCAATGGAGGCAATTTTAGAGGTTCTAGTGCGGAGTTCTCTATTGAGGCCTTCAACGACCAAAAGGGAATGAAGTTAGTAGATAATGCTAAGAAGAAAATGATTAGCTCAAATTCTTGTTGGCAAAATGCATATGAACATCTTTTTGCTGGGTGTTCTGAGATCTTGGCTGTTGATGAGAAGAGATCTAGATTAGCTTGGCATCTAAGTGATTGCTTCCAGAGGGATTCTGGCAGATCTCCCTTTCCACACTGTGACACCAAAGCTTCTATTGCTTCGTGCTTAAGAACCTTAGACGACCTTGCCCATAAGGTTTATCTTGAATTCTACCTTGAAACCAACACCATTTGTTATCAGTTACAGTTAAGTGCAATTTCTTTTCTCAATTCATATTTTATTATTTATTTATTTTATGTATTTGCCTCCTCAACTTGACTAATGTGTCGTACACTTTCATAGGGCATATGCATTCAAACATGAAACTGAGAGACTTGTGACTGAATTAAAAAGTTCAGCCCAGTATGTTGAGGACAGGTTAGATAGCATTGAAGAGAAATCAGAACATCTATTACAAGGCTCTAAAAAGATTCATGATTCTCTTGATTCAATTGGTAGCCACACTCAACAAGTAGCTCAAACTGCTAGAAATCTGGAAGGTCACATAGATTCTGTATTAATACATTCAAAGAGTGTCTACGAGCAGACTACAAAAATTGCACTATCACAGTCACAGTTACAAGAAGGGCAAGAGGATATGAAGAGAAGTTTGGAGGATGGGGTAACAGTGCTCAAAGAATCTTATAATTATTTGGGCAAAGAAATTGAAAAGTTAAGAGACGAAGCCATTGATATTGAGAATGAGGTAATTAAAGTTGGAGATGCTATGTCATCAAAGATGAACACCCTGCAAAGCAAAGCTGAAGATATTGGTAAAATGGCTGGGATTTCCTTAGATAAGCAACAGAAACTTTTAGATGGGCAATCCACAGCACTTGAGAGCCTAAACTCATTGACGGAGTTTCAATCCAAAGCACTGGAAGAGAGCAGGTAGATAATTTAACTCATAATACAGAAATTATATTAGGAAAAATGTTGAGCTCCTTGGTGTATTACAGGAAAACCCTACAGTATTTCGCTGAATATGGGCATAGACAACATGAAGAGCTTGTTCAGCGTCAGGAACAGATTCAAGGATTTCATGATCGTTTGATGGAAAATTCAAAGTCAATATTGTCTTCTCAGGTTTGCAATTGCATGTAGACTACTTGTTTTTGTATTTAATGAATTTTTAACCAAAAATTTCTATTTCTACTTTACAGGAATCTTTTGAATCCAAGCAGGCTTCCATGTTTGTTGTTTTAGACAGGATTTTTGCTTTGCAAAATGCGTTGTTACTTGAATCAAGAATGATCAAAGCTTTCTTCGTTTATTCCATATCAATCTTTGTCATCTTCATGTTGACTAGTACGAAGCAAACATACAACATGAGACCGTTCCTATATATTGGTATGTATATACCGACTAGTGCTATTAGTTTATAAACCTCTAATTATATATTATTGACTAAATATTGTTTGCTGTTTACAGAGCTTTTAGCAACTTTATTTGTGGAAGTACTCATTATTCGTTTAACAAGTGACAACATTGAGCACCAAACCTGGATAATAAACATGGCCAGATTATTTTTCATGGTAGCTGCATCGGTTCAACTGCTACATGCCATTTTCACTTACAAGTAAGTTTACAAACATTAAAAAGGCGATTTTGAATATAAATTTTATATCTCACAATTGTTTGTTAATTATACAGGGACTATGAAACATTGAACCATCAAATGCTGCTAACTCTGATAAACAAGGTTAACACCATGCAAAAACAAAATCAATTGTCATGGGAAGAGGATACTGATTACGAGGATTGGTCTGAATGGGTAGATGCTGATTTACCCGAAGATGTGAATTGCCTTGATGATCCTGATTACATACTTCCAGAAGAAGTTGCAGAGAATTCAATTACAGCTATGAAAAATTATAATCTACGCTCTCGCAATCTTTTTCATTGATTGTTACCACTCCATACTAATTTAGTAATCAGAACGTTAAGTCCACCAGAGAACATTACTTTATTTCATTAATTTGTTTCATGGTTCTGGATTATGTGTGTACTAGTGTTTGTAACTTATCATTCCATACTAATTTAGTAATTAGAACTTTGAAGTCCCCCAGAGAACATTCATTTTTTTCATTAATTTGTTTCATGATTCTGGATTATGATGTGTATAGTGTTTGTAACTTACGATTCTGTTACCAAAGTTCTTCCTTTAGTGTGGTATCAAAATATGGTACCCACTGTAATTGATTGATTTGTGATAACATGTTTGCTTGTGCAAGATAGTTGTCTACATTTATCTGATTTAAGTATACTCCAAAATAGTTCTGTCCAAAATCTTAGTTCTTCACATTTGTTAAATAAGAGATTTTTTCATCTCAAAAATATTTGAGCGTCACCGAATTCCTCACCTCACCTAGATTTGCAAACCTTTTTCCTTTTTTTATTTCTTTCTCTTTTTGGAAACAAAAAAATCTTTAATTCCTTAGCAACCGGAGCTTTTTGTAGTGTTAGCAGGAATGCAAGTGAATATATCCATCCAAGTGTTTACGCCCCCTTCTCTAAGAGAAAGGGGCGCGATAGCGCTTAAATAATAATAATAGAAAGTTTAGGGGCTGAGTATTTGTCACAAGCTCACAATTACCCCTTGTCTGATGTTTAAATCTATAAAAAAATTTGTTTAAGCAGAATCTTATAATAACATGTAGTTGTCATCAAAAGGCGTTACAAATTTATGTCTGAGAAGAAAAAACTACAGCTTGACATGTAATGGGGAGATACATATAATACATACATGTAGATATAGTTGGCAATTTACAATAACCCTATCATCCATACTACTTACAGGGACATGAACGATTCTAAGAAAGGTCAAACTGATTATCTCTTGTTACAATCACTCTCTTCGAAACTCATTAGGAATAGCAGTTCCAAAAGCTGCCTTCCAATTCTGAGAACATGTTTAATACGACCATCCTACTACAAGGTAACAGGTTTGCAGCCTAGCTCTAGTGACTTCTTGACTGCATCAACTACCAGTTGAGTCTTTCTACTGATTTCAGGCCATTTGCTAGATGGTTGAGACCCACAATCTCTAATACCTGCAACAAGCCTAGAAAACTCTTGCACCAGCAGAGCTTCTTGGGGTAGCTCATTGGCCACATGAACCTCCTCTGGTTTCACATTCCACCCAATGTGAAGGTCAACAAACTTGGCTCCAAATGTGAGGTCAAACGAAGCACTAGTCTCTTGGTATGGGATTATGAAGTCCCTGAGATGCACAGAGCCGTCGGAACCACATATGGCCAGGTCTATGGAAATGTGAGAAAGAAAGGAGCTGTGAATGGTTGCTACTGTTTGGTTTGGTTGGTCCCACAGCAAAGAAGCTGTGATGGACAAGATAACTCCGGCACTGTTTCTTGTGACATCTGGCAGAGCAGTGACAGTGGTTGGTAATTGGTAGCCCTTTGCCCACAAGGAAGCACCAATGCAATACCAGGCCAAGTCACCAAGTGCACCAAGACCATCTAACTCTGGCTTTACTCTAATATCACTTGCAAGGAATTCAGGTGTTACCGGCATTGTTGATGTACTGCGGATCTTCAAATAGAGTTTAATTTCCAAGAAATCAGAAAGAGTAATGAAATATTCTCTCATAAAGATAACACAATCTTAGCTTTGGTTACGGTTATTATTGATACCATAAAAAATTGACTTTATGTGACAACAATGAAATGGATTACTCACAAAGCGAATTGGTCCAATGCTGTTAGCAGAACGAGGAACACTAAACAATTGGTGAATGTGAGCAGTTCTAGGGTGATGCAACCACATGCTCCCATCCATGAACTGCACGCCGTTAGATTCAACCGCTTCCAGAATCAGATCAAGCTCCGCCACGTCAAGAGCCGCGGGCTTCTCCACCAGCACGTGTTTCTTTCTACCGGCGGCCATAACCGCCCACCGCACGTGCAGACTCGTGGGGAGGGGCACGTACACGGCGTCCACATCTGCGTCCTCCAACACCTGATCGTAGCTCCCGTAAATCCTCACGCTCTCCGGAAACCCGTTCTCGGCGGCGAACCTCTCGGCCTTCTCCTTGGAACGGCTGGCGATGGCACCGAGAGTGGCTCCAGGGGCGAGACCAATGGCTCGAGCCACTTTCCGAGCGATGTGGGCGCAGCCTAAGATGCCGAAACGCACCGTTTTGGTGTTACCGGTCATGATATATGCACCTGCGTTTCAATTCAGGTATGGGTTATGGAGATTTTGTAACAAGGTATTTCAGTGCGGATGATATTGATAAGATAACAAGAGTTATCAGTAGGCATGCCAACTGGCATGGACGGGACGGGGGACGGGGGACGGGTTTTGCATTTCCTATTTCCCTTCCGACTTTTTTCATATCTCCAGGTTAGAGATTAAATTTTTGTACCCATTTTTTATAGATTTTGAGATCCGATAATTTTAATTTATATTATTTTTTAAAAAATAATTATATTTATAATAAAATAATTTATTTTTATTTTTTATATATAAATAAATATTTATAATTTTATAATTTATAATTATTATTAATTAAATATATATTTTAATTTATTATATTTATATTAAAATATATATATAAAAAAATATTTAATTATTTTATTTATAATAATATTATTATTATTATATAATATTGAATTCAAATATTTAAATATTTATAATATTATTATTATAATAGTATATTTAAATATTTAACACTAAGCAACCTTGTTTAGGATCTTCATAATATTAAAACAATATCCATAAATTGTACATCCTAATTAAAGTTTGTGGGACAAATTGATTTGTCTACCTTCAAAAATCAACTATATCGAGTAGACTTCTAATAAGTCCTCAACTTCTATTAGAAGTTTGGATGTCTCTAAGATATTACTATCCCTCCTACAGAATTTAAATATATAATTTATAAAAATATATTTAATAAATTAAATTTTATTTAATTAATTTAAAATAATAAAAGTTTAAATTATTAATTTCTTCTAATCCTTTAAAATATAAATATTTTATTAAAATAAAATTTGATATATGATAAATAAAAATAATAAAATAAAAAATATGATATAATAAAATCTAATAAATATAAATTATAAATAAAATAATATTAGTTATTATTAATATTTATGTAAAATATTTAAAAAAAGATAAAGAAGAAAAAAATGTAACTTTATATTCATCAAATTAGTTGAAAAGATTGAAAAAAAAATAAATTGATAAAAAAGATTAAGGAAATACAAACAATTGAAGGATAAAAAAGAATAATATAATAAATTAATTGATATAAAATATTAAAAAAGACAAAAAATAAAAAATAAATAAATAAAATAAAAATTAAAAAAATATAAAAAAATAATTTTATATGTAATAAAAAAATATTTTTAAAATATTAATATTTTAAAATTTAAATTTAAATATAAAATAAGAAAAATAATGAGAATCAGTATCTCTTCTCATCTCTAACTTTTTAAAATGAAAAAAATTAAACCAGCCCTTCACTAATCAATTCAGATTTTTCCATTAAACTCAGAAAACATAAGATAAGTACCCACAAATAAGAGTTTAAGTTTATCCCTGATAAGACACTGCCATTCATTTCAAACACTCGTACAGCAACTCATTTTAATAATAAAATAATAATAAAGATAAAATAAGACCCTCTGGTACAAACAATTCCTCTTTATTAATATAATAATGATAAAAAGTTAATAAAAATAAAAATAAATTAAAATTATTATTATAATATTAAATATGGTTGTTTTTCAAAGTGATAAGGATTTGGGTCGTCAAATTATTTTTTTTTAATATAAACTTTTATTATTATAAAACTAATAAATGTAGTTGTTAGAGGATGCAGGTTTTCAATGTAGCATTTTTCATACACTAGTGACGGAGACGGCTACAACTCATTTACAAATTATTTTCAGTTTTTAACGATACAAAAGTTCATTCAATCATCCAGAACAATTTTTTAAAATACTACTTTATTAATAAAAAGTAATACAAGAAAAATATTTTTTATAAAGATAAAAATATATTATATGATAAAATTTCATTAATATTTTATTTATAATATTTTATATATACCGTATATATATAGTAAAATATTAAATGTAAACAATATTTCAATACTAACTTTTGTTTTAAATCAAAATAATAATTTAATATATTTTTTTCTAAAAAATATTTAAAAAACTGAAATATAATATAACAACTTCGTAATGACTAGTTTAAATAAAAAATAAGTAGGAATATATTCTTAATAATCTTCTTTATCTTAATATCTATATACTTAATTTTTTTATTATTATTCTTGATTAATTTATCTATTTTATCTCTTAAGCTACTTATTTTCAATACATATAAAATTTTATCCAATTTGGATCCATAAAAATATGATTTTTAATCAAATGAGATAACACCAACGAACGTAATATTGGTAAACAAAAACGAACACTCTCTCTCTGCATGCATATTAACACAGTTCCAAATTCAGTACCGAGATCATTGACCATCACTGTTTATACACCAAATCACTTCATATTGTCAGGGAAGTTAATTTTTAGTTCCCCTCGGAAACAAAACGAACACATAACTCTCCAAACAAGGCGGAACTTAACTGTTTTCTCTATTTCATGTTCAGCCGCCACACTCTTTATCCTCACACTTTCTGTTGGATATAACAGAAAAAACAAAGAACACAAAAAATTTCAATGGAGGCCTCAGAGTTCCCATTGGAATTACAATCCAAAGCCTTCCAAATTCTAAGTTCCAACGACGACACTCCCATTGAAACCCTCTTCTCCCACATCTACTCTCCCCAACACCAACACCAACACCACCTCCGCTCCCAAGCACTCGCGTTCCTCCAATGCTGCAAACACCACCACCCCGATCTCCTCGTCATCAAACTCTTCTTCCTCTTACGCACCGACGCCCTTCCCGAAAAGCGAGCCAACGCCGCACGCGTCTTGCACTTCCTCAAACCCGCCGAATTTTGGCCCAAACTCAAGCCCATCGCCCAGGCCCGCCTCAAGTCCCACTTCCTCGCTTACCTCGCCGAAGAATCTTCCCTCCACGTCCTCCGACTCGTTTCACTCGTCCTCGCCGAAATCCTTTCCGTTACTTACAAAACGCACCAAAACTGGCCTGAGGTTCTTGATTTCCTCATATCATTTGTCGCCTCCGACGATGACAAGTGCCGCGAGTTCGCGTCTCTCGTCTTCAAGAACCTCCCCAACGACTCTCGTTTGCTCGTCTCCAACGCCCTCAGGGAGAAAAACGACGCCGTCCGGGTGCTGCACGCTTCGGTTTTTAAGTCCCTCGCATCCTCCAACCGCGACGTCCAGGTCACGTCGTTCGGCGCCGTCGTGAGCCTCGTCCAGTTGTTCTCCGAACCGTCGATGTTCCACGAGCTTCTCCGCGCGATCATGGTTGGGGTCTTCACGCTTCTGCATTGCTCTGAAGCTTCCTATTTCCGAAGCGCGTTTGCGGAGTTAATAAATCTGGTTTCTCAAGTGCCGTTGCTTTTGAAGCCGTACATGAACGACATGGTCCTCGACGTGCTTCAGATTGCGGAGAGCGATACTTTGAGCGAGGGAACGCACTGTTTGGCTTTTCAGTTAGTGGTGGCCATGACGGAGGTGAAGGAGTACGAGCACGTGTTCGTCAACCTGCCTTACGAGACCGTGCAGAGGCTGTTCTTTGTTCCGATGAAGATGCTACGGTGCGTTGCCGACGATGGCTGTGGTGGCAAGCGTGAACTGGAAATCGAGAAGGCTGGAATGAAGGGTTTGAAGAAGCTTTGTGCCGCACTCGGAGCGAGTAAAGCAGTGCGTCTTGCGTGTGAAGTTTTCCTGCTTCACTTGGATAATGCGGAATGGAAGGTGCGCCGTGCAAGAATCACAATGCTGAGTGTGATCGTAGAAGACTTCTCCGATGAAATGGTGAACTAATCATTAAATTCTTAGCATTTTGTTATTAAATTTAGGAATATTAAATAACTTATTGGTAGAAATATTGAAATATTATTATATAACAAAATAATGATTTCTTATAGAGCGTGTTATCTTAGTGATGATTGGTTAGTAATGATTTTCGTGTGCTGTGCAGGTAATGGCGGGGAGTTTTCTTGATGAAGTGGTGAGCAAAGTTTTGGAATTGACCGAAGACTCCCATACTCAGGTTCGGATGGCAACTTTCAAATTCTTGTTGAATTCTACAAACTTTGTTCAGGCGGTGCAACTCCTTTACCATCAAAGGCTCGTGCAAGTATTTTGCAATGCACTTGACAATGAACAAGACCTTAACGTAAAGGTATGGTAGATGTGTTTGACTGGTATACTATATATCATGCTGAAGCTGTTGCCGCAGCTTCCATGATCCATTGATAGTTGATCCTTGTACCTGAAATGTAAAGTCTATTCATTTGTTTGTCTGAATTAATTTAGTATTCTGGTGGTATCTCAGACTGTACAGAGATATGGTTCTATTCTTTGAAGGTAGAGGTTTCGTGATGCTTCGGTGGTGGTTGGAGAATGTGTTATTACATGCAAACCCTACCACCTAAGAAGTATCTCCAGTAGTTTTTTGGTCTCTCAATCATATAAGTGACCGAAATGATATCCTTTCCTTTGAACCTTAAAGAAACTATGCTCGTATGGCTTGTTAAAGAACTTGTTTCAGTCCTTTCGATTTTGGTACGTACGAGATCATCTCGTACACATTATAAATGTTTGCTGTTGATCTGGTCGAACTAGCAATTCATCTTCAAAATAACGTTTCATTCTATTTTCTTTCTTTTGCCTTTTATCTAGTCATTTGCTACTTTTGCGAGGAATGTAAAAGTGAGTATAAAAATAATGCTACGAAAAAAAGAAGACTCTTAATCTTCAGACAATTTTTCTTTGAAATTAATAAGTTGTGGACATTGGCAATGCTTGGAAGCATGAACCTTTTCTAGATAATTTTGCTCATTTCCCTTCATACCCTTCAATTCATTACATTTCCAGTGTCCCAAACTCGTTCACATTATTTTTATCATCAGCATGTGTGTCTACTACTCTTTAACTCATTTTAAAAAATGTCACGATAAGCTAATAATCTCATGTTGCTTTCCTAGGAGCAAGCTGCCTCCGCAATGCATTTTTTTCTGCAGAACACTTTGCCAGAAAGTTTGACACTGAATAAGTATGTGGATACTGTAATGGGAAAATTTTTGCCGTTGCTTCAGGTAAGAATTATTATCTTACATTATGCTGGATGCAGTGTCCGTCTGAGGGTTATCACATAATTTACCATTAATAATTTGGTATAGAATCTTGCCATACCTACAGTAGTTCCTTGTAGGATTTTCATTCTGAACATTCCATCAAGGCTCATAATATTGTAATCCCCATTACCTCATCATTATAATCTTATTTTTTGTTATCGGCTTTTTGCATGCAGGACAAAGAAAGTTCTAAACTAAAAAGTATTGCATTGTCAACTTTAAATATAACTATACAACTGTGTGAAGAAGTGGCTCACAAGTAGTCTTTTAATCTTCCTTTTTCCTTCCTATGTAATCCAAACATTTATGGATCTCAAAACGATATGATACATTTAAAAACTTAATGTTTTACTTGGTAGGTACTGTGCAATCTATCGTCCAATGTTGCTGGAAGCATGCAATGACGAAAACTCTAATATCAGAAAGGTTTTCTTCCTCGTGCCAGCTTGGTTTTGTTCCTTATGCAGTGTTCTATATCCAATTATTTATCCCTCCCTCTTTTTCAGGAGGCAGCACGGGGGATTCGAATTTGTGCAGAGCTTGGAACACCTCAGTTGAAACCTTTTATCAATAGTATTTTGTTTGTTTCATCATTTGTAATATTATTAATAATTTCGCAGCTAATATCTGTTTTTTTCTTTTTAGGAATATTGTCAAAACTCATTGTTTTGATGAACTATTCAAATCAACCACAGAATGACGAAGCGTTTGACATTGCAGTTTCTGTTCTAGGAAGAATTTGTTGAGAATTCCATAGTAAATGCATTGATAGTTCTAAGGTAATATTTTTCTTCTGTCTATTGTTCATATTTTTGTCAGAAAAAAAAGTTCAGTCTGATCTCTACAAAAAAACTAAACTAGTTATTCACTAATAATTTATACAATCTAAACTTCATATTTTATCATCCTTAACTAATTCCTCTTTTGAAAGAGTTGACATTACAATTCTAGTACAATACAAAGATTTCCACTCTAATTTATTTGTCAACCTAATTTTTCTGTGTAGCATGAGATTGCATTTCTGGAAATATATAAAGATTCTTCGTTTCATAACACACAGAATTCTTTCAACTTCTCGGACAGCAATTCCACTTGTTTTAACAGGGAGGATCAAAAGTTTCTGAAATAATGCCCTGTATGCTGAATTTTGATTTCAGTTTGTATAGTACTCAAATATTGTTTATAATTATTATTCATTCCTGTTTTATAATTTATTAATTTATTACACGGTTCTTGCTCTGGGCATAGAAGAATGAGAGAAAGAGAGTACCATGTTTATGTTTGGACAGATCTAAGTTCACTGATGTCGCGATTATATATCTAAAGATCAAGTTATGTTTGTTCAATTGATGACCATTTACAAAATGAGGAAAAAGAAGGTACTATTTTTTTACCCTCTTGTATACTTCCTGCCAGGTTATGTTTCTTGCCACTTAAAAATGAACTGATTGAGGCCAAAATTATGCATGAACAGCTTTATATTATGTTTGCAAGGCAAGGAAGTATAAAAAAATCCTTTTGAATTATTAGATTCTAAGTATTTGATTTATAAAATGCTTTAATTTTTATCCACATGTATGTCCAAATTCTTTCCTTCTCTTTTGTCTTTCAATTTTGAAATGTTTACCAACATGACAGGTATCAAGTTTGCTACGCATTTTTATCTGAAGAATATCTAGGACTTACCATTACTCATTTAAAGTTTTTTTTAGTTTTATTTTGTTGTTCTTTTATAAGCTTAGCCTCCCCATCAAGCAGAGATGACTTAATTTTTGTCTGCTTGAATTACATTATTTATATTTACCCAAGTTTTGGGATGACTACAATCAATTACCATACAGTTTATAAAAATGGTAGAAGATAATTTTTAGAATGAAGTGGACAACAAGTAAAATATTTTGACGTAATTTATTTTGAAAGTGTTTGACACGAGTCATCAATATATAGGCATTAGTCATTCTTTTTAAAATCTTCTAGAAGTTCCCTATAGGAAATTCTAGAAGTTTGGGATAATTCTACTCTTTAACTTACTCTACAATTCTAAAAATTGTTCGGATGAATATAGTTTTTGTAGTTTCTTTGAATTTGTATCATCCTAGAAGAAAACATCTCAAGGGAAGTAAAGGTTGAGCATTTAACTCATCCTAGATCCTTTTCGTTTTTATTGTGTGAACCAGCATATCTCTGTTGCAAAAAATACTTTTTTTAATGTCGGTTTGATAATTTTCATAAAATGGACAAGATAGTTTGGTTGAGATTAATTATTAAATTTGAACTTACATTGCTGGATTTTTTTTTTTTACCATGGAACAATTTGCTAATTTCTTAGACAGCATAAACTTGATATTTAAAATTTATTGAATATTGATTACTTTATCTCTTGTCCCATATCTGGTGGAATATATTTCTATAACAAATTCTTATTATTAGCTACAACTGAAACAAACAAGCAGGTGAATAAATGGCTGAAGTCGCTTCTGTTCTGATGGTCAATGGTCCAATTTTGTCATTTGAAATGCCCAGCAAAGGGAATTTCTATTGTCTCTATACTCCTACTCTTTTTACGGAATTCTGCAGTCATATATATAAAAACTGTAATTGCGAACACAATAAATGAGCTCACTCCTTAAAAGTATTTTTGCACAACTTTTTCTTTCCAAACTCAAGCAACAACACTAATGGGTGAAGATGCTTCACAAGCGATGGGCCCTCTTGGAACACGATTAACAATAGTGCTGTAACCACTGCCTGCAAAATTACCATCATATCATGCTTTCAATAAACAGACCATCATGGGTTGCAAATTAACAAGACATAAATGGGAGAAGGAAAAGATAATACACTTGACATGAACAAAACCATGATTTCATTAAATACTATATCAAGATATATGAAGCTTTTGTTCGTTCTGTCATGTTGTCCTCTTCATCTTCATCTTCACTCCCATCACGATCAGCCAACAATTCATGCAATGGAACAGAAGGCAGGTCATCACCATCAGTCACCGATGCCATCACTGGTGACTGGTACTCCTTGTTTCGGTTCAATGATATGTTGAACCTCATACCAGGTTTTTCTTCCAGATCTTTCAAGAGTTGTCCGTATTCTGATACCATTTTGTCTTTATCAACTCTCCTACATCATTTCAAGTGATTTAAGCTTCCACGAACGATGCTTCCCACGTTTCTTCTGGCTCTTTTCTTCATAACTTTTCTTTATTAAAATTGCTTCAGGAATGTGCTCTTTGTACATGTCAAACTCCATGTCATTACTATTTGCCCTGTACAGATCATAAAAAAGAGAATAATCACCAGGGTTTAAAAGATGGACCAGATGAGTCTTGATGTTAAATATTGTGCCTTTGTCACCAAAATCTGACACACGAGCAACTCGAGCATCTGCTAAACGATATTTTGTGCCACCAATAGTAATCTCAGACGACACAACCTCTACGTCAAGCACTTTCCACCAAATGTCTCCTGGTAAATGGATCAAGCAGAGCAATGCTGTTGCTAACCTTGGTGCAAATCACAATAGGACCAATATTTCCCAAACTAACAGCAACTTTTGGAGTCAAACAGATTAAATCCTCACGGCAAATGGGGTTGATTTCAACACAAAATGTATATTTGTAATTGTAGTTATTACCTTTGGATAACGGGAAACTTGCTGCTTCTCACTACGGCTCCTTACAGGAGCAACCTTCCTTATAAACTCCACAAATTTGACTTCATATCTTCAATTGGAGAATGCTTTATTGTTATAATCAAGAAAAAATCTTCAATAATATTTTATATGTATACATGACCAATATTTCTATATATTAATAAGGGCAAGTGAAAGTCAAAATAAAGATTATATAGCATTTATATTCGCATCCATATAATATTTTTCCTATTGAATATTTTATGTAAGTACAGTGAGTTCCGAATAGAAATTGCGATTAACTTATATATAAACTAATTAATTTGTTAAATAGTTAATTTCGTTTTTTTATATTAAAGTTGGTTTAATCATGTCGTGGACACAAGTTATTGATTCTTCTCCTAATATTTAATAGTGTTCGCATATCTTCATTCTTAAGCGAAACTCTGTTAGATTAGAAGTGTACGCCATGAATCACACCGTTCACGTGGACGATGAAGCTCAAAATATGATGCCGACGTGCTTCTAACTCTCTGACGTGTCATTCTTCACACTAAATATGCAGTCACACGTGGGACCTACCTCGATGCAACTTTTCTTCCAATTCTTAAAATATAACAAAAGTATAGATTCGAATCATACACTCTGTCTCCTCTACAACTGAAAATGGCAGAAAGTTCCAACGCCAACGGTAGCGGCGTCTACGTTGAAGAAGAAGAAGAAAATGAAGTGAAGTTGAAGCAGAAAAAGAGAACAGAGAATGTTTCCTTGGCGGAAGTCCTTAATCGCATCGCCTCCTCCATTCTCTTCCCGGAACCCGGCGACGATGGATCTGTAATTCGCCGGATCAAGGTCTCGGTCGCCAACAACGCTCCGCTCCTCCCGGAAGCTTCCAGAAACTTCGCCCGCGACGTTCTTCTCTGGTCTCGCCGCGGCACTCCCTTCCGCGCTCTCTTCGTCATATCCGTAAGGACAAATGATCCAATCGTATTGTATTTATTCGATTTGCCGATTGAATCTCGTTTCCTCGCTATTTAAAAATCTATTGGTTCTTCTAGCTTTTATAGACTGTGATTTTAGCTTCTGCATGCGTTTCTATTGGTTTAATGTTTCAATCATGTAGATTGACCGGAGTATAATTAACTGATTGTCAACTTGAAGCGTTTTGTCTTTAAAACGTTCAGACTAAAATTGGGATGTGCATAAAGGATTCTTTACACTGTCACTCTAATATCTAATGTAATCACGGATTGTTAGGTTTTTCTGTTTGTGTTTGGTTAACTGTTTGCAACATTGATTTTAGTTAAAATTTATTTTGAAGTTAGCTATTTATACTTTGACATTTTTATTTTAAAATCAAATTAATAGAAAATTTAGTATAAGAATCTTGATCCAATACAAAATGTGCCTAAAGTTATTTCAACTCAATTTTTGACAATCGATTTCTCAAAATGAGATCAAACTTGCAATCTTCGACAAAAATCTCGTTAAGAATCCCAATAAAGATGCATTGTTTTGGATTAAGAATAGCAGTAGTTGCGAGAAGTTATATCATTGTATTGTAGATGTAAAATTAGGCTAATGAAAAAATGGATGCTTAAAGAGGAGGATGGAGTTGATAACATGCAGATTATCATCGTTAGATTTCAAAGCATGCTGTGTTGTTTCTTTTTGTGATATTGATCATGGGAATAATCACAAGGAGACAGACTACTGTCACTTATCAGATTTGGTAGTTTAGTTAGATGTTAGATACGTCTCTAAAAATTTAAGTTGAATTAAAGTAAAAACTGTATAATATTCATATCAAGGAAAGATTTATGATAACATAAATTTCTCTTTTGTTCAGAATGTTTATGATTTTCGATTTTCCTTATTGCTGCAGGTTGGGACAGTTGCTTTTGTTGCTTTGACAGGAATGCTTGTATTTATGCTTTTCTTTCTGGCTGCGACCATAAATGCCATTGTCATATTGCTGCTGATGTCTTTGGCAGCAGTGGGAGGATTCTTAGCTCTTTTCTTTGCTTTTGTTACGGCGATATACATCGGTGCATTATCAATTGCCATATTTGCTATTTCAGTTACCACATTTTGGGCTATTGTGGCTATTCTGATAATCACAGGTAACAAGTTGTTTGGTCACTATCATTCTCTCTTTCATTTTCCATGCTTCATGTTTTATGTTTGATTTTGTTTGCTATTAGATTGTTACAAAAACTTCTATCAGTTCGGTGAAATTCTATTGTCTGAGTACAGCTATGGACGGACATACATCTCTTCAACAAGATGTACCTTGAATAAAATTTGAGATTCTATAAACTGCATCCTTTGTTGCAATTAGGCAGACATTTTGTCAGATTACTATTGGTTGTTGTCCTTCACACTGTAGAAAAGCACTTCTTTATACTAGTAGTTTTCATTCCTAGTCACTGAATGTATAAACATTGATCAAATGGATGTTTAACTTTTGCATATAATTGCACTGGTATTTCCATTTTGCTTATCTTTGTGAAAATACCTCCCAGTGAACTCCTAATGAGCATGGGTGATGTAATGGACAATATGTCTACTATCAGAATTTTACTTAACTCGGGCAGCTTACCCAGTTAAACGATTTCTGTAGGCCCACATATCCTGATGAGGTGGATTCCTTAGAATTTCAATAAAATTATAGAATATTTATACGAAGATGAAAGCCACCAAGGAGGTTCTATGGCATGATAACTTAACTGGAACTGAATTTATCTTCTTCAATCTAAAAAAATTAGATTATGTTGATCTTTCTTTAATGGATTTTCATGATGTTGCTTTGTATTTATCATTCTTAATTTTTCCGTGGGTTAACTCTACTACATGGAAATCAATTTGAACCAGGTTGGATTGGATTCATTTATACCTTGTGGCTGGTAACTAGAAAGAGCTTTGGATTTGCTAAGCACTCGTTGGGCGTGACTGGCTCTGCAATTTCATCTTACACTACTGCACGTCATCCCCGCTACCTATTACACACAAATTCAAAGCAGTAGGGGATGATAACAATTGGAAACTGATGTACAAATCTTAAGCTACATGGTCATGTTTTTGAATGAGTTTCTATTGGCTGGTATGAAGCCTTGTTCTTAGATCCTCATAGTTTGGTTTCAATCCTTATCCTTTGTTCCATATCAATGAATTGAGAGATGTGTTTAGATAAATAAGCCAGGTTATTGTGTGTTGTGTTTGAAGTTTGATGCTAAGACAGAATAGTGGCTTTTCTTCGGTAGCCACCCAGTTACCTGGTGTAGTGCAACTCAGCCGATATGAAATTACATTTGTGTGTAAATGATGTAATTTTGGATCGAGGTTTGTTTTCTGCATTTGTGGGAACAACTATGTACATCCATGTACTTGTATAATATTTACATTTTGATATAAAGCTAGAATGCAGAATTCAGAATTGGCATTTCTATTTATTTATTTCTTCCATTTTTTTACTTAAGATTGAAGAAGTATTTATTCCACCACCAAACTTCAAAAGTGAAAAATACTCAGAAACTTGGAAAACAAGACCTTCCTTTACCTTCTATTTGGATTGAAAATTTGGAGAAGATTATTCATTTTTTGAAAATTTGAAATACTTGATCACAAAATATATTTTTTGGATAGAAAATTTTAAAGGAAAATTTAAATTTGATCTAAAAATTAATAATTTTTTATATTTATATTTCTTCTTTTTGTTTTTTTCTTTTTACTCAATTTCCATTTAAGATTTTTTCAATCAACATGTAGCCGAAATTGGAATGTTGTTCGTCCCAGATTGATTTGATTTGTTCCAAATTGATCTAAGCTGAATTAGTTCGATTTTATTTATCTGTACTTAAACTTTTGAACAAAATTGTATATTTTTTTAACCATACAGAAGGTTAGCATTTGCTAATTTACCAAATTTATTTCCCCACCCCAATATAGTTTGTGTAAAATAGGTTTTAGAGAATTTGAGATTAATTTAGGTGTATATTTAATCAAATTTAACTTTTTAAAATTAGTTTTATTAATTTGAGTATAGTTTTAAAGTCAAACAAATATAGGGTGAAAATAGTAAACAATTGAGTGAGAATAGCACAGGCCTATATAGGTTTGAGTAAACTTAGAAGCTGATCCAGACTACATTTTGGGTTGATTATTTTTTTTTTCTTTTGGGTCAGATTCAATAGTCTTAATAAATGAAATTCCGGTATGTGTGGATAGAGTTTATAATTTCAAACCTGTAAACTTGATGGTATGGTGCATAATTATCTCTTTTGAACAAAATTGCGTGATGCTTTCTCAAATGAATTTTATGATAAAACAATTCTTTCTGAATATGTTGTTTAAATTCTAAGAGTTTTTTAGCTCTATGCCTCTCTAAAACAACTAAGAAAAGGCTATACGTATATCATTTATATAAAACTTGTAATTTAGCATCTCTTTTATTGGTTATTTTTATATACCTCACAAAACTTAGAGTGCACCCCTTTTTTAATTAGGGAATGTAAAAAGAGGTGTAGGATGAGTTTTGGAGAGTGTATAAAATTCTTTTTGTATTGAGTTTGGAAAAAAAGTTGCATAAACCTAAACCAAACCAATTCTTTTAATACTTCTAAAAACCTTTGGTTAACCATGTTAATCATATTTTATATTAACACGTAAGTTTAATGCACCAATATAATTTTAAGCTTAAGTGAAACATATAAATAAAAGTCAACTAAATATAAAAATAGATACCATTAACATTAATAATAAATATTTTAATATAGTAATTATGAATAAATTAAAGAAATAAAGCGTTTAAAAATGCAAGGAAATAAATTATTAAAAAACGCACATCATCTCTATTGATGTGATGTATGATGATTTAAAATTGAAAAAAGCAAATTTATATTAAGAATATTAAAATTCAACATATATATAATAGTTTGGTATACAATGTCGAAACGTTAATTATAAATAATTATAATTTAGGATGAATAAAAATTAAAAAAAAAAGTTAAAAACTTAATATAGAAGTCACTTCTTCATTTTGATTTTCTAATTAATGCCAGGGAATAAAAAATCCCAACTTAAGCTTTATGTAGTTGTTAATTACATGGTCAATTAAGATGTACTAGTTTGATTGATGAATTGCTTTTGTTTCTATTGTTTATACAAATTGGACATTCATGGATGATAAAGCTAGACCCTAATTATAATTACCTGCAATTGAAATATATATATATATATATATATATATAAACTAAGTTGAAAATGAAGTTAAGCTGCATAATATGATAGTGAAGAACAAGATTTATCAGTAATGTAATCTCAATGGATTCGAGATCTCGATCTTATTTGGCATTTGTTTGAGATAAATCTCTATTGCTTGAATAAGGATCATGAAGACGTATACTCTAACGTTTCTGTACTGTGAAATCCTCTATTTTACTTATTCTGATCACTCTCTTATAATCCTCTATTAGTTTACGTATTGGATATAGTTTAGTTGTAGAAATCGTAATGAAATTTCTCACTGGCAATAAAGTTGAGTTTGAATAAAAATGACTTTTTTTTAATATTGGTTTTTTATACTGTGTGATTCAATTGCACTTGCTGAGTTTGTATCATTAAAAAAAACAAAAAAGTAAAATTTTAAAGTATTTTTTCTAACCCTTCAACAATGTTTCTGTACCTTATCCTTATATGCACAAACCATTAAAAAAATTACCTTTAAATATTGTTTAATTCCATGTTTCATCTCCTTCCTATCTTTCACTTTACTTTCTAATCAAATTTCAACTCTATAACAAGTCTTATATTGGGAATGTCTCCTTACCATGAAGGTCTTATAAGGTGGGAGGTTCTCCAACTTCTTGAATTAGCTTTTGAGGAATGATTCTCTTCTTTAACATTATGGTTGTTACATTGATGCTTTTATTGAGAGCCAGCCAACTCGAGATCCTTAACCTTATGGTTGTTACATTGGTGCTTTTATTGAGAGTCAGCCAACTCGAGATCCTTAGCTTTATGGTTGTTACATTGGTACTTTCATTGAGAGTGAGTCAATTCGAGAAGGGCTGAGTCTTTTGAATGCCGAGGGCTGAGTCTTCTGAATGCCGAGCGAAGTACTGGGAAGTGTAGCTATGGAGGACGCTAAGTCCCACATCGAAAAGACCTTATAAGGTAGGAGGTTCTCCAAACAACCTTTTGAGGGATGATTTCACTCCATAGCCTTCTAATTTTTACAACTTCGTCTACCTTCTCTCTCCGTACATTTTCATCCTTTGAATAATCTATTTTTCTCTTGAAGTTTTGGATAATTAGGTTACTTTTCATTCATGACACTACTACAAAATATATTTTCAACGTCACTGTTTAATGTCGGTTAAATTTGAGCCAACATTGAATACACTTTCAACGTCGGTTGGTGAACAACCGACGTTGAAAGTTGAATTCTGACACATTCTATGTCGTTTTAGCATGCTCGACGTGAAAAGTAGGCTTTCGACGTCGGTTATACCCTCAACCGACGTTGAAAACCCTTCTGCAAGGGCTTTCAACGTCGGGTGGGGGTATAACTGACGTGGAAAACCCATTTTCCCATTTGAAAAGGATACATCTCTACCATTTCTGTATCTCCCCTTACTCTCCAGCATCGCGGCCACCACCTAGCACCCTCATTTGGACTCTCCGAACGCCCTCCCTCACGTCGCCACCACGCACCCTAGAGCGCGTGACACCCCCGCCGAAGCCTCCACCTCCACCCCACTGCAACTTCCACCCTACCGCAACAGTAGGCGCCGCATTGTCCACCGCAGACTCCAGCCGCACCGCAGCCTCGACCTCCACCCTACCGCAGCCTCCACCTCCACCTCCACCCCACCCCACCACAACCTCCAGCCCACCGCACCCTCCACCCCACCGCGACGCTAGTCGCCCAACCTCTGCCCGCACTGCATTGTCCACCTCCAGCCCACCACAGCCTCGACCCTAACGCCGCACTGCATCTTCCACCTCCACCCCACTGCAGCGTCGACCCTAACGCTGCTCTCTTTCTCTGTGGTGCGCACTTTCATTGCTGCCTTAACCCACAGGTACGATGTTCTTGCACTTATATTTGTTGGGCAAAAAGTTTAAGTAATAAAATTTTACTTACTACAATTCATAGGTAGAGATTCTTAGTCATATTATTGTTGGCCGTTAACTGTTGATTCAATTGTTTATACGTTTTGTCCCCATAAAATAGTGATTGGATGTAAGTTTCAGCTCATTCCAGTGGAACTCTCAAGTGAAGACAAATAATGATACAGTTTTAAAATTAAGATGAATATAGTTTTTTCCAATGTATTGATGATGTGTACAATTATACTTGGACTGCTTGAATATGCCCGTGGGGCTTTTTATTGGCAGGTTTCACTGTGTCATTTAAAATTGTTGCCAAAAAACAAAGGAAACTCTGCCGAATTTTGGTTAGAAATTAATCATGAAGTGTGAATTATGAAAACTACATATAACAATGTAGTTATATAAGTGATGGTAGTAACAAAATTGTGACGATATAAATTGTGTATGATATTGTGCCTGTGGGGTTCTATAATTTCAATTTATAAAAATTTGGTTTTGACCAAAAAATAGACGAAATTCTGTTGAATTTTCGTTAGAAATTAATATACTTTTGTATAGATTTCATTAGAGATAACGATTATTAGTATTAATCGTTTTATTGGTTTCTCATTTGTAGACTCCAATTCCAAAATGGATCGAAGTTGGGTAAATGCAAGTCGTATTTCACAAGAGTATGAGAATGGAGTTGAAGAATTTTTGCGATTTGCCGAACACAATGGCACCAAGGTTAATGGAAAATTGTATTGTCCATGCGTTAACTGCGTTAATGGGAGAGTACACACACTAGAGACAATACGGGAACATTTTTTATGTGATGGGATAATGAAGAATTATATCATATGGACATGGCATGGTGAAGTGATTGATACACCAATAGTAACACAAGCTGAGGAAGAGGAGAATATGACAA